CGATAGTCGGAACAGAGCCGAAGCTTCATTTCATCGGGAAATATTCTTTGAACTTAAATTTTTCCTTTCCTTCAAACACCAAATGATTTCTAAACTTAGACTTGTACGGGAAACATATTTAGACTTCTTTTAAATTCCCATCAAAATCCGAACATAAACCTCTCTATTTATCTTTAAATTTTTCGAGAAAAGGGGGTTTTTAATCGTTAAACTTTTAGAGGCACTCGGAAACTTATTAGCCTATCTTGAAGAGGAGATTTGCTGCTTTCAAATATTATATAATAAGCATAGACCCACATTTATTCATTATTAAATATTTACCATATTGTAAGTTAGATATCATTTGAAAGGCTGAAGTGTCCTCGTTTAAAATATACAAAAAGATTTCGAACTAACGCGCTTTTAATGAATCAATCGAGGTTGGTATCAAGAGTGTGCAAGACGTCTTGGACCTAGTAGAATGAATATCTCCAATCGACTCACTGACCCCGAAAACCTCGGGGTACAAATTTTTAGCTTCAAATCTCATACGGAAACTATGTGATTTTTGTTTTTTTGTGATTTTTGTGTGATTTTTGTCATGTTTTTGTGTTTTTTTTGTGTGAAGCCGCGTAATCACTTTCCATCTGGTAAACCACTCCGGAATACGGTCCTTCCCTTTTGGAATCCGTTAACGGGAAGAAGCGGTGAGCGACTGACCTAGTTTCCCCGCTTTGGACGTCACTATGCCCAAATTTTTAGGATCGTTTTTTGTCCTAAATTTGGCTATGAGATCTTCGAAGGTACGACCTCTCATCGCCCGTACATTCCCCGCTAAACGACATCGACCGCAACTTCGGTCAACGTACCATATCGTACTTATTTGATAGATATAGTTATTCTAAATAAAACTTCAAAATTGGCGCTAAGCTTAGATGCTCGTATCTTCTTTACCTTAGTTGTATTCAATTCAGTGATTCCCAGTTCATTAAGATCAACACAAACTGTTTGGATATTCCATGCCCTGAATGTTAAATCTAGCAAGTCCTGAAACTTTAAAATTGACCCTAAGCTTAGATGGTTAAATCTTCTCTATTGTGTGGTGTATTCACTCCAGTGATTCCCAGTTCATTAAAATCAACACAAACTGTTTGGATCTTCCATGCCCTGAATTTTAAACCTAGCCAGTCCTAAAACTTCAAAATTGATAGCGATGCAAAGATGCTTAAACCTTCTTTACGTTATGTGTATTCACTTTAGTGATTCCCAATTCATCGAGTACGATACAAACTGCTTGCATTTTCCGTGCCAGGAATGCTAAATCCAGCCAGTCCTAAACTTCAAAATTGATAGCTAAAAAAGATGGTTAAATCTTGTTCATGTTATGTGTATTCACTCTAGTGATTCCCAGTTCAATCAGATCACCAAGAACCATTTGGATATTCCATGCCCTGGATGTTAAATCTAGCAAGTCCTAAAACTTCAAAATTGATAGCTAAAAAAGATGCTTTGATCTTCTTTATGTTATGTGTATTCACTCCAGTCACTTCCAATTTAGCGAGTACAATACAAACCGTTTGGATATTCCATACCCTAAATGTTAAATCTAACCAGTCCTAAAACTTCAAAATTGATAGTTTAAATCTTGTTTACGTCATGTGTATTCACTCTAGTGATTCTCAGTTCATTGAGATCAACACAAACTGTTTGGATATTCCATGCCCTGAACGCTAAATCTAGCAAGTCCTAAAACTTCAAAATTGATAGTTAAACAAAGATGGTTAAATCTTCTTTACGTTATGTGTATTCACTCCAGTGATTCCCAATTCATCGAGTACGATACAAACTGCTTGCATTTTCCGTGCCATGAATGCCAAACCTAGCTAGTCCTAAAACTTCAAAATTGATAGCTAAACAAAGATGCTTACATCTACTTTACGCTAAATGCGTTCACTCCCATGATTTCCAATTTATTGAGTACAATACAAACTGTTTGGATATTCCATGCCCTGCATGCTAAATCCAGCCAGTCCTACAACTTCAAAATTGATAGCTAAAAAAAGATGGTTAAATCTTGTTTATGTTATGTGCATTCACTTTAGTGATTCCCAGTTCAATGAGATCACCAAGAACCATTTGGTTATTGCATGCCCTGGATGTTAAATCTAGCAAGTCCTAAAACTTCACAATTGATAGTTAAACGAAGATGCTTAAATCTTCTTTACGTTATGTGTATTCACTCCAGTGATTCCCAGCTCATTTAGATCAACACAAACTGTTTCGATATTCCATGCCCTGAATGTTAAATCTAGCAAGTCCTAAAATTTCAAAATTGACGCTAAGCTTAGATGCTCGTATCTTCTTTACCTTATGTGTATTCACTCCAGTGATTTCCAATTTATTGAGTACAATACAAACAGTTTGAATACTCCATACCCTGAATGTTAAATCTAGCCAGTCCTTCTTCAACTTCAAAACTTCAAAATTGATAGTTAAAAAAAGGTGCTGAAATCTTGTTTACGTTATGTGTATTCACTCCAGTGATTCCCAGCTCATTTAGATCAATACAAACTGTTTCGATATTCCATGCCCTGAATGTTAAATCTAGCAAGTCCTAAAATTTCAAAATTGACGCTAAGCTTAGATGCTCGTATCTTCTTTACCTTATGTGTATTCACTCCAGTGATTTCCAATTTATTAAGTACAATACAAACAGTTTGAATACTCCATACCCTGAATGTTAAATCTAGCCAGTCCTAAAACTTCAAAATTGATAGTTAAAAAAAGATGCTGAAATCTTGTTTGCGTTATGTGTATTCACTCTAGTGATTCGCAGTTCATTGAGATCAAGACAAAGTGTTTGGATATTCCATACGCTGAATGCTAAATCTAGCCAGTCCTAAAAATTCAAAACTGCCGCTAAGCTTGGATGTTCGTATCTTCTTTACATTAAGTGTGTTCACTCCAGTGATTCCTAGTTCATTAAGATCAACCTAAACGGGGTGCAGCTCGTTTCCCGTGCATTCCCTAGCCGAATGGGATCGTTGCTCTCTTTCCGTACATTCTACGTTTATTTTCTATGGGAGACGATATGTTATGCATTAAGACATGCACTTAAATCTCAATATATCTGAACTGGATAACTAGCTCACTTTGGCATTGCAGGGTTGCGGCCCATGTCACCCTGGAACGAAGGGCGCTCGTTTCACTGTCAAATAAATCGAAAAATGATATGAATGATAAGATTTTTTTGGATTTGGTTTCAAATCATATTTTTGCATATTATGACATATTATGACACTCGCCCTCCTCGGAGGTGAGCTCATGAAGTGGCGTCATCTTGGCTTCTCCTGGAATTGAAATATGCGTATCATATTGAACAACACGCCTTACACTGTAAAAATGTCTTTAATTGCTAAGTCATAATCAATAATTTAAGCTTAAATTGGAATTTAGAATTGTATCATGGTACGGTATAACGAACTACATTATCTACATTACATTTCTCTATTAGTAAGAGAGTTAATGCAAGCACTCTACAAAAGTTCTTTGTTTTTATGTTGTATTTTTCAACAATCTAGTTAACATGTTGGAAATTTCAAAGAAATTTTTATTATTGCTTATCGAATTTCCCATCTAATTGAAAATTTCCCCATCTAATTTTTGAAATCTAGGAATTTCTCCACAAAAAATTCGTTCAGTTCCTGGTCAAATCCATCAAAAATGACCTGGTCAAACAGTCAAAAAATCCCAGTTTCAAAAAAATCATTGTGAAATTTTTAGCAAAATGTGATGACTGGCTTTTTGTTTGTGAAAACTGGATTAGATTAGGGAAATGAATGAGAAATGACCCAATTGTGGCTCATTATTTGTCCAGCTTTCGGCTCAGTCTTATATAAAAGATATTCAGTGAATCATGGTCATAAACAAATCAAAATTTACATTTCAAAATGCTACAAATGTATTTGAAAATCTCGATTTTTGCGTTTTTCCTCATTTCGACGATTTTCGCCGAGAATCGCACTTGCGCCGATGGGAGTCAAGCAGAGATTCGTCAGTTTCTAACAATTTCAAAGTTCCATTTAAAGAGCATTCAAATTTCGCGTCTTCTATCGGCTTTTTGAACAAAGGTTTTTTTATTGGGAACGTGAACTTGCAATTTCCAAGCTGATTTCGAGTTTTTACGATTAAAACAGACATCCAAACATCGAAAACAATAAATCCATCCCAAATCCATCCCAAATCCATCCCAAATCAATGCCGATCTTTTTTCGAAATTATAGTTTATAAAAGGATATAAATTTAGTGTGTAAGAATAAAACGTCGAAATTTGTGTGCCCTACTGCCTACGATGGACAATGCGAAGTGGTCGATGGGCGACGATTTTGTTGTGGGTTTCAAGTTTGAGGCGATCGGAGGACGATCCTTGAATTGATCAATTCAGGATCAATTCTGATTTCATCAATCATTCAAAGTTGCTTAGTAGACTTTAAATTCTTGTACAGCAAAAAGAGTAATCTAAAATGAATGTTTCAAACTAGGGTGGCATCAATTTCAGTAAAAAGGCTCTAGTGGTCCATACTGGTTACATCAAAAAATAAAAGTCTAAAAAATTAGGACATTCTCAACATTCTTTAAACAACTTTTTAACCAATGAGGCTAGTTTACTGTCTTAGTTTTTCTCTAGTTTTTAGGCTAGATGAAAAGTGATTCAAACTACTGTCTAAATTACTTCAGACAGTAGTTTGAATCACTTTTCATCTAGCCTAAAAACAAAAGTTTAATGTGAATGTTTCAAATTTCTGAATATGAATGTGTAATTGCCAGCTTTAATATCTTTAAAGATTTTTCAAGATTTAAAGAGAGAAAAAGAGAAAGTTTAAAAAATTTGAGGTCCAATCAAAGATCGGCGTTTCAATCGAGTCAAGGAGGAGTCAAGGAAGGGAAACTCCGCCGAGAATTTGAAACACGAGAAAATTTCCGATGGAAAAGTTCTTCAAAAAGTCAGAACTGCTGCGAAAATGAGTATTTCAAAAAATGGGACAGGTAATATTGAAAAAGAAAACGAAAATTTAAAAACTAATAATTCTAGAAACCGAGAAGAACTCGAAGAATTCCACTGGTAAAGCGAGAAACCTCAAAAGTGAAACCTCAAAAGTCATTGTTTCAAATGGACTCAAAAATGAGACGAAAATCGGTGGGTTACTGTAAAAAAACTTATATTTTTAAGGATTTAAAACTCTTTTTCAGAAGCCACAAGAAATTCTACAAATGCTACAAGAGTCGACGAGTCTGCGACCAAAAGAGGAAAGGGTTTAAAGGCAAAGAACGCATCTGAGAAAGCTCAAAAGAAATCAGGTTTGTACAGTTGATTTTTGGGTGTACTTTTGGGCTCTCTAAAACCCCGTAAAACCACTCTTTCTGGCGCACTCAATTCTTCGATTTTCCCCGCACAGCAACCATTTAGTGATGAAGATTAATGACAATATCAATGAATCTTTAGCGGAATCGCCAAAAAATCAAACAGTCGTTTTGGAAGCACCGCGAAATGGGATCCCGTTGCTGGGTGAGTTGATGTTGCCCGTGGCTTGGCTTTAAACTATGCTTAGTACTGAAAATACCTAGGACCCGGTTCTAGGGTAAAAGAGCCTAGGCTGGCCAAACTTGAGCTTGAATTGGCCTTGAGTTTCCGTTTGAAATTTCCCTGATTATAAACATTGGAGCGTCTGATTGGTTTTTCTTTCTTACTGGGTATTTGGATATTTCTTACTGGATATACGTGCCACATTTGAAAACATAATTTCTTTGACTGGGTAATCTTTGGCTCTTGCTCAACGAAATGGCAAAAAGCTGACATTGATTTGCTTAAAATTAACTCTAATAAATTAGAGTATTTCGAATACTCAAAGAACAATTCCCCCCGCCGACTACTGCCTTTTTAACCGTTCAATCCCTATCAATTTAGAAACATTCGATCGAAACCGTTAAAAAACGGAGGCTGGTTTGCTTTTGGTCTAGCCTAGGATAAAGGAGCTTGGCTTTACATACTGACCCAAAAAAATTGAGTTTGAAACATTTGATTTATGATTGAAACTGACCAGCCAAACACACGGATTGTCATCTCTTCATCGCGCCTATAAAGAACAAATTTGAAACTCTGACTCTTTCAATCACAAAGACTCAAGCGCTAAGAATGCGAAAACTAATAAGAAAATGCCCAGATTTCATTTGATTTATTTAAAAACCTTGAAAAAACTTTAGCAACTCTAAATTATGATCTAAAAAATGCATTCAAACTGTTCAAAGATCGTTGCCAATTTAGAAAGATTGGATGAGAAACGCTACCATTTCTCCCCATCACTCTCCCCATCTGTTTTGGAGGAGATTTTGGTGACAACGGTTCGTTCTTTTCTTTCATGTATCAAAATTTGTTCATCGGAACGGGTTTAAAGGGCATCCAGTTTCATATTAAGTTTTATTATCGATTTCAATAGACACTCGTGCACTTTGAAAGGAAATAATAGAAAAGATCGATCGAAAACTGAACATTCTTAAAAGGATTTGAGAATTTTGAAACGTAGAAAAAATTTTAAAATTAAAAATGACATATATATATTGCAGGACGTCTTGTTGCCGAAAATCTCGCAAAACACGCCAAGCGAGATGACAATTTCACTCTCCAAAACGATCATTCGGGGTCAGATTTAATAAGAAAAATAAAATACGAATTAATAAGAAAAATAAAAACCTTTTTTTTTCTTTTCAGTCAATACATTGACATTTCATAATTCAGGCACTTGTTTCGACCGATACATTTATTGTGGAGAATTTCGTACGCTCTGCACTCATCCAACGTTTGAGGTCGGTTTTCGAAAAATTCAAAAATTTCAAAAGAAATCATTTCCTTCCTAAAAGACAGAAAAGAACCCTGACATTTCACCTTGACAATTTCAAAAGAAAACTTTCTAAATTGCAGTTTGTGATGGCGCAAAAGTGTGCTTTAACATGCGATCGGTGTATTGAAGGAAACATTGGCGGGGAGGAGAATCTCACGAATGACACAAGTCAGTTCATGAAAAGTAATCAACGGAAAGTTAAAGGGAAAACGAAACACTCGTAGTTTTTCAGTGTTAACTCATTGTTAAAGTTGAGAGATCAAAACTACAACTGTAACCAGATTCTATGCTAAGCAACTTTAGAAAGATATTCAAAAGGGATAAAAGTTTATTTGATTGAAGTTTCCCTGCTGAAGCTTGTATGCTTCAAGTTGAAACATTTGTTCTTTTTGTGCTCTCTCCAAATCTTGTAAATCCCTTTCTGGCCCTCAATTCTTCCATTTTTTGACATCAGTTACTGTGAGGGGAAAATGAAAGAATTGAGCGCGCCAGCAAGGCGATGTTTACGAGATCTTAGCACAGAAAAACACAAAGACATAAAACATAAAGAAAAGCTTTCGAATTTCTTATAAATTTTCCCTTTCAGTGTGCATTGATTTGAGCTCCGAGTGCCAGGATAACGTCAATTTATGTGAGGCTCCGCTTTATCGGTTAGTTGGAAATTGAAAAAAAATAAGCTCATCAAATAGACAGGATCTTTATAATCAAGAAGAAAAGCTCTCTGTATTCATTCATTTGCTAAATTTATTTGTATCCGACAAGTAGTCAACGAATTATTCACTCAAATCAAGCTTTTGAAGTCGGTTGAGTACTTTTGTAGTGAGATTGGGAGCACAATAAAATCTCATCCTCACTAAAAAAGTATTTAGCCGCAAGACTGAATATCTTTACTGAATCAACAAATGTGCTAATTTTCGATAAAATTTAGGGGTCAGTTTCAATTTTGGCATCTACTATTGATTGATTCCTAATGAGTAATATCAGCCCGTCTAATACCAGATCAAAAACTACTTTGAAAAGTCACAATTTTCAGGGAAACTATGCACAAGCTGTGCCCAAAGTCGTGCAAAATTTGCACACCATTTTGCAAGGATCGACATGATAAGTGAGTTTTGTTTCGAATTCTTCGAAAATGTATGTGATTTTAAAATTCCTAAAAACGAATATTAGCAAAAAAAATAAACAAAGAAACTAGATTTGAAATGAAAGGATCCTTTTTCCATTGGCAATTGGTTAATGTGTTCTTTGCCTAACAATAGATATCTAAAAAAATGATGGTATCCACCTAGAAATGACAAGTTTCAAGGGCTGGTCAAAGAAGTGCTTTCATCAACGCAAAATCGAGTTGACTAGACACAGATCAGACCAGTCTTGGCCTTGGGTCGAGACTTTAAATGTTAGTTGCGGGGTATATTGAGAAGTACGGTACTCAATATGTGATTAACTAAGCTGTGATGTATTATTCTCTTAAGATGGTTTTGTGGCCCATCTTTTGGGTCAAGGCAACTAATAGCCTGTAAACTGTTTTCGAATCGAAAAAATAACTTCGGTTTCAAATTGGAGCATCATTTTTCAACTAGTAACTGGTTAATTAGGATTGATTGTGATAACTAGATGAATCTAGATGAATCCAGCTGGTACTCTCAACTTTAGAATACCAGAAAACCCTGTAACTGTGTAAAATTTCAAATTTCAACTGTAAATTGAAGAACTTTCAGCTGTCTCACCTACAAAGAAGAGGGTTTCTGCGAGAATGCGATCTACACACTCAAAGAGAGACAATATTTATGTGGGGAGATGTGTGGCATTTGTGGAAATCACACAGAAAATCGTGCTTTTTAAATTCTAAAGGAATCTATTCAAATTTAAATCTTAAGAATCTGATTTGCTGAAATTATCTTTCGAATGTTTTCATTGTCACGTCGATTTGTTTTTGAGTTTCTTTCTCTTGAAACTAGAGACTTTGTGCCTTCAAAGTCTGAGATCTAGATTCTCAAAGTTTCTCTTGAAACTAGAGACTTTGTGTCATCACACGTTCTGGCTGATGGAGCGAATCCTTGGTGTAAGAGTATTTAGAAAAGATATAGATATTTAGATATAGATATAGATATAGTGAGAGTGAGAGTTTCTTTTGAAACTAGAAACTTTGTGCCTTCAAAGTCTGAGATCTAGATTCCCAAAGTTTCCTGTTGAAATCCCAAAATTTAATAGTAAAATTTCAAGGTTCAAGCGTTTTAAGTACAGTTTTGATTTTGTAAAGCATTGATCCTTAACCAAAATTTTATTTATTTGTGAAATTATTTGCAATTTTGCCCCATCAACTTTGAAACTAAAGAATCATTTTAATGGAATTTAACCGGTTTTTTTTTGTAAACCCTTTGTCCATTGCATGAAAGCCATCCAGCTTTGAACTCTCAAAGTAATTTTGACTAGACTTTGACTAGACTAGACTTTGGCTAGACTAGACTTTGGCTAGACTAGACTTTGACTAGACTAGACTTTGACTAGACTAGACTCGTGTACTTTGCTTGCTTGTTTGCTCAATTTTTGGTGTTTCTTTTCGTTTTGTCTTTCAACTTGTTACAGAAATGTTTTTGATGCAAACTTATCTATACATAAATGATTTTTTCATGATATTTTATAGTATGTTTGATGAAATAAAAAATTCTTTCAGAATGTTTCAAGAAGTTGTGTCAAAGCTTGTCAATAAGCGAATCACTAATCACTGCTTCTTTTTCAACAATCATTGCAATAAGTCAAGCGCAAGCTAACAACAAAATAAGTCCAGCTTTGAATTACATGACCAAATATTTGCATCACATTACAATCATGGTTGAAGTGTACTGTGCTTGTGGATGGATCTACAATTGGTAAGGTGGCTAATAGAAGCTATTAGATTACTAGCATCTATTAGTCTCTTGTTAATTATGAAATACCCGAGAGAAGGCTGGATGACAGGAATTTGAATTTGACTATTAAATACAAATGAATTTAATCGACAGACCGTTGCATCTGATAACCATTGAAGTTTGCCTAATGAAAATTAGACCATTTACTTTGAAGCATTGGCTTTGAAACAACATTAACTCGTTTGTTTTTTGTTTAGGTTTCAACGTAAGCTTGAGTGATGGGAAACTCTTTCCAATTCATTTAATTCTCTTCTCTTGTAGCCTTTGTTTATCAGACTTATTGTCTGTTGAGGAGAAATTAAAGAGTTGAGTGCGCCAGAAAGGGTGGGTTTGCGGGATTCGGAGAGAGTACAAAGTGCAGCCGATTTGAAGTCGAAAAAAGTTACTTATTCTATTAGAATTTCAAAAAATCTTTTACAATGGCTGGATCTCTGTGCATGCGTATTGAATTTCGTTGGCAAAAGTCAGCGTCAAGTTCAATGCATTTCCGACACCAATCCAAGACCGATTACCTTTCAAGCTTTCTGAGATTCCCGATCAATTTTGAAACCCAATAATTTCATTTCAGCGTTCCGCGTTCCCAAACGATAATCACTGTCGGCCCGAGGCCGAAAGAGTGCAAATCGAAAAAGAAAAGCGCGAAAGCTGGCAATTTCTACACAATCCCAACTTTATCAACAGCGTTTACACATTGAATTCGTCGAATTTTAGCAAATTTTTGAATTTTCTGATTCAACTAGTCTTTCCACTCATAAAACGGGTTGTTTTGCAAGGCTCAGAGTTCATTTCGTTCAAGAAATTATGTTGCAAAGATAAGTGCAATCGGCGAGTACGTCGGGAAGCTGTTGGGCTGGTGCCATTGTTGGTGTTGATCGGTCATCGTTGCACTGTCATCGCAAACTGTATTGAACACCTAAAGAACAAAGAATATAATGGTTTTAGAATGATATCAACATATCTTGTGGACAGAGCAAGCGAAACGGGTTGTGATGTTGCACAATCAGGACTCGAAAAAATGTCTATTTCTATACACTGTAAGACACGGGGAACACTTTGCAACTCTTGCTACCATCAAGCTCATTTCCAATCTTCATTTACAATATGTCATTAGAAAGTAAGTGGAAGTGAGAAAAAGAAAAGAAAAATTGGAAATCAAATGCATTGAACTGGCAGAAATGTTTTAGAAATGTTTTCAATGGTATCTTCTGATTCATTTTGCTCATTCAGCTCATAATGTAACTGAAATTTATAAATGAAAAAAGAAAATCGTTCCTTTGGCAACAAATAGGGGAAACTCCTTTACTCAAACAAAGTGCCTCCCTAGCTTCGAGAAATAATTAACCCCAAAGAGACGATAATCTATTCTCTTCATTCGTTTCACTAAATTTTTGCATCAAAGCACATCAATGCTATCCAGCTTGGGCCAAAGGAGAAGAAAATCAAATTTTTGTGAGGAACATCTTTGGGGAAACGTGTACGAAGTCTAAGTTTGTATGTGCGCAAAGAAATCATGAACCTCAGCGAAAAAAAAGTAAGTCGAAAATTTCGATAAGGGCGCTTTCTGTGCAGTAAGCTCGATCGCATCGATGTGTTTTAATGCAAAGATTTTGAGTGAGCCAAAGAGGGGGTGTTTACGGGATTGAGAGGGCGCGCAAGGTGCCCAAGAGCTTTCAATTAAAGTCTTCAATTGAAAAGAGTTCTTTAGTCAGAAAAAACGATGAAAGGATCCGAAGAATTTAATGGAAATTCCTTTTCCCGTTGTTTTTTGGAAAAAGAGGCATCTTTTTCGACTTGAAAACGAGTTTTCAAAAAAAGAAAAAACGAATGAGGCAGGAAATTCCCGGAAAGGGTTTTTCAAAAAATACTAGAGTTCTTGGATTTGAAAGCTTTGCGTGAAAATTTGGTTCGAGATTCGATCCAGATTTTGATCTTAGACTTGTTAAACTCGAAAGAACTCTGTAACCACAACGTTCGACAGAACTTCTCAATCATCTTAATTAATTCATGTAATGGCCAACCCTTTTGAAATCTCTTTTCAAACAATTTTTGTTATTTTGTTGTGATTTCTTAAATTTAGGCTTAATTTTGTTCTTGCCTCGGCTCCTTTCTGACCCTTCCTCGGCTCCTTTCTGACCCTTCCTCGGCTCCTTTCTGACCCTTCCTCGGCTCCTTTCTGACCCTTCCTCGGCTCCTTTCTGACCCTTCCTCGGCTCCTTTCTGACCCTTCCTCGGCTCCTTTCTGACCCTTCCTCGGCTCCTTTCTGACCCTTCCTCGGCTCCTTTCTGACCCTTCCTCGGCCCTTTCTGACCCTTCCTCGGCTCCTTTCTGACCCTTCCTCGGCTCCTTTCTGACCCTTCCTCGGCTCCTTTCTGACCCTTCCTCGGCTCCTTTCTGACCCTTCCTCGGCTCCTTTCTGACCCTTCCTCGGCTCCTTTCTGACCCTTCCTCGGCTCCTTTCTGACCCTTCCTCGGCTCCTTTCTGACCCTTCCTCGGCTCCTTTCTGACCCTTCCTCGGCTCCTTTCTGACCCTTCCTCGGCTCCTTTCTGACCCTTCCTCGGCTCCTTTCTGACCCTTCCTCGGCTCCTTTCTGACCCTTCCTCGGCTCCTTTCTGACCCTTCCTCGGCTCCTTTCTGACCCTTCCTCGGCTTGCCTACAGTATTCAAAGAATTCAGTCTGACTGAATATCTTTCAAATTCTCTAGAGAATTCTCGAGCTGAATATTTGAATTCCGAGATACTGTATGGGAACAAGAGACTGTGAGCTGTTCAGCTTTTCAAACAATGTAAAACGACTCTGAAGATTGATTCGCTGAAATGATTTGGATGAAGAAAGCCATTTCGTGAACGAATTTTGTCTTCTAACTTATAGTCACTATCAGTTTTCTCAATAAATAAATAAACCGGTGCTTCCCAATCTTTGCTCCACCAACCAAAACAGGATAAATGTAAATTTCCCCCGGTAAATATAGGGGAGAAATCGTAATAAATGACTTTATTAGGCTTATATTCATTAATTCTAGCTGAAATGTGTTTAAAAGCAAATAAAAACTGGGATAAAAGATGTTGAGATTGAATGATGAAGTAATGAAGTAATGATGATTGAATGCTCAAAGAGCAATTTGCATATAAACTTTTTGACGGGATAAAGATATGGAAGTACCAACAATCGTTGTAGATTTCATTTTTATGATAACCTTTAGCCTTGAACCTCTCGCAACTATTCAGTTCCTTTTTCAAAGCAAAAAGCAATAGCAAAAATAAACCCGTTCTTTGAGGCGGAACCATTTCTCTTTACCTCCAAAAAGTCTTACTAATAATTTTGTTGAAATGATTCAAAATGGATCTTTATTGTCATACAATTTTGTTCGTTTACTTTTTCTATCCTTTTTGAGCATTTTCATCATTTTATTTGGGAAATTTTTGCAGTTTTACATTGAGGATACATTAATTCGCGTAAATGGCAAGATTGTTGCCGACTTCTTTCTGAATAGATCTTAAAAGTTTTTGAATAAAACATCCAATTTCAATGTTTTCATTAAAAATTACAAGAGATTTCTTTGAGAGTTATCTGTAAAAGTGAAAATTCTCTTTTAAAATCTTTATGTTTCAATATTTAAGTTTTTTTTTTTTTTTTTTTTTTTTTTTTTTTTTTTTTTTTTTTTTATTTTTTTTTTTTTTTTTTTTTTTTTTTTTTTTTTTTTTTTTTTTTTTTTTTTTTTTTTAATGTTTCAATGTTTCAATCCATAAAGTAAAAGCCTTTGCAATTTTATAGTGGTTCAAGAATGGCGTTTGTCTGTAAATTCGTTAATCGGCAGCGTTTCTTTTGTTCCATAGTTGATCTGAAATGGATCCCTTCTAGGCAGCGGATTAGCTGAAAGAACTTTTTAAGGTAAAAGCCTAAAATATTCAAATTTTTCCCGACTACTTTTCATTGGATGGGTCAGGTGTGTGAAAATTTGCCTTATCTAATCTTTTTCTTCCATTCTTTCAGCTTTTTCTTTCATCTCCTTTTGTAAATGAGTTGTTTTCAGAAGTGAAGAGAAAACGGGAGAAAAAAAAATCGATTTTGAATTCTGTTTTGCATTCACACGAAAGCTTTTCCGAAACTTGATAACTTTACTATTACTATTACTATAACTTCTTCTCAAGATCTCTGTTTTTCCTTTTGTTCATTTAAACCAAAACGATCAACCGAGTGGAACAGAGCTGAGCCACAAAAAATCGTTTGAACCAAGTAGTTTTCTCTTTTCTTGAGTCAATCATCTCCAAATTCGTTTCATTCATTCGTTTTTGTAGTTATTCTGTTACTATCATAATTCTTTGCTCAAAAGTTGTACGTTAAAGAAGCATTCATCCAAAACCTCCTTCGATTTCTACTTGACTATCGCATTCCATAGTTATTCAACAAACAACAAAAAACAAATCAAATTTCCAAAGCGAAACTGTCGATCTTTATGCCTGACTCTCCAATTAGTGCAACCAAAAAGCTCGTTGAAATCAAAAATCGCTTTCACCGTTTGTCCTTTGTTGTAAAAGTGCCAATCGTTAAGCTTTGCAAAAAAAAAAAAGAAATCGTGTTTCAATTTGGCTAACTACCAAACAAAATCATCAGGTTTAGAGGTCAGAGTTTCAAATTTCTCAAATATAAAACACATGAAAAGTGTTCAATTTCCAATTTCCTTTTTCGAATGTTTACAAAAACTCGGAACACTTATGCCCGAATTTCCCCTGTTAGACTTTTTGCTTTCCAAAACAAAGGAAAATGCCGAATGCCTCACCGAATGCCGAATGTTTTGTCTCAAACTTCCGAATTGGTACCTAAATTACTTTGTTCGGCAGAATTTTGTTCATTTTAGCGACTTTTTTGACTCCAGTGCACCTTAAAACTTTCTATTTTTGGTTATAATCTCCTTTTTTTATTCTTTTGAGTGTACTTTGGGCTCAAATCATCAAATCGCACCTTTTCTGGCGCACTGGAAATGTTCGGTTTCAAGTTTATCGGGATGAAACCTGATCGTTTCCTTGCAATACTTGGCGTTTTTTGGCTGTGGTTGTTGGATGTGACCGGGCCAAATCTCACCAAGACTTACTTCTTCTGATTGCGAATACAACTTCAAAACTTTGGCTTGGGCAAAAGGTGCCACTCTGCGAGGAACACACTCTAGCATGCTACGTGATTGTAAATTGAGTATCTTGTGCTTAACAATGAAATTACGGTACCTTTTCCAAAGCACTTTAGTCGTCAAAAACATGGTCTATTTCTGTGGAACTTTACAAAATTGCAAAGAAATTTTCTGTTGTTTCAATTTTCTCAACGTCAAGCGGTCTTTTTCTTGTTTCAAGCCTGTTTAAATGCCTATAAAGCTCTTCAAAACTTTTCATGAACTTTTCCTTACCTCGTCCATTTCAGCATGCTTCGAAAACCTCAAAAGAAACCGAGTCCGTGAAAAGCGAAGAATTATGGTATTCCGCCGAAATTCTCTGTTATTCCTAATTTTTTCACTCATCTTCGTATCAACAAGTGCCCAGAATTCATCAAGTTTCACTCAACATGGATCACCGGTCAGTAAATAAACTGTGTTGTCCATTGTGTCCCCCGAATCCGTAAACACCTCCCTTCTGGCTCACTCAATTCTTCCATTTCTCCTCGTGATATCAAATCGTTGCTGTGAGGGGAAAATGGAAGAAGTGAGTGCGCCAGAAAGGGGATGTGTACGGAATTCGGAGAGAGCTGAAAGTAAATACAATTACCGTTTAAACCACATGTTTTAAGCTGAACGGCATGAAAAAGCGCCAATTATACCCAATACATTCTCGATTCGAGTATTTCCAGCTATTCGACCCGATGCCGATCCGCTTGTCTCCAAGCGTTTGCACCTCGGAGACTCAGGTTTCAATGTTTCAAAGTTTTTGTGTAGTAGAGCTAAAAGTTGATTACAATCTACCTAACATCTGATCAACCCGGCATGTTGTAAATGCCATGCGTTCATACGTTTTCTTAGTAAAGTTCATGCTTTCATGTTTCATTCATGCATTTCGGCAGAATACCATCTCGCTTATTGTTAAATTATAATAAATGGTATTTACGTGCAATTTTTCCAAGAAGTTATTCCCAACTTTATCGTTTTACTTGCTGAAAATTATACGCGCTTGCTTAGTGTATACGCAAACATTGTTACATGGTTGCGCGCGTCTTATAAGGATGCCAAATGACTTTTTTCTTTTTTTTCTAATAACTCACCCCAGTGATTCCCAGTTCATCGAGTACAACACAAACAGTTTGGATATTCCATGCCCGGAATGTGAAATCTAACCAGTCCTAAAACTTCAAAAGTAATAGTTAGAAAAAGATGCCTAAATCTTGTTTACGTTATGTGTATTCACTCTAGTGATTCCCAGTTCATTGAGATCAAGACAAACTGCTTGGATATTCCTTACCCTGAATGCTAAATCTAGCCAGTCCTAAAACTTCAAAATTGGCGCTAAACTTAGATGCTTAAATCTTCTTTGCCTAATGTGTATTCACCCCAGTGAATCCCAATTTATCGAGTACGATACAAACTGGTTGGATATTCCATGCCCTGAATATTAAATCTAGCAAGTCCTAAAACTTCAAAACTGGCGCTAAGCTTGGATGGTCGTATCTTCTTTACATTAAGTGTGTTCACTCTAGTGATTCCCAATTCTCCGAGATCAACACAAACTTTTTGGATACTTCATGCCCTGCTTGCTAAATCTAGCAAGTCCTAAAACTTCAAAACTAATAGCTAAAAAAAACTGCTTAAATCTTCTTTACGTTATGCGTATTCACTCCAGTGATTCCCAATTCATCGAGTACGATAAAAACTGTTTTGATATTTTATACCGTGAATGCTAAATCTAGCAAGTCCTAAAACTTCAAAATTGATAGCTGAAGAAAGATGCTTAAATCTTCTTTATTGTATGTGTATTCACGCTAGTGATTCCCAGTTCATTGAGATCAACACAAACTGTTTCGATATTCCATGCCCTGAATGTTAAATCTAGCCAGTCCTAAAACTTCAAAATTGACGCTAAGCTTAGATGCTCGTATCTTCTTTACCTTCTGTGTATTCACTCCAGTGGTTCCCAATTCATCGAGTACGATAAAAACTGTTTGGATATTCCATGCCCGGAATGTGAAATCTAACCAGTCCTAAGACTTCAAAATTGATAGCTGAACAAAGGTCTTAAATCTACTTTATCCTAAGTGCGTTCACTCAAGTGATTTCCAGTTCATTGAGATCAACGCAAACTCCTTGAAAAATTTGAACGTATTTACCACTTACTATAATTTAACAATAAGTGAAAAGTTACTAAACATGAACTTTACTAAAGAACGTATGAACACATGAACAGTCACGCACGAACTTTCAAATGGATGGAACCCATGAATATGGACGCATGAACGTATGACGTTTAAAACATACCGATCAACCCTGTTTTATAAGCATCAGTGAGTGCAGGGAGCGGTAATTAAAAGTGCCCAAGTTTCAATGTTTTCAGCCTAGTTTAATTTCATTGATGAGTTTAATTTTTTCATGTTCTATTTAAAGCTTTCCAATCTATTTAAATAAAATATTTAAAGGTCCAGGTCTAATGTTTTATTTCATGCAAAAGTGCCATTCTAACATTTTGTTTTAGACGGTAATCATCGTGCACTCATCAGTGGCGAATTTCGAGCGCCGAGAGGTCATTAGGAAGACGTATGGAGAGGAGAAATATCGGAAAAAGGTGCGCATTTGATTAGGAATAGGAAAAAAAAGCAATAGGAAAGGCTACTGTAATAAAAAGATTTGTTAACTTGAACAACCACTCAAATACAGTATGCGCTCGTGTCCTAATGCTTTCCTGATTCATTTTCTAAAACGTGTCCCTTTTTCCTTTCTACCGCCATCTTGTCTCTATTTATTGAATCTATCCACTTTTTGTCTTTCGATATCCTTTTTGAACCCACACGGAATCAGACAAAAAGTGATTGGATAAAAATAGAGAAAAGATTACGGTCGAAGGCGGAATGGGGACACGTTCTAGGAAACACATTAATTAATTAACACTAGCGTGAACTAGCCGGCTCTGGTACCAAGTACTTTGAAACAAATACTTTAAAACTAAGATATTCAAAATTAGATATTCAGTTTATTTTCTAAATTCTAGTACGGCTACGAGGTGATCTTTGTGACCGGTCGGAAAGCGGAGAATGTCCTCTTTGACAAGTGGGTTCTGAATGTATCAAATTTGATGCATCAAGCGCATCACCAGACCTCATAGAAATCAATTAGCATTTAAGTCTTCTTTCTAAATTGATTTCGAAATCTAAAGTCTAAAGTTAAAGAACGGTCTGTGCAATACCGAGAGAAGTGCAGCTTTTACAGCTTTTACATTTCCAGATGGATCCACGAGGAATCCAATCAACACGAGGACATTTTACAAGGAGACTTTATCGATAGTTACGAGAATATCACGATCAAGGTTTGGTTTTGAAAACAGTGAGGACAACCATTAAACGGGCTGTCAATGCTGGGATGCTGTTAGAATTGAAACATAGAATTGAAGGGATTTCTAAAAGGCACCCAAAACAACCGTAACCCAGGTGTCTTTCTGATATTAAGCCTTATTTAGCTCTTCACGATAATGAGAATACAATAGCTTTTCTCTAAGCGCACCTTTTAGAAAACGCTCCTTGTTGTAGTCGCGTGTGCGCTTTCTCTGATTGATTCAAGACGGAATTTATCTTTTATCCCGTTCCTTAAATCACTATCAAAAAGAGAGAACAAGGGGAAATAACAAAAATGAGCCGAGTGGATAATTGCGACTACGCGAGAATCCAATTGACGCGATAAAAAGACAGTGCCTTTTAAAATACATCAATTTGTATTTAACTCAGCACTCCTTATGGGCACTTTGCTTGAAATTCCAACTTTTTCAGGGTCTCCTTTGGCTTCGTTACGTTTCTGTCAGCTGTCCTTGGTCGAGTTTTGTCCTTCATCTCGACGATGACATCATCTTCGACGTCAACCAGATATTCATGCAATTAATCGAGTGAGACTTTGGTTTAAATAAATTGAATTTTGGATTGAATGCGCATGCAAGTAAGTTCTGTAGTTAGGAGAAGAGCTTTGTCGAAGTAAAATATTGACGTGGTGAGATCTTAAAAGTATTCACTAGTCTTCAAAGTTTTTGCTTTATTTAAAAACCAAACTTTGATTCAAAAGTCAGTTCAAAACTGATCTTCAAATTTGAGCTTCAAATTGGACGACAATTCGGTGATTTGCTTGACAACAACCTATCAATCCGGGGAAATCGTCAGGGATCCAAAAGCGAGATGGTAAGGTCGTCGAATTTGAAGTGAATTCTATAATTGTCACTCATTTATTAGCCTGCTCTAGCTTTTGAGTCGTTTTACTTGGAACTCTTTGATGGTGTACTTTGTGCTCTCTTCAAATCCCGTAAACACCCTCTTTCGGGTGCACACAATTCTTCCATTTCCCTCGTGACACCGAATCGTTGCTGTGAGGGGAAAATGGCAGAATTGAGTGCGCCAGAAAGGGATGTTTAAGAGATTTGGAACGCATAAGTACGCACAGGCAAAGATCAAACTGTAATCGTCTCCTATCTCCACATCAATTTTCATTTAATAATAAAACTTGAGGTTTGTCTCCTATACGGCCTTCTCCGAGGACACCTATCCGGCCTATTGTGCTGGAGCGGGTGAGTAGAGTGCAGTGAATCAGACAAGAATAAGAATTAGATAAGAATAGAGACAAGATTACGGTAGAAAGGGGAAAGGGGATACGTTTTAGAAAACGAATAGGTTGAATTACGATAAAGAGTAAAATTTCCTTTTAGCATACCTTCTTCTCGCCGAGCGACTCCCAGGGATCATTCGTGAGATCACCAAATACGAGTACATTCCGGTGAGTTGTGCTTATTTGGTTCTTGTTTTTCTTTTTCTATAAAATGCATCATACTACTGTATCTTAGTTAGCTAATAAAGTAGCTTTACCAATAGAAAACTGCTTGTACATACTGTATCCGATCACTTCAGATATACATTTTCAACTGACACTGCCAGCAACTTTTTAATTTCATCTCAAATCTCAATCTCAAATTTGGAAAATTTCAATAACATACTTAAGTCCATCCTTGAAAATGAATTTCTCCGGCATTTAAAAGTGTGTTTGATCTAATCGATTTCTTAAAAGGCACTATCCACCCACCAGTAAAGGCACTATCCACCTACTATCCACCTACTATCCACCCACTATCCACCCACTATCCACCCACTATCCACCCACTATCCACCCACTATCCACCCACTATCCACCCACTATCCACCCACTATCCACCCACTATCCACCCACTATCCACCCACTATCCACCCACTATCCACCCACTATCCACCCACCAGTCTTCCTTTCGACCAGCCCAATTTTGGTATGATTGACTGAAGCTTGTGATTCCCTCATCGAATCATACCAAAATTGGGTTGATTGAATGAGAAATGGCGAGCGGATTACGGTAGTTTTGTTTGAAATGGGTGTCTTTAGAAATTACAAGAAGTATCTTTTTCAGATCGATGACGTTGTGATCACGGGAATCGCGCGTAAACGCCTTGATCTCAACATCCATCAGGTCTATCCGTAAGTTTCAAAAATACTGTAGACAATAGTGCAGAATAGGAAATGGATGACGGTAGAAAATGAGTTCGATTACGGTATAATGTCATTTCAGTGAAGCCATTCTGCGCAAAGACGAAGACACCGTCACCGAGTATTTTCTGAATGGCTGGGCGGTGGTGGGCGAGTGTTTGACGATCCAGTGTATGACGCATATTTGGCGTTTGTGAGTTTTCAAGATGGTATTCGGATCTCGAATAGGACACGACTCCTGCATAGAGGGGTAAGATGGGATGGAACTCATTCTCAGCGAATGACTCAGCAAAAACGAAGCGCATATTCTGATTCAGCGCAAAACTCTGGATCGACAAGTCTAGGTTTCATTCGATTTCGTCACCTTAGTCAATTTTCAACGGATTCTGAAGTAGAGACCACAATTGTCAGTTTTAATCTTCACCAATTCAACGAATCACTCCAACGACAACAACCTACCTTCCCTTGAAATTACAGTAGCTAAACAAGAACTGAGCAATGCAGAGTTACATTACGAAATTTAGTAAGTTTAACCTTGAATTGTGGAGAGGAATAGCCGTGCAGTACCAAGTTTTACCGTACTTTTCTTTCAGAATTACGGTAAAGACGCCACCAAAAGAGGAAAATGTTGAGAAGTGGATAATAAATGTTTCAGGATCACATCCAATATGACGAAACGGGGGAGAATCTCGCGGTGGCCGGTCAACGAGAACGGGTTGGTTGAGATGAAAGGGGAAATATCAGTCTCACTACAGTCACCGAAACAAAAGCATTCAGCTGAGACTGAATATCTTTCAAATTCTTTAATTAAAGCTAAAGATATTCAGCCAGGTTGAATAATTTAGTACTGTAGTTTGACAATAGAGAAATCCTTCCTGATCGACACTCACACCTAGCTCAAATACGGTAAAAGCATGTAAAGCTTTTGATTGATGAATATCTTTTATCTTTGATTTAGCCACAAAATCTGCATATTTTGCGCTCTCCAAATCCCGTAAACACCCCCTTTCTGGTGCACTTCCATTTCTGACACCAATTTTCGTTGTTGTGAGGGTAAAATGAGAAACGAGTGCACCAGAAAGGGGATGTTTATGAAATTCGGAGACATTACCATAATCATAACAATTTTCAGCTACAATCTCTTCGTGATTTCATCAATTTTACTCGCCACGGGTTTTTCCTTGATTTGCTGTGCATTTCTTCTGCGTTTCCTCTGCAATATGAAACGGGTCCGATTGCGGCGACGGATTACAATTTCCCCGAAAAAGGGAGATCACCTGTCGCAGTGAGAAAAAGTTAAGCTTTAGTTATTTTAACTAATCCATTTTCTATTTTGCACTAAACTGTTTCCATAATCTTTTTAGTTTACCTATTCTATGGATTATTAGTTTTTCATCATGTTCGACTTGATCAAATTCCCAAAAAGAACTTATCATTCCCCAAATTACTCAACTTTGGCTTTAATTTCACTTATTCATCTTTGTCCTTGATCACTTTTTGCACTCAAATTTTCTCATTGTCAATAATTTTGGTGCTGAACATAGGAGAATTCTTACCATTTCTTGAGTTTTGGCTCAATTTTGATATCAGTCCAAGATAAATATTTTAACCTGCAAGAAATCTAATCAAAAAAAAAAATCATCCCAGAAAGCTTTATTGTCAACTCTGAAAATCACTTAACCTTGTTTTACATGATCGAATTGTCCTCGCATCACTTGTTGTTCTCGTCCTTCCTCGGGCTCACCTCCTTTCTTTGCCGCTTCTCTCTCTTTCTTGTCTCTAGTTTCCTGAAAAAAATTGTACATCAATACATTGGTTTACAGCCTACAAAAGTACAAGTATAGCAAATAAATCACCTACAGTTTGATTTAAATCTTTTAACAGATGAAAAAACCAACTCGTTAGTTAGTTTACCTGATGGTATTGGACTGGTGCCACCTTTCGATTGCTGACGGGTCGTTTCGACTCTTCTCAACGCATCCAATCGCAAGAGAAACTAAAGCAAACTTCGATAGATATTAATCAGGGCTATCGAATAAAACCAAATGTAGCCAAATCGCCAAATTGAGAACAACACAACACAGAAAAAACACAAAAAAACGTAGTTTGCCTCTGGCAATGGAGACACTTGTGGGCGGTACTCTGGGGAACGCTGTAAAAGTATACTCTCAGGGAAATCTTTTCCTCATTTTTTAGTCTCGCAACGTTCTTTCGGTTAGTCGGCTTAAATCTGCTTGATGAGCTTCTTTTCGAAATAGAACTGTTTATTCTTAAGACATTTGTTAAGGAAGAGGATAAACTCCTTCCATGTGAATTAACAAATGTTGAAAGAGCTGGCCCTTCTCCGTAGCTCTTCTAAACATATATTCAAACAAATAAGTTAGAAGCCGATCTTTTGTTGTTCCCCGGAGGTGACGAATTGAAGCCTTGATCGCACCCCAGGTTGCTTCCACCTGCAATTATAGAATCTAAGCTTTAAATCATTAAGTAAACTTTTTGTTTGTGAATAGTGACTTTTTTGAAAAAAGACCACGATTTAGAGAAAGAGTCAGAAATTCTTAAGGCATAAGCATAAGTATTTGTATTAGGACCGTTTTATAAATGATTAGGTAAATTGTTCATTTTGCAGAGGGCATTTCGGCAAAAGAAAATTCCCGCACTTCAACTACTCCCGAGAAGCCACCACCACCAAAACCCGCGAGGAAAAGATCGAGGAAGAAGCTCTACTTAGTGGTTCCCATTGAGTAGGTTTTATGTTTTGAATCTTCAAGGGTATTTCCCTCTGATTGCAAAGTTTTTAAAGTAAAAAGCACATCTTTAAATTTCAGATTGCTTCTCAGTCAAGGACACGAGCCTATGTACGATCCATGTGGTAATGCTTGTAATGGCAACGTCTCCTTTCTGTTTTTCCAGGTGCCGCTCTTCCCGAATACCAGCGAATCTACAGAAAACTACATAGCGGGCGAAATTTTAAGTAAGTAAAATAGCTTTATGTTTCTACCTTTTGCATTATTTTTCATTGATTTCTTTTAGGAAACTCGTTGCCGAATCGACGCGATGACTCGAAGAGGAGCGAGTAACAAGGATTCGAGCATCTTAAAGTTACAATGGAAAATAAATTGTTTTTCCATTAATTTTTAATTTTTTTTTATTGACTCAACTTGTTATTTAGGAAAGTTAGGCCTGCTTTTTTGTGACACTGTGTAAGCCATTGGGGCTTTTCTTAAAAAAACTTTGCCAAAGACAACGCTTTTTCGTGCGAATTGCGCCTATGCACACTTTTATCCGTGTGCTCATCGTCAACAGTGATATTGTCCTTTATGAATTTAACACGGGGGTCGTTTTACAAGGTGGAATCCTGTTTAAAATCGGTGAAGCTTTACCTAAGCTTTTGAAGAATGCTTCAATTTGATCAATCTTTTGATTAACAAAGCAAATTTTTGATGAATCCTAGTCCACATTTTAAACAAATCTTCTTTCTCTTTTACATTTATCTCACATAAGAAATTTTGTATTTCCAGGTAGTTTCCCCGAGGGAAGAGCTCACCCGCGATGACTACTCTCAGCAAGATGAGCACACCAGGGCTGGCACTGGCTAAATGTTACAAGTAAGTTGTTTAATCTTTTATCTATCTTGCTTGCTTAAATATTGCAAAGCGGTCATTAGATAGATTAGGCTTTTAATCGAAAAGTCAATAGTTGGAAAAGTTGAAATTCAATAGAAACAACGGTTTCTTTTCTACGACAATAATGATGCTAGCTTATTACGGTTAAAACTTTTACATTTTTTCTTTAGGCAAGGCCTTATCCCAGCAAATGCTTTTCTTCAAATGTCCATTCGCTGCTCACACGCGCACGTTTTTCGAAAGAGACCAGCTCAACTCATCGTCAATCGGATCAAGGTAGAGTTTGCTTTGCTAACTGACCTGATAATCTATGTAATTCAAAATTAATCTAGTAGTTATTAAAAATGAGTCTTGAAATGAAGACGGAAGATCGTTTTTAGGATATCGTGCACTTCTACATGATCGGAATCGGTTTGATGCCCGTGCTAGGTTTTCTCTTCTATCTTCACGTCGTGAACGGAACTTGCGAGCTCAAGGATATCCCAACAGAAGTAAAATTGCAATTCAAATTTCATTCACAAAGCCTCTAGGGTCCACCACCCGCTTACTGGCAATTCGAAAGGACCCCGGCTCGTCAATGGTTTGCCAGAAATTTCGGCATCTCTGACATGGAACATCACGAACGAAATTTGGCCTATTACGAGAAGATGGCCACCGTATCACGATGGAGGTAAATATTACTCGTATTACGGCTTAATAAGTTTTTTAGGAAAATCGAACAACGAATGCGGCATCTTGAGAGCGAGCGATTGGACTACAAGGGATGGCATTACACCCCCGTATCGGCTGATTGGGTAAGCAAATTTTTGAATACATTTTAAAATTTAAAATTTTGTAGAATAAACTTGTTTTACTTGCAGATTGATCTTGGTCGCCATCACGCTCTGACGATTCGCGATAGATATGAGCAACACGGTCACTACGGATATTAAAGTATTCACGCAACAATTTTATTGTGAAATCTTTGTTTGTTTAGATCTGGCCAGCTGCTCGAGCCCCACTAGCCATTGTAAAGTATCGACTCAATTATAGTTGTTTGTTTGTTTAATCGTCTCTCTTTTGTATATTTTAGCAGTGATTATGTCTTTGGAGAATAAAGATTACGTTCTTTCTGCTATTCTGATCGACTTTTGGGATTTCCCTGTTTGTCTATTCTTGAAGCTCTTGTTTGTAAAAGTTAACAGCAATTTTAGAGTTCACAGAATAAAAGAGGAGTAGTGAAAAAATTAGTGCCTTCAGAGCAAGTAAGTATTTCGATAATTTTATTAGCGACAATACCAATAACCAATTGCAACCTACTCTTAGTATGCTCGAAAATGTCGTCGCGTGGGTGCTCAATAACTACGTCGGCGAGTATCTTGAAAATTTGAACACCGATCAGCTATCATTCGCCCTATTATCAGGTTTTGGATTAGACTTTAAACTTTAAACGTTAACTTTTAGGCCAATTGGAGCTCGAGAATGTACCCCTTAAAAAGTCGGCTCTACAAAAGTTCGACGTTCCATTGGAGGTTAGTGATTTAGCTTTAGTTACGGTACTTTCCCGTTATACCCCCACGGCATCAATCCCATTAGACCCCCACACGCATCATTCCCGTTATACACCCACATCTAAAAAAATTAGGATTTCAAAAATTTGCATTTATCCGAATGATGTTTTTTCCCAAAGAAACAAATATTTTTCTATTAACATTTTCTGCCACCGGCGGCGGCAAAATCCTTCCACAAGTTTGGATTCTTAGTGTCATTCGTTATTCTTGGTGTCACACAAAAAACATCATTCGGATAAATGCAAATTTTTGAAATCCTAATGTTTTTAGATGTGGGTATATAACGGGAATGATGCGTGTGGGGTCTAATGGGATTGATGCTGTGGGGGTATAACGGGAAAGTACCTTAGTTACTTTTAAAGATGTTTTTCAGGTCAAAAGTGGCGTGCTTGGTAAATTGACCTTGTCAATTCCGCTTACCAGAATAAGGTTGATTAACTTTTTAGCACGTTATTCACTCTTAATTTAGAAGCGAACCTTGGGTGCTGAAACTTTCGGACGTTTTGATAATTGTCGGTCCAAGATCAAAAAAACGGTACGATGTGGAAACGACAGAGCAAACCGAACAAACAAAGAAGGAAATGATGTTGAACGAGTTGGAGAAGAAACATTGTGTAAGTTGAAAAAGATATGAAACTTGCAATATATATTTTTTGCAGAAGAAACTCTTCGAAACAATGGCCATCACCTCCGCAATAACAGATGAACAAGAATCTTGGTGGGGCGCATCTATTATCGCAACTGTCGTCAACAACATCCAAGTAAGTTTTTGTTTTAAAGACATAACAATTAAATTTAGTTGATCTTGACAAACGTGCATGTACGATACGAGGACGATCAAACTTTACCCAACGGACTTTCCTTCATCTGCGGAATTCGGTATGTGGTCTAATTTAATACTGTTATTAAAGACTAGCACATGCATGACTAACCGATAAAATTTAGAATACAAAAGATGACCGTACAGACGACAAATCACCATTGGGTAAAGATTACTGTTATTTCAGTCTTTCAATCGAGCTTTAGAAACCTGGCTTCGTCGAACCGCAAGAAGGAGTCAACGTCTTCAAGAAGTTAGAGCTACAAGGATTCTCATTTTATTGGAACTCAAATCAAACACCGGCCAAAAATGTCTCGACAATAAAGGATTTGCAAGTAAAATTGACCGATTCATCAATAACTTTTGTTTGCTTTAGAATCTACTCTCGCCTGAAGATGCGGAGACAAACACGTACATCGTTGAACCGTGCAGCATCGAACTTCGAATGGAGAAAAACAGCAGCAAGTTGCCATTGAAAGGAAATCCGCCTATTCCGAGGTTCAAGGTAAGATAGACTCTTCTAAGTACAAGAGAGCAAAACTAAAATTTTCCTTTTAGTTCTGGCTCAAACAAGAACGAATCATTCTTGAACTATCAAGACGACAAATGAGCGAACTTCGGGCTTTAAATCGCGAATGGAGTCGGTGAGTTTTAAAAAACGGTGCTACATTTATTTGTCGTTCTAGATACGAACGTGGTCGTCTTCACAGAAAATGGAGGCCTGTAGCAGGTGTTGCTGAAAAGTTTGTGTTACCTTTCAGCATAAAATATTATTTTAATTTAGTGCAAAGGAGTGGTGGAAGTTTGCATACAGTCGGATCATCGACGAGAGGAGAAAATCAAACTCTAGAAGAACTTGGTCGTTTGCACTCACACGAGCACATCACTTGAATGCTTATGCAAGGGCATATCGGAGACGGTTACTGGTGTTGATCAGCAACGAGTCGGCTAGGTTTGGATGTGGAAATGGGTTGATTTAAATACGGTTACAGGAAGATTCAAGACGCTCCACCACAAAGCGATCCAACTCGGCCAACATTGGGCACAGAAGAGCGAACGATCATGAAACAGATTGAGCGGGATGACCAGTATACATTCAACGTGAGAAGTTTTGTTAAAGCTAAAATTTTTCTTTTTAGGAGTTGCATGTATTCCGGGAGACCGTCTTCCGGAAGCTTCTCAGAGAGAAGGAAATCGAATTGGGATTGACGCCAGACGAAGAACGAACTTCGGGCACTGATACGCCACCAGAAGAACAATTTGAAAACTTGGAAAGGTTTCAATTTTAACTCAAATCTTTTCGGTCATACAATTTTAATTCAAGGTCAAAAATCCGTTTACATTATAAAACTTTATTTTAGTCCCGTAGAAGAGATAGCTCTGCAGTCCGAGCCTCCAAAAGGTCAAGGTGTTTATGGTTGGATTACAAGTTTCTTCACTGGCAAAGAACAAGGTTTATTGAGCTAGATGAGTCTCATAAAATATCGATCCAGAAACCGCTCAAGAAGAACCGGCTTTTGACTTTGGGCACATGGACCTACAAGAGCTCAAGAATGTCCCGCCGGCGTTCAAAGAGATTGAGAAGCAGGTTGGATGAAATAAAATTTTTTTCTTCAAATGCCAAATCTTACTTATTATAAGACGCAAAGTTTGTGTGTCTGTCCGGGTCATATGTAACTCGAGCCCCACTAGAGATTACTTTCAGATTTTTGGGGACAATGTAATTAATGCCTGGAATTTGGCCTGTAAAGTCAGAATTCAAAAATCTAACCGTTTTTGGATAAAGTGGAAAATACCAAAATTGGCAGCGAGATCAAAGGTCTTCAAAAACGAATTTTGAGCTTACTTTCTGGGAATATACGGAGAAAAATAGGCTGGTCTTTTGGAACTAGAAACGTTTTGAAAAATTATATTTTGAGAAAGCTGCGAAGGTGGATAATTTGAGAAAAGCGGCGGTGAAGACCAAGGGGAATCTTGGGTATAAGAGAATTTGAAATCTCAGATTCAATTTAACTGTTCTAAATGAAAATATTGCTAGAGTATAATTGCTTGCAAATCTTTTCTTGAGTTTATAAATTGATTAAAGCAAATTGCGATCAGGGATATTAATTTGCGTCGTCCGAACCATTCAACAGAAGTTAACCCCCAGCGAAGCCTGGGGTTAACTGCAGGTGTCTGATTAGATAGAAGAAGAGATCCTCGACGTCCTACACCATTCTTGGGACGATTCAACGATTTTGAGGAAGGATTTGTTGCTGGCCGAGGTGGCCATGAAGTTGGACAAACTGACGCTAAGATTTGTTGATGTGAAGGTACAAATTGAATTACATGCAGAAAAGGCAACTGATTTTAGTTGAACACAACCCTCGAGGAGCGCCGAGTGTTGGCTGTGGATTTGATGCAAGTCACCAGCCGAGTGCAATTGGCCCCGAGAACACACACCCTAAACGTCTCGCTGAATGTGCACGACGCTGAATGTGCAATCCAACGGTTGATCACCACATGCAAAAGGCATAGAGTTAGTGTTCTTAATCGAATGTTTGAAGTTGACTAACTTTAGGAAGAAAGCATGCACAATTTCGAGCTCAACGACTCATTGATGTATTCGACTAATGAGAACACAAAGGTACTGTTAAAAACCGAATAGTGACAATCTTTTTTCTCAGGTACTCCTGGCTATTGGAAGAGGAACACAAAGCTCCGATCTAAGCAAGCCGTTATTTAAGTAAGGGCTTGTCTCACAACTTGTCTTTTTGTTAACCTCGATAAAACTTGTACAAGATTTATGTCTTAGGATGCAGTATCGACGACGTTCTCCGCGACTCATCGTTCGCCACATCGTTGAAGGAACGTTTCGCCCGATTTCGTTGATTTGCGATGAAAATGCGCTGAATGGGATTGGCTCTGTCTTTGAGGTGAATAAATTTACCACTCAATTTGCAACCACAAACGTTAAACCAAATTCATTTTTGGTTTTTTTGTATATTGGTTATTTTCACTTATGTTAATGTGTTCAGGATGATCCGGAAATCGCGTTCGCCCAAAATGCAATTGCGCCTCTCGAAGAAGTAAGTGGTTTGAAGGGTTACTTGACGTATTTCTCTTGTTATAGCTCGCCGAGACGTCGTGTGAACCCCTTCAGAGTAACGGGAATGCACCAAGTATTCAATTGGAGTCACACGTCTTTGTCGATCTCAATCTGCCAAATGTAAGTGCATGTGATAAATAAGTGGAATTTAGTAACTAAGGCTATGTAAACACAACGCAATATTACAAGAAAAGCTCTTTGTCTTTTAGATCTGTGTGGTGCTGCGCAAGAAAGAATGGGAAACGGAACGAATAAAGATGGATTGCCCGGTAGAACAGTTCGCAAAAATCAACATTGATGATGCGCATCTGAGTGTGATCAGCAAAGAGCAATTCGTGAATACGGTGCACAGTTTGGCGCTTTGTTTCATTTGATTTCTTCAGGTGACACTTGATGTTGGCCATATGGACATTCAAGATATGTTCGAGAAAACGAAGACCATGCAGAATACCACCTATCCATTATTGAGTACAAAGAAGACGCGTGATTTGGTTTGCTTTTGAATTTAAATGATTAAAAATTTAAGACTTAAAAAATGTTCAGCTAATAATATCAAAGCGTTTTTAGAAAGCTGCCTCTACGAGTTGCCCAAATTTGAACACGATCCCACAAAGTGTCGAAACGTTTTCAACATCTTTGCCAAATGAAGGATTCCTTAATGGTAATCAACAGAAATCATTATTCGACTAGTTGGTTTCAGCCCTTTCAACGCTTCAACTAAATGCAAAGCATGAGCGGTTTAATGTTGGGGCCTCTCGGAAAGCAAGCGGTGCTTTGAAAAGTGAGTTTATTCTAAGAAACGGCAAATAAAGCAGCACTTAATCTATAAACTCTTTGAATTGAACACCCTAGCCACTTGAACTCAAATTTAATCAGTGCAAGTCTAATTCTAGATCCATCGACGGCGATCCATCGATCACGGACCGAGGCGAGCATTCGATGCACGATCATCGACCCGCGTCACCCGGAATTCGAGACCAAATTCAACAAGGTACGGTTTCGTAATATGCAACATTATGTGAATTCACATGTCTGTAACAGGGTTACTAGGTTTCAACATTTATTATTCGGGGACAAAAAGCGCAGACAAGCGGGCACGTTGCACTTCTCATACAAAAATGTGGCAAAAACTAGTTTAATTTTCGAAGTTCTCTAAATCCAATCGAAAGTAGTAGGGTCCTTGAATGATTGAGGTGGTGGCTCCAGAGCGTTTTCCAAATCTGAAAATGGACAATTTGAGTTGTGAAAGTGGGATTAACAAATGGGATAAAGCTTAACTTTAAACTCCATTCGTTAGGTTAGCGTTTGATAACTGTTTCAACTCTCTAATACCCTACCGCATTCTTCCGTTCATCGTCTTGCCTTTCAGCTCGCTGACAATGCCGTTCAGTGGTATGAAATCCTCTCTTCGCATTACCTGAAAGGGGATTAAGTTTAATCCGAAGGTTGTTGAATCTTTTTACCCCCGCTCTTACACTTTAAAACAGATTATTTATTAAATTCCTTAGCTAGTGACTAAAGTTTACGGGATTTAAATTCAGGTTTGAAGTGCTAGCTTAGTCTACCTGGTGAGGTCGCTCATCAATGTAGAGAGGATAAGCTCCTACAAGAGATAAAATTGTGGTGCTCAATAGAAATATGAGGGTCTCCAGCCGCATCGTTCAGCTGTGGAGAGAAATCAAGTGAGGCTCGTTCGAGCTCCTCGACCCCTTTGTGGTGGTTGTGGGCGGCTGAGTGCCACGCCCACTTTTGCTTATTGGAGGTGTGGTGTCTAATTTGAGATGATTTCAAGCCAGTTTAGCGCTGGTGTTTGAAAGTAGGGCACCTGGACATGATATCTACTGAAGTAGTACTGCTGTAGAACCGGTTACAATGTACTGTAGTACAGCTGTAGAAAATAGCTATTTTGACACAAAACTGGCGCTTTCAATTGATGATGTTTGAGAAATGCACAGCCACGTTGAAACCTTGTTAAGAAAACTAAGCACTGTAATAAAACCGAGTTGAAAGCTCTCAAGTCTAGCGAAAAAAATCAATCAATATTCATACCAAACAAAGTATTCTTTCGTGTAGCAGTAATTATTTCTGCATTCATTCATTGATGCAACGTTCATTCAACCGATGCTACTTTGTCCCCATATTTCCTAACAGGAAATTAGCGAATGACGACAGTTTGATTGCCATGAGAAACTTTGTCCCTTCTGTTCATAAAATGAAAATAGCTTAACGAGTCAACTCTTATGCTAAAGTAGAAATTCTGACTCAACTTTTACCAATTTGACTATGCTCTGACTATTGACAAAAACAAGAAGTATTTTCGGGGGCTTTTTTCCGAGATACACCCACTCGTATGATTCTATCCTGAAAATAGGAAAAATTGGTATCGGAAATGAGGTTCATTTCGGGGAACAACGCTTCGAAATATCAGCTACTAAATAACATTTTTTGATGCAACTTTATGAAAAAGGGAAAAGATTTGCGTGATGAAAAGTGCTTGTTTAGAAGAACTGCTCGATCGATGTGAATATGAATGAAGTGGAAGTGGGAATGAATCGACGGTCGTGGACGGCGATGATGGATTTCGTGGGACTACTTGGTGTGAAAAGTTTCATCTTTGATTAAAGACACAGTAAAGTTATCATTAACATATCAGCTTGAGTAAAGTATTTTATCATAATGAGACAGTACTGGGACTTTGCAGTAAATTTTAAAGCTATAAGTATATTGCTATTGCATAGAACATTGTCAATTTTAGGTGTCAATGAGGAAGATCTAACTTCTCCCCGGCTATCATCCGCTCATACAGATCTACAGAAAACGGTCTCCACCGATTTAATGGGTAAAAATTTTGACTTACATGTAATCTCAGTTCAAATTTAGACAAAGTTCAAATTTAGACAAATTTAGTTGCAAATTGGAAAATAGCATATAAACGTTGAATAAACGTTTCATATGCATACAATCTTCATATTAAGCTAGATAATTTTTTCATCTTTTAGACATTGCTGTAACAAAAGAACCCTTCCTGGTCGCGTGTGCACTTCACATCAATACGCTCAGAATAAACATGAACTATCCGGGAAATGGGACGCGTTTGGGAGTTATTTCCTTCCAGGAGTTTGACTTGTTGAATACGGTAATGAAGGTTTGTATACCTTTCAAACTTTTTTTAGATTCATTTACGGGACATTCGCGAACAACTGCAAATATCCCTCTCTTTTCTTCAGATGAAGATCACGGACAGGTTGCATGGTCTGAACAGAAAGTTTAAATTGGCTCTTTAGAACACCTGGCTATTGCAATCTGTACGACGAACGCTTGATTCTGGTATCGGAAAATGCTTTGAAGCCATTGCCGTCCGTTGAATTAAACATTGAAAAGTGAGTTAGTTTTGCAGTTAGCTCGAAACTAATCATTTATTTAGATTTCTTGGTGACGTCGATTTGAGCCGAGACCATGACTTAATGATCCAATTGGCCGTACCCAAGCAAATGCATCTCTATTACATTCACACTCATCGGTAAATTTTGTTGAGACTTTTTAAACTTGCTTCATTTAGATACTTTTGTGCGCTGATGGACTTTTGGATGCAATTTTTCGAGTTACAAGATCATGTTATCAAACAGAAGAAGAAATATGTGAGTGACAAGGGATAAACTTGGATACATGAAAGTTTTAGGTAACCGAAGGCCCAAAAACTCGTGTGAAATTGAAGGTCGATATTCAGTCACCGGCAAGCATTGTGCTCCCTCAAAATCAACTTAGCGGTTAGAAAATCTTGTAATTTTTAATAACTTTATTTTAGATGAGGTGATCTTGTTGAAAGCCACAGATATCCGCATCTCAAATACCTTCAAGCAATCGTCGAGTGTCTTGCCGATATTCAGGGACAGTGGAGTGATTGTTGAAAGTGACTACGATACTCGATTCGGTAATTTTTTTTTGCAATGATGCAACAGTTCAAATTTTAGCCAATGTCGACTGTTTGATGGACTGTATTCGGGCGAACTTCTCAAATCTGGAGGTGCACGAAGGGAAACGAATTGAGAGAATTTTTTTCAAAGAAGAAACAGTAACTTAAACTTGTTGGCATTTATAATCATTTGGTTTAGGATTCATCACCATTGGGCCGAGATGTCTTTGAGCACTTTGAATTCATGGTTGCAAAACGGTCAATCTTCGATGAGCGCTTCGATTTGGTTGCGGATCTTTATCGAAATTTGGAAGGAAACCTATCGAAAAATTGTAAGCTTTTCTAAGTGTCAACGAGTAAATTTATAATTTTAGTTCCCGATCTCACAATTATCACCGGCATTCAAGGAGTCACATGGCAGTTGTCGACCGATTTTTATTGTCTCCTGAGAGGGTAATTTTATAATTCAATCATTCATCCATCTTTCTCTAGATTTCTTCAATTCAACTTGGCCGATCCTCTCATTCCATTACCGGAGACAATCCCGATCGAGTTGCTTGAGAAGCCAGATTTCAGTTGTGTAAGTGATGATTTAGTGTCTTTTTATGATTCCCTTTAGGAAGTTGGCTCTGAGAACAAATATGTGACGCTGTCATTGAGAATATTTTTCGATAACATGAAGGTCGACTTGTCGGTACCGAGTGTTTGCGCATCGAACAACGGAAAAGTCAAACAGCCACAAAATAATATGATTTCGACTGGAGTTTTCTTTAACAGGTATGTTTGGTCTAGATAATTGTTAATCATTATATTTTCTAGAAAGTACGAGCCATTTGCGAGAAGTCATCTGCCGTCAGCCAAAATCTCATTCGATGTCTACATTGATGGAATGGCCGAATTCAATTTGATTGCATACAACACTCAATTGGAGGATAAACGAAAAGGTTGGTGCTAAAAGTTGTGATCGCACACTATTACTACTTTAGCTCCACCTGGCAAAGGCGCTCCAGTTGTTCACAACATCATCACCACCCCATTAGCCTCGAAATCGGCGTTGCCCATTGATGTGATGACTGAAGCAGCAATTCTCTTCAACAAAGATCAGCCACCGAGTGTTTCGCTCGTCTTGCAGGTACTTTGTTTAAAATTTGAAAATCTTATTCTTATGAAAGGCAATTTTTGACTAAACAAACAATTTTAGGGAGCTCGTGTGATTGTTGCGCCCGATTTTCTCTTCGATGCCAAGGATTTCATCTTGTTGTCACCCGAATTCGTGCCACCGCAAATCGATTCGCTCACGGCAGAAGAACCAAAGAAGATCACAGCTCTTCAACCGAATAATGGTGTTGTCGATCGACTCTCAACGAGTGTTGAGCCCAAACAGCAGACTTTTGATTTGAAGATCACGTTAAAGTAAGGAATTAATGGAACGAGTATAGAAGCGGATTGGTGAAATTTGATAATTCTTTAAACTTTTTAGAGCAACCGACTTGTACTTTTTGGAGAATTCGTGGAGTGTCAACTCGTTTGCTCTCATCCTATCAACAGAGGCTGTTCTGAAGATGAACGATCATGATGGAATTCTGCAAGCAGCACTTGAAATCTCGGTATTATTTGGTCTAACCATTAGAGTTAGTGTTTTTAACTTTGCTAACAGTCTTGAAAAAGTGATTTTAGTCGACTCACGTTGATTGGTGTCTGATGGATGCGCTAGATTTGACAAGATCTCAATGTACTAACGATTTCAAGCTTTCAATCAAATTAGGTAGTTACCATCTTGAGAATTTGGTGGACACCTCATTTTAGCTCCCGAAGAAAAAGAAAAGATGATCAACGGACTGCCGCTATTGGTTTCACAACGACACGTACTGGAGGTGTATAAAGTTTTATGGTCTTACGATAAAGTCTATTGCAAAGTACAATGTTAATATTTTTAGGTTGAAATTAACAATGCTATCGGCAAGCTTTCATTGAGGGATACTCGAGTCTTTCAGGTACTTTTGGCTAGTAAAAAATCTTTGATAAAGCTTTGTTATTACAGGTGGTCCTTGAAAGTTGGCTCGAGCATTGGAAGATCACCCAGGGAACGAGCTCCATTCCCATTCAATCGTTCAGAGTGCCGGGGAAACGTCAGCTCTCCATCGTTTTATTTCAATGATTCAATTTAGCGCTTGAAATCGCAAAGGCACTCCTCAGCACCAACAACAACAACTTTGAGCTCTGGGTGCTTGATGATTTTCGGAAGGACGGATGCGTGCCTATGTTAAGATGCATATTCAGTGGTGAATTTTGCACTTTCAGTTCTTGATAACCGTAGCAAATTTAGACTTCATGCTGGAATACTCTGTTGAACGCTTGGTAACCTCGTTCACAATCAATTTGGATTACTTCAATCAACGTGTTTATGGGTATTTAACTTTTCGTTTTGCTTATTGACTCTCATTTAGATGGGAGCCATTCATCGAGCGGTGGCGAATTCTCCGATTACATTTAAACCAAAAGGAGGCAATTCGTTCACTGGAGTTGAAAACAGGTAATATATAGAAGATTTAGGTAATATATAGACTTAAAGACTTAAAAACAAATTTAGAAACGAAAAGCACGCTTGACATCAACTTGACTCAAGATTTCATTCAACAAGTCGTTCACTGGAAATCGAGATTTGTGGATGTTGGGCTGGAGTTTGATCGGGATGAATTCAGGTTGGCTGTGGTACGAAGTGCATTAACTTTTTTTAAAATTTTTTAAAAAAAAAAAAAAAAAAAAAAAAAAAAAAAAAAAAAAAAAAAAAAAAAAAAAAAAAAAAAAAAAACAAATTTTTTAGAACACAATGCTCAACTCGGACTCGGTCTGATCATTTGCCTTACATGCTGAAGAATTCAACCGGAAGCGAGCTCTCATTCACCATGCAAGTGGACACATTTTTGGTAAGCCTATAGCTTTACTGCGTAATAGCATTATTGATAACATCAACTTTAGTCGGCGCCAAACACCCAGCAACGCCCGACCACAATAAAATGGTTGTGTGTACGCGAGAACGGTGAGCAGGACTTTGAATTCCCAACAAAGCTGTTAGATTACAAGGTAAACTTTTAACAAGTTAACAAGCTACTTATTGAATTTAGGCAAGAAGGAACGATTCCCGTCAGCTGATCATTCGTGTCGATGGCTGGGAAGAGTGCTCGCCGGTGAATGTCGACGCTTGTGGAACGTATTTCCGAGTGGTAAAAGCAGGAGAGGTACATTGATAGATTAATTTATACAGAATGTGCACTGAAAACTAAATTTAGTAATATTTTTTCAGAGTGGCCGCATGAATGCCCGTCTTGTCATCAAAGTCACCATGGAGAAGGATGGCAAGAAAGTTGTTGTCGTACAATCTAGCATTGAGGTTAGTTTCTATGCTGGCTTCATCTTACAATTTATATGTTTAGTTACACAACAGTCTTCCGCATCAAATCACAATCTTCAATGAGCGAAAGAAAGGTTATTGTTTCATTTGTATTTTTTAAACGAAACGTTTTAGCTATTTTGACTCTTGATCCGACAATGACGGCCCCGATTCCGCTAAAACATGCTCATACTCATTTCCTTGTGCAGCCAAATTGTGGATGGAACTTTGCGGAATTGGTGGGTTGAGTGTTTCATAAAACATTGAGCCAACTTGTTGAGTTGAGTGTTTCATAAAACATTGAGCCAACTTGTTGAGTTGAGTGTTTGGAAAATTTACAAATTTACAAATTTTTCAGGCAACAGTCACTTGGCGAAACGTTCGAATTCCGGGAGAAGTGGTGAATCAAACTGTTGGCTTGAACAGTGTCGAAAAGGGGCAGTACTGGTAAGTTGAAGTTGGGTTTTCTTTGGGTTAATCAAAAGGCGCTCGTTTGTATGACTGCCATTTCAGGTTATGTTACTCTATCCGTCGAGAACACTATCCCGAACATGAATGGTTGCCCGGTCATTCAATTTGGATTGTCCCAGCGCTCTCGATTCTCAACCTTTTACCCGTTGATATGGAAATTCGGCTACAGGTATTAATAAAAGCAAGCTGTCCAGACTACATTATTTTCTTCAGGATTTGATGTACGCGATTGGTACCGGAAAGCAATTGGACGTCTCGGCAATTGATATCAATCGAGAGTTAACTTTCTTCTTTACAACCGATCGAATGGTGACAGCGAAGGATTATGTGCTGAACAAGTAAACTTTTGATTCAGTTTATAGATTAACGCTTTGAATTCAGGCAAACCATCGGCGACGGAGAACGGAAGCACATCCGATTGATTGATTTACAGAAGAGACCACTCAGCGTTTATGCAGAGTTGAAGATCATTCGCGGAGGAGCTATCTCGATTGTTTTCTGGGTGCCCTACTGGATCATCAATAAATCGGGTCTGTTCATCAAAACTTGAAGTTGATTAAATTTGGTTGTTTAGGCATCCCGTTAGTCGTCAAACAAGCAGCAGCTCCATGTGAAGCAGCCGGTCAAATGGAGGAGCATGAACGAGCGAAAGACAAGCATCCGTTGATGTTCAGCTTTTCGGCAGAGGATTGCCCGACGAGGTAGAATGAGATGTCTGGTTAGGTGGTGTTGAAAGAGCTTGTTGGCGCTAAACACTAGTACCTAACTAGCAATTCTTTAGATGTCTCGTTCGTGTGGGCCTCAACTATACTACGGAGAAAGGATACACGCCAGAATTCAGCCCACAAGTTGAACTATCGCCTGGTGTTCAAGATGTCAAATTGAAACTAACACATCCAACTCTACCATCGCTGTACTATTATTATTATTATTATATACATTCACAACAGGTTATACGCACAGCACAAGTTATCACTTTTAAGGCGCTTGAAAAGATGGTCAGGGAAAGCGGTTGACCACGTCGCGCCATCCCACAAAAAAACGATGTATAGAGTTGATTGTCGCAAACCCTGACCTTTTTAAGCGTTCTTTGTGATGATTTTTCTTACTGTGAAATAGCTACTTTTTGTGGTGCGTATGACCTGTGTGTTGTTATAGATGTTTACCTTGTGTCGATTGTTAATCAATAGATTTTAGGTTCTATAACATCGGTATTGAGGTCCGAGCTGGAACAGGTGATTTTTAACGGTGTTTAAACAATAATGCAAAATTCTAGGTCGTTACAAGGACACACAAGTTGTGCTTCTCACTTCACGATACATTTTGAACAATCAATCCCCATTGACGCTTCTTGTTTGTCACTATGATTTAACAGAGGTAAATTTAATTCAGATAACCATGGATGATTTATGTTTAGAGATCTTCTGAGCACATTCATTTGGCGCCCGGGTGCAACTTGGTCTGGAACGAGAATTACGAGAATGTTCGGAAGCTTTGTGTGCGAAGAGCTGATGTGAAGTGAGTTACCGCGCTTAAGTTACAATTAACCAACACTTTCAGGCATTGGAGTTGTCCTTTCCGCATCGATCGAGTCGGGTCATTTCACATAACTATGAGGTAGAAATTTTGTACTAGCTTAATGCCATTAATTCATTTCAGAGATGCTGACGAAACACCGCGATTTGTCCGAGTTGAAGTAATTCTTTCTTCGGCGATATTCTACGTTTCGTTCACCGATGCTTCCTACTTTCCACCACCGATTCAAATCGAGAATTTATCGGACGTAAGAAAATGCCAATGTAAAAAATAAAATGTTGTAGTTGTGAGATTGCAGTTACCTAGGTATTAATATTTAAATTTAGGTTCCCGTTCTCTACCAACAATACTCGGACAACACGACAAAGCAACATCTTCGCACGATTTGCAAAGCCAATTCTACGGTCAACTACGCTTGGGATGATCATGCGGCCAGGGACAAGCTCTTGCTTCTACAGGTACTCAAATTAAATTGGTTAATTGTTACGGTGATTTTTTAGGTCTATGAGAATCGATCGCACATTTATGATCCGACAATGCAAGGTAACGATTTCAAGAATTTCTCGCTAATTTGTAAATTCTAGGTGCTGGAGAGCCGTTGATTTATGAGAATAACTTGTATATTCAATTCTCAAAGTCCTTTAAAAATCAAAACAAAGCCAAGAAAACCGAGGAATGTGAGTTGGTGCTGGAAACGATGCAGAAAGGAAAGGTAAAGAAAGTTTGACAAATTAAATCAAGTTAAATGTTTTAGGTGATGCTCAACAAACAGAATCGACTCAATGGTAATGATGCCAATCAGCACTGGAAGCTTTGCGAAGACGGGTGCATTGAGAATGTTGGGATGAACAATCGAAAGATCAAGAAACAACGAATGGTTGGTTTATTTGTAGATTAGAGTTTTTATTTCGACGCTTAGGTTCTTGACGTACTCGAGACAGCCGGCAATCAATTGATGATGTGTGAAAGGAGCGATCGGCGGGATAAATATCAACGATGGAACATTTTGGCGGTAATCTGTTTTTAGTTGATTGAATGTTTCTTTTCAGAATGGACGCATTTGCTGCAACGTAGCTGGAATGTACATTACAGCTGGAGAAAACGAGGTCTACTTGTCATCACCTGTGGATAGACCCGTGGAGGTGAACGAGGATATGATCGATGTGAATCAAGTGAGTGAATTACAAAAAAATAAACCTTCCGTATGCACAGTCATCATGAACTCGGTAATTCAATGCTCATTTTAGGTATGGAACATTCAAAGACAACGTCCAGGATCCGGAAAGTTAGATGTAGAATGCTTTCACAGCGGCCCAACTTTAGTTAGTCAGCGTGGAAAACTTCAATTGAGGTATTTTTTAGGTTGTTCGAATCACAGATCGAGCGCAAAGTGGTCGGCCAATGCCTCAATCAATCTCGATGCCTCTGTTGTCTGCGAAACCGAGTCTCGCCCAAATGACCAAGCCACAATTGTCAACCGAGGTAACAATTTGTTTGCTATTCTTGATATGTTTGTTTAGATCGCTATCACGATGCGAAGTGGAATCGGGATCTCAATTGTGAACTCGCTGCAAGAAGAGCTTGTGTACGCCCGTTTTGGAGACATTGTGATCAATGCTAGCAAGATCGGCGACACGTTTCAGATGACCGGCAGCGTTGGAGTCATACAGGTAAAGCATTTAGAATACGGATAATTAGGCTGTGTCGTAGTCTAAAATTTTTGTGAAACCTAAAACTGTTCAATTGTTAACATGTATAGTTGCAATTTGAAAATTTAGGCTGACAATCAACTTCTGAATGCCGACCGTTGGCAGTTCATCTATTGTCAAGCGGCAATGGCTGATGATGAGGTAGATATTGCCTTCATTAATCTTTATGCGCTTCTTTAGAACTACACTCTTCCTGAGAATCTTCCAGCTGGTGTACCGACCACGGCTCGACCGGCATTGAAAATCGAAATGAACTGTACACCGATGAAACACTATGACGCCTTTGATGTAGGTTTTATAAAAAAAACAAAAGTTGAGGTGTCTTTAGTGTTTCCGATTAAAACTTTGCGACTTCTCGGTTCAACTTGACGAGCTGCTTCTTTGGAAATTTATCCAATTTGTGCAAGCGACTGATGCGAGTCAAAGAATACAGGTAACGTTTAAAATTGGCGCTCAGAAGCACATTTAAATTTTAGCCTAGTGCCCTCGAGATGCCACCAAATACCGAATTGGATCGCCCAAATCCGTTGGCATCAAGAAAGTGCTACTTTGGAACGTTGGAGTTAGATATGGGTCAAATTGCTCTTTCTGGTAAGCGTAAATTTGTAATGGATAAATTGTTATTTGTTTTAGTTGCAACAATTTCGAAAAGTGGACTGCCAAAAGATCTTCGACTTCTCAAGCAACAGTTCAATATTATGGTAAGCTTGAAATATTCACATCTCAATGTTTTCTTTTAGTTGGTGTCATTTGAAAACGCGGGCATCAGTCTACCGCCATTCCGTCAGCTACACTACTTTGAGACCTCATCATTCTTGTTCGAGTTGCTAAAGAAATTCTATTTCGGTATTTTTTTTGGAACTTCTATAAAGCAAATTATCGTTTTGGCTGAGCTTCAAAAGAAAGTGATGAACGTCGCCTTTTACCTGGATGCTTTTGGAAACCCGGCTGGCTTTGTGACTGATTTGAAAGACTCTTTCGCGGTGAGTTTTTGGCTAAAGAAGCTTTAAATGCTTGGTTTTAGGGTCTCTTTATTGAGGGGGACGTGCGAGGATTTGTGTCTGGAGTTGGTTACGGAGTGTCGAATAGTATCTCAAAGGTGAGACAAAGTAAACAAATTTAAATCATCGTGATTGCAGGTTGCCTCTTCTATGGCGGCTGGTGTTGGGTCGTTGACGTTTGATGAGGAACATGAAGCAAAGAGAAGACATAATATGATCCGATCGCATAGGTGAGCTTAAAAACCATAAATTAAGCTTGATGTTTAGCTCCTCCACCTCGACCCCACTTGGGCATCTTTATTCTGGAGTGAAAGGACTCGGAATGGGTTTCATGGGTATCATCACTTCAATCCCGACAAACACAGTACAAGAAAGCAAGAAAAATGGGCTCCTAGCGGTAGTGTTTTTTTCAGAAAGCAACAATGAGGATTTTTTTAGGGTACTTTCCGCGGTGTTACGAAGGGTGTAGCTGACATGGTCACCAAACCAATGCAAGGAATCTTCGATTTGGTTGATGGGACGGCTTCGGCGGTTAGAGAACTGGCTGCACCGTTGGCGATTAAAAGAACATCCGCTGGAAGGTGAGCGGATTGCTTTGATTTAATAGGAACCTTAATTACTTTTTAACAACATGGATTTTTAGTCGCATTCGTCTCCCACGAGTCTGTGTCGATCTTTACCACCAGCTTCCGCCGTATCAACAATTACTTGCGTGGGCTCAAATAGAGATGCTACGAATCAATGGATACAATCAACGAGAAAGGTTTGGAATTGGCTAAATAACTTATGAGCTCTTTTCTAGACTGCTCGATGTCGAGATGGTGATTGAACAAGTGACAATGGACGAGGTGCAACGGCAATACGTGTTGATCTCGACCGAGCAGTGTTATGTTTGCAAACAGGTAGGCAAATCTTTCTATTACTGGAGTTTGAATGTTATCATGTTTAGTTGAACGGCGAGAGTTGGACGGTGTTGAAGCGCCTTGCCTACAAGCACGTGAAGTGCATCCAAGAGCGCGAGACGGTCAACTATCTCTACCCAGTTGGTGAGTGTTTTGAATTAAATAAAGTGAATTGTGAAATGTCATGAACTTTTTACAGAAATCATGGAAGAAGAGGACTACTCCCGTGTTAAATCCTATCACATATGGTGCGCGCGAAAAGATGTTGCGGAGAGGTAATTTGATTGGGTTATTGCATCTATTGATAAATTTTAGGGTCACCGAGAAGTTGGCCATCGCCAAGAATGAGTACGATCACAATAAACGAACGCTGAAAGAGGACAGTTGATGAGTACAAATCGCTATATCTTCAGTTTTGCCTTTTTTCACGGGTTTTTTACTAGCTTTTTGCATAATCCTGTCTTTATCCGAATAAAAGCGCAAATTTCTTGTATTTAGCCTCTTTTTGTACAGCCAGCATGTGTGCCTTCTAATATTTACTAGTCACTTAACAAAAAAAATTTACGCATTATTCTTCTCGTGGACTTTAAAAATTACGATTAGCTTTATTCTCTGCAAAATTCTTCGGTATTTGTGTTATAATTTTCGTTTGCTTTTGATTCTTTTGCTGCGTCATCAACATTTTCGAGTCGGTGAACCTGTGATTTTTTTCGAAAATATCTTGATTATGGGTCAATTTGTGGTAATTTGTTCCTTTCTTTTTTTTGCTTATCGTATATTTCTATTATATTTTTATGTGTTTTTCTATAGAGATTTCCCCCTATCGAGTACCGCCTCTGAAAACTGTGATAGTTTTTTTGTGTTGAATGTTTAAGGAGTTAATAAATCGATTTAATTGTATTAGAGACGTCACAATTTTGGTTATGCAACCATTTTACCGTAGTTTTTATCTATGATTTGATCTAATCGGACTTGTTAATTCAAGAACGAATTCTTCTTTTCCAGTTTCCATGTTATGGTGGTTGGCACAAAAAAGCTCTACGGATTCCCCGTGTTCATCGCCTCGTGTGTGCTCACAACGGTAACGATAGGTGAGCTTTAATTGAGATAAAACTTTCGTTGATGTCAATGAGTCATAAAATATCGTTGTTTAGGTTTCGTGCTGTGGGACGAGCAGAATCAGCGGAATCGACGACAAGAAGGCGTTCGACAACGATTGAAAAACGTGCAACAACAGCAGAACATGACCGATTACGCGATCCAGAAACAAAAGTTGGTTTTAAATTTGCGGAATTGTTCATTGTTTTCGTATTTAGATATGAGGAATACAAAACGACGCACTCGTAGCCGGAGGATATGAAATATTGATAGCTTTAGGTTTACTTCTGTTGTAGATTAGTGTATTTTTTACGGGTATTTGCTATTTTGTTTGTGCTTTCTTTTTTTGTTGTTGTATGAATGAATAAATAAACGTTTTTTTTTTTTACTTTTTAATCTGTTTTTTTAGTTCGTTCTTGGCGATCCGATACTTTTTACAGTTCAATTGGTTAAAACTTAAATTGGTGCAGAATCTAATGCCAACTTTTTAGTAACTTTACAAGATGCCAAGCGACGACAAGAAAGCGGCCAAGAAGGTTGACGATGGAAATTACGATAAGGAGGTAAAATTTGAAAGGTTTTGAACAAGGTTTGAATGATTTTAGGTGATTTCGAAATCGCCCAACCTGGAGATCGCTCAACTGCGCTTCCTCGTCAATCACCCTGAATTGGACCCAACACTCAAGACCACCAACCTCGAGCAATTGATGGGCGAGATTAAAGCCAACGACATGGCCCCATTCTACAAGTTGTTGGCCGAGGAGGTGAAACTGCCATTCGACAAGGCTCTATACGATTCAATGACGGCGAAGAATCAACAGAAAATTGAGGCCTTTGATGCGGAGATTGCAGATGCCGAGAAGAACATGGGCGAAAGTGAGGTGCGACAGGCTTGGCTGAAGAAGTACGAGTATTTCTGTCAAATCGGAGACAAGGAAAACGCCCTGAAAGCTTTCACGAGCACTTTCGAGAAGACCGTTGGCTTTGGGTACAAGATCGATTTGGTGTTTAATATGATTCGCGTTGGGCTGTTCTTTTTGGATCATCAACTGATCAACAACAATGTCACCAGGGCCAAGGAGCTGATGGAACAGGGCGGTGATTGGGAACGTAAAAATCGTTTGCGCTCGTACGAAGCTCTCTACAAGATGTCGATTCGAGACTTCGCCGGTGCCGCGGCTTTGTTTCTGGAAGCTGTGCCGACTTTTGGAAGCTATGAGTTGTTGAGTTATGAGCAATTGGTCTTCTACACGATTACCACATGTGTGCTCGCACTGGAGCGCCCTGATTTGCGCTCAAAGGTCATCAAAAGCAACGAGGTGCAAGAACAGCTGACCGGTGGCGGAGAAAAGGGACAACTAGTCATGATGCGCGACTACCTCAACTCGTACTACGATTGTCACTACGAGAAGTTCTTCCACAATTTGGCCACTTTGGAGTCGGAGAGGCTGAAATTCGACAGATACTTCTTCCCCCATTACAACTACTACAGCCGTGGAATGCGTCTCAAGGCTTATCTCCAATTTTTGACTCCCTACAAGACGGTTCGTTTGGACATGATGGCCAAGGATTTCGGTGTGTCAGTGGAATTCCTGGACAAAGAGTTGCACCGACTTGTCGCCGCTGGACAGGTGCCTTGTAGAATCGATGCCGTGCAAGGAGTCATCCACATGCACCACCCGGACACAAAGAATCGCTTGTTCAAGGTGGTCATTCGAGATGGGGATTTGGTCGCCAGCCAAATGCAAAAGTTGGCACGGGTTCTTCCTTTAAAATGAACCAACAAATTTTGTCTTTTTTTTTCTCATGTGTTATTTATTCCTTGAGATCTGGTACTTTCATTTTTTTGTGATGATTGATCTTTTTTGAATGTGCGGTTTTGTCAATGAATAAATTTTCAGATGCTGGCGTCTCAGCGAATTGGGTCAACGGCCAAGGGGCTACTAGTCGGGTCCGGCCGCGGTGGGCCAGTCTTTTTGAGGTAAGGTTTAAAAAGATATCTAATGGTTCTTGACGGTAGAACTTCATTTTAGATTGGTCAGTTCGAAGCGAGTGGAGAAGACGAATTGGAAGCAAAATGTCGTCTACTTGTATCAGGTATGAAATTTATGAACTTACAAATTAACGGTCTTTAATTTAGTTTCCGAAAACACCCTACCTACCAAATCCGTCACCGTTTTGCCTGAAAATCGAAACATATCTCCGGGCGAACAATCTTAAGTACGAGGTTGGTTAATTTTTATGGTTTGAAGGAGGCTTGAAGAGTGTAACTATTGTATGTGTTTCATTTAGGTAATCTCTTCATTTACGGCTCGGTCAGAGAAGGGAAAACTCCCATTCATTGAACTGAACGGCGAGCAGGTTTCCGACTCACAAATCATCATTTGGCATCTACAGAAGCAATTCCAAGTTGAGGTATGTTTTTTTTGCTTAAACTTAAAGAGTACTTGTTAAAACTCTTAGCCATGTCTAGTCACAACTTTGTCGTTTCTAGGATTCACTGAAAGGCGAACAAAGAGGGGTCGCTCGAGCTATCGACAGAATGCTGGACATGAGCACCGTGAAGTAAGCTTTGAATTATTGAACCTATAATTGTTTTGCCCTAGTTGTTTAAATCACGAACGAATGGTAAACAAAGCTCATCTCACACTGGCTCGAAACGTCTCCGGATTGCCACTGCCCGGATTTATCACGAATATTTTAGCAAAACGATTTGCTAAGGGGGTAAACAGGCTTATTGCTTTAGTTATTAACACACATTTTAGTCACAATCAAATATCAACAAAAAAATGGATCGATTGTCTGGAGATGAGTTGAAAGAAGTGTTGAAACGGTTGGTTGCTGATTTATTTTCGGATTTATTAAGCTTTTTAGCGATGTTCAAGCGCTCGACGACGTTCTCGCGGACAAGAAGTTCCTCTTTGGCGATCGAATGACTGTAGTGGGTTTTAAGTGTAGAAAATAAATACAGCTTACTTTCTAGATTTTCAATGCATTATCTTTTTAGGCTGATTGTACGACGTTTGGCCATCTGGCAACCGCCTACTACTTGCCTTTCCGTCAACCCATAACCGATTTGCTTGATGAGGAGCACCCGCGACTAAAAGACTACTTGAATCGGATCCGGGCTCACTACTGGCAAGATTGGAAACTACCCGAGTATTGATTTTTCTCGTTTATAAATTTTTGAATACTCTTTTCATTCTCTTTTGGTGCAAATAAGCTCGAGTTAATTTATTTCCGCCTTATTTTAATAGTTAGTTTAGGTGCTTTTTGTTTGTTTTTAGTCATTTTGTCATACGTGATCCCTGTGAATATTTGGCCGGAATAAAGTTTTTTTTACTTTTTTGGATTACGACAGTTTTGTTTTAACATGAAACAATATCAAATCGGTGTTTTGGTATTTAGCTACGACTGGTTCTTATTTACGAATGGTTTTTGTGACTTCTCCACCTTCGGTTTTTATTTTCGAACTCTTCAAAGTGTGTGAACTGTTCGTATTCGAATATCAACTTTTGCACTTTGTTTGTCAATTCTTACAAAATATCTTTTTCCAGCTGTAATGGCCGATCCAGCACGCCCGCCCAGCTCGGAAGAGGGCGAGATTAGCGACGGTGATGAGGTGAGGAGAGGTGGTTTGATCAAATATCGGCCCGATTTGACACATAATTATCTCTGTCCCAGCTTTGGGCGGTATATTTGCTCGAAAACTTTTAAAAAACTTGAAATCCAGTTCTTTCCCAATTGCGCGAACCCAAGATTAGCTGCTCCTAATAAGTTCAAATAAATAGCACGCATGTTGCTTTATTCTTGCGCAAACTCAAATTTTGCAAGAAAAGTTTATTTTGACAATTTTTGAGAAAAGAAAAATCGCAATTCACGGTCGAAAAAGAATCATTGGTGTTTTCTTTTCTTTCCAATTTGAATGATGATGTTTCATCAATGGGGCTCCCCTTTTCATTGTGGTTATGAGTGGATCGTGTAGACGGCAGCTCTTCCATATCGATTTATTGGATTTCAAAGAAATGTCCACGCTTAAGAAGCACAATTTACGATTTAATTGTTAATTTTAAAGTTAAAGTTTTAAAATTTCGTCCAACTCAATATTGACGTTTCCCATGTTTCTCCTTGCCCACTTCGACTTGGTTACAACTTGTAAACTTTAAATTTAGGATTTCGGTCCACGGAGTCCCGACTACAAGCCAAAATCGCCCGCCTACAAGCCAGCGATGAAGGAACGAGAGGAAAAGAAACATCATCATCACCACCACCACAAGCATCATTCAAGAGAGATCGAGCAAACGGAAGAAAGTGCGTTGTTATGTCAGTTGAAATTGAAAATTTTCTTTCATTTAGATATCACGATCACGATTTCATCAACTTCAACCATCCAGCCGGGGCTGGGCGAACGGGAGGCCCAGCTGCGGAACAAATTGCTCGCAAAGACAAAGGAGAGGACCAGCTCAAGTTCGGAGGTAAACCATAGCGTCATTCGTGTTTTCATTTAAAATCTCTAGACTAAAGACGAAAAGAAGGGCAAAGAAAAGGCGGAACGAGCACGAATCAAGGCACCGAGCAATGATGAAGATGGCGATGATGTGGAACATTTTCAAGTACAACCAAAGGATGCAAAAACTGAAGTTGGCTGTCTTTACTTTGCGGAATTTTATGTTTTCTTTCAGAAATCAAAGACTGCTTCCGATCGAGACAAGGGATCAAAGCGTGAAAGGATCGTTTGGCGAGATCGAACACCAGAGAGAATTCGTAGCAGTGGAGGAGGAAAACATTCGGACAGTACAAGAGATCGACCACGATACGATGTCAATAAAGGTGGAAGGGGTTAGTTTTGAAGTTGAAACGAATTGCCGTAAAGCCTCTAGGTTTTTATTAATAGCATATGTTCCAATTTTAGACCGTCACTCCGATCGACGAGCAGATGACAAGGATCGAGGAGGAGAAAGATCGGGAAGAAAAGAGGTACTTTAGAAGGGGTTTGATTTTAATTTTAATTTATAGGAAAGCATCATTGAAAAGCACCGGAAGCGTGAAAAAGAGAAAGAACGCGAGAAAGAGAAGAAAGAAAAGGATAAAGACCGAAAACGAACCAAGAAAAGCAGATCGTAAGTTTTGAATGTAATCTTTAAATTCAACTCCACTTTAGAAAATCTCCCGATGAAGTCGAAGTGAAGAAAGTGAAAGAAGAGATCTCAAAGATGTCCACCGATGAGACAAAGACGGTGGAAAGTGCTTCAAGAAGTCCGTCGCAGGAAAAAAAAATCGATAGTCCGGTACAGGATCCACACGTGGGAGGTAAGCCTTTAAAGGTTTTATAGTCTTACAAGTCTGACCTAGGTTTCTAGTACTTAAATTCATAAACTCTAGCCAATTGGTTTTAATTTTGACTTTTAGCCATTCTCGCAACGATTCGTCGACCCGGCTATTCGAAATGGCAAGAAAATGACGAGGAAGAGTTGAGTGAACCCGAAGACGATCAGTCGAACTTGCACAACAAATCGCCTGCAGATTCAACGCCCATTTGTAAGTTTTCAAGATTCCAAGTTCAAACAAAAAAATACTGCTTAATCTGTGAGCTTTAAATTTCCTAAAGTACGTTAAAAAAAACAAACACAAACAACCTGACAGGCGCGTCGTAGTATTTGTAGTTGTCGCCATTTATTCAAAATCACCATTTATTCAAAAACGAGCACGGTTTTCTGTTAAAAAATCTTTAAATTTTGACGAGGCTCCTCGGTGCCTTAGTTCTTCTCCCAGTCGTACGGAAATTCGGGGACACCTTGAGCGAAAATCTAAACACAAACAGTTAGCGAAGTAATTAAAAGCCAGTGGACAAGCGTCGATATGTCGAGTACAGTACTCGGGCCAATCCAAAATCCCTCACCGTTCTCATCATTCCGTAGATCTTCACGTAGTCAGGCGCGTCGTAGTATTTGTAGTTGTCGCACAGGCGCATCACCGACTCGTAGATGGCTAAATTTGACATTTTAAACTAATCTTCCCGTTTAATTTTAATACTTCAAATAAGCTTACGGGGACATCCGGCGAACAGCTCGGCGACAAACGGTTGGTTGCGGCATTTCTTCTTGTACTCGCCCACCTAAATTTGGAAGCTAAAGTAAATCAAAGCCCTCGAAAATCTCGCCTGATTCATGTCCTGAATGTTTTTCCATGGCAGATTGCCGGTGGTGAGCTCAACTTGTTGGTAGAGCCACGTCTCCACATCGTCCTAAACAAAAAGATTTATAACTGTAATCCTTTAGGATTTTCATAAATCTGAAGCTATCCAGCTAGTCATTCGGCAAGTATTCGAATCTTAAAGCAATGCGAATAACCTTGCGACACAATTCCCGCTGAAGGTGGCACGAGATCGGCGCGTAGCGAACGGTGCCTCGAAAACCGGCGGCTTGTCTTGGCTTGCGGATCACACCCTAAAATATTAAATAGTACTGAAAGCTGAACATCTCAAACCTGTTCATTCGTGAATTTTCGGCACATCCCGAAGTCGAGCACGTACACCTTGCGCAGCTCGCGCAGCTCGACTCGTCCAATCGTGTAGTTGCCCGGCTTGACATCACTAAACAGGATATTTCGGACTTCAAGAGAATCAAGATCATTTACCGATGTAGATATCCGATCGAGTGCAAATCTTCAAGCGCCTCGAGCGATTGAATGCCGACCGAGACGGCGGTGCCGAGTGACATGTGCCCGCCTGGGCCCTCTTTGCGGAGATCCTGAAGCGATTTGCCGACCAGCGTCATCACCACGTAGTTGAACGTCCCGAATCTGAAATATCCAAGTTGAGGTTTAAAGATAGCGGCTACTGAGTCCACATTTGTGCAGCCTAGTTGCCAAAGAGAAAACCACACTCACCGTCCTTTGTCGTAGATCTTGCAGAAGTGGCGACCGCCTCGTTGGGCCAATTCGTTGAGCACGAATACCTCCATCTTGAGCACCTAAAAGAACAGATATAATTGAAAGGTAGAGTCAATAGACATAACATTGTGGACTGCATACCTGGATCGCCTCGCTGACTCCCTCGACTTTAAGGGCGTACTCGCCGCTCGGATCGGACACCTTGTAGACGGCACCGAAACCGCCCTCACCCAACTTCCTCACAATCGCCCATTTGTCGACCTAAATTTTGAAATTGAGGATTGTTAGATTAAAGAACTACAGTAAACTTGGGTTCTTCAGGGCCCTTCAAAGGTTTCTAACCTGATGAGGTCTACTGTACTCTAGTTTTTTAGCAGTACTTAGTTGGTAACAAAACCTTTATGGCACGCCAAAGATTTCAACCTCAAGTTAGTCAAAGCACAAAGTAACATTCACCTTATGTGAAACAACACAATACAAATTATGAATCAAAAAGTCCCCATTTGAAATATTGAACTTAACTAACATAAAAGCGCGAAAAGTCAAATTTGAAGTCAAGAGCAAAATAAAATCAGAAACCCACCTTTTGTCTTGGTTGCAGTTGAACGAGCTCCTGTGCCATCGAGAAATAATAAAGAGCCACTGACGTCGCTTCATTTTATTCGACCTTTAAATGGAAATTTTTACGAGCTTAGATGTAGATTTACTAATAGGTGTAAATTTAAAATTTAATTTTGTTTTCTGTCACGCTTTTGATTTAAACTTACAAATTCCAGTGGGCAACTCGGATGAAGATATGGAGAGTGTCGAAGAAGATGAGGACGAAGAAGAGGAGGAATTTGACCCGAATACTGTTCCATTTGAGGAGCTCACCGATGAGCAAAAGGCAAAGGTACGGTTTGACTGGCATAATGTAAATTCGATTAAGCCGAATCTCGCTTTTATACACTGAAGAATCGATAGATTGATACTTTTTTTCTAAGGACACAAAGAAAATTGTTTCTCAATAATTCTTTCTCGATTCTTTTAGATTAGCCCCGATGTGTTGAAACGACTCGAAAAGCAGTGGCAGCAGTCGCTCATCGACGCCCTACCCGTCTACTATGCTGGGATTTTGGGGTAAGTTTTGATTTCCAAAGATGTGGAAATATTTATTTGAAGACATTGCTAAACAACTAACTTTAGATGCCGAAGCGTTAACGAGTTCGACTGCATGAACAAAGTTGAGGAGGGCACTTTTGGGGTTGTGTATCGAGCGAAATGCAAACGGACAGGTGAAATGGTTAATAATAACTCTACGACTTGTTACCGTATTCTATCGTAGATTATGCACCTTGTAGTGTTAGCCGATTTGGAACGGTACTCAAGAACCATTCGTGGGTCTGGTATTGTCAAAATCTATGAAATCAATAGTTAGATTTATTACATATTTGCCTTTTTTCTGCCGTAATTACGGTAATTTTTCAGAAGAAGTGGTTGCTTTGAAGCGATTGAAGATGGAAAAAGAAAAGGACGGTTTCCCGATCACGTCAACAAGAGAGATCAACATGTTGCTGAAAGCGGGCACCCACGAGAATATCGTCAATGTAAGCTGGCTTTAAATTAAATTTTGAATTTTTAAATTTTGTTTTAGGTTCGGGAGATTGTTGTTGGGCACAACATTGACAAAATCTTCTTGGTTATGGAGTTCGTCGAGTCAGTTCAATCGATTATTTTAGAAATAGATAAACTTCAGGCACGATTTGAAGAGTCTCATGGACACGATGAAAAAGAGGAATAAATCGTTTGAAGTTGGTGAGTGATTTTGAAATAAAGTTATAACATTTCGCCATATCAGCTGCAGTACCACATTTTCTATGTTTAGGTCACGTGAAAACATTGTTGCAACAGCTTCTCTCCGGCCTCAATCACATGCACACGCTATGGATTCTACACAGAGATTTGAAGACATCGAATCTTTTGCTGACACATAACGGAGTGTTAAAGGTTGACTAACTCATTTAGGCTTTATTGATTAAATTTTAGATTGCTGACTTTGGACTTGCTCGCGAGTACGGGGATCCCCTCGAGAAGTACACAGAAGTGGTGGTGACTCTTTGGTATCGAGCGCCCGAATTGCTATTGGGAACCAAGGTTGGAAGTTGTAACTAACAATGGTAAATAAAAACTTTGTCTAGTAACATAGAGCTTGTTTGTTAATTAATCCAATAAGTTAAAGCAATAAAGCAATGCTAGTACTGTTAACTTTAGCTTTATTCAACGCCGATCGACGTGTGGTCTGTTGGATGTATCATGGCCGAATTCATCCGTCTCAAGCCGCTGTGGCCGGGCAGTGGGGAATTGGATCAAATTCGGAAGATTTTTATGGTAGGTTTTTATAATTTCAACGACAGATAGATTCTAATACCATAGTAAAGGTTAAGATCAACATTTTAGGACTTGGGCACACCAATCATCGACAAATGGCCAGAAGTGGTCGAGTTGCCGTTGTGGAAACAGTTGAACATTGAGCATTTCCAATTCAATCAACTGAGAAAGAAGTGAGTGTCCTTTGAATGATTTAATTAAAGATTACTTTTTCAGATTTGATTCGGAGATGTTGGACGAAACAGCATGGAAGTTGCTCAACTCGATGCTTACGTACAATCCGGAGAAGAGAATGACTTGTGAAGAGGCATTGAAATGTTCATGGTTTAAGGTAGGCATTTTATCTGTCTGCCTCAGAAAATCTGTTCGCTGTTTGACCTATTTATGACTGTTTACTGACTGTTTTAAAATTTAATATCATTTTTTAGGAAAAACCTCTGCCCATCCCATCGGCAGAATTTCCGACTTTCCCGGCGAAGAGTGAAGGCGGAAAAGCACCACCAAGAAGAGAGCCCGAAGCACCGCGACAAGGGACAGCAATGGCTGAATTGGTGAGTGATATTTGTTTCATTTGCAAATGTCTATGGAAAGGCAACCCTTTAAGTGCTTCTCTTTATCCATAAAAGTCAACTAAAGTGCTAAAAACAATACATAGTATAGTTAGTTTGAAATGTTATCTCATGTAATGACAGATGCCGGAAATCCGGATTGGGTACTGTATAGTACGCTAGATTCTTTCGTTATCCACATTTCAGATTAACCTGCGATTTGTCCTGGTAGCCTAAATCTCGTACCTATTTCAGGATGAACAAACGCGGAGCCTCTACGCAAGTCTCAAGATCCCAGAAAAGTACGCGGCCCAAACGAGCGGCGGTTTCGCGCTGAAATTCGACAAGGACCGATTCTAGAAAAAGTAAATTTGTTGAATTCGGGTTGTTTTGGTTTAATTAAATAGATTTGGCTGTGCGTTAATTTTTCGTTACCCCCTTTGTTGTAATCTCTTATTTCGTTTATTTGCTGTCATTTTTCTCGAGTTTTGTTTCATTTTCAAAATTGTATCAGTGTAAGAAGATAACTTATCAAATTCTAAAGAAAAATCACGAATCACAGAAATTTATAAATTTCAGAAGTTAAAAAATGAAACAGGAAGCAAAATTCGGCCCGTAGATCGTTGGTGCACTTGGCGAGTGGTGAAAAAGCAAAAAATCAATTTCAGCAGAAATATTTGAAACTAACAGATTCAGATTTAGAAGATAAAGCTTGAAATACAGAAAATTGAATGTGGGGAAATAAAATGAGTTCGAAATTGAAAATGAGCACTGTTCTAGTCAAATTTGGACTAGCTTGGTTAAAATGAATGGAAATTTCGGCACGTTTTGAATTACAATTTAAGATATAACTCCAGACATGCTAATTGAGTTGAAGAGCGCCAAAATTGAAAATATGTAAGCTAACAGAATATTCAATAAACAAAGTACTGTACTTTATGACAACCCTTGCTGAGCCACCAAATTCGCGTATAATCCTTTGCGGGCCAATAGCGATTGGTGATTTCCTTGCTCGTAAACGCGACCATCCTGGAAATCGAGTGGTTTTTTGAGTCATTGAGGGGCTTTATTGAGCATTTTCTGGATAGTTTCCAAATTTGACATTCAAAAACGAAAATCCAGTTTTAATGGGCGTAACCTGGTTATGATCCACTCAAAGAAGGCACGTTCTAAATGTCATGCGTTCATGCGCTCGTATTTTTGTAAAAGATGCGATCATTCATGCGTTTACACGTTCTTTAGTAAAGTTCATGCTTAGTAACTTTTCACTTATTGTTAAATATAGTAAGTGGTATATACGTTCAAATTTTTCAAGGAGTTTGCGTTGATCTCAATGAACTAGAGTGAATACACATAGCGTAAAGAAGATTTAAGCATCTTTGTTTAGCTATCAATTTTGAAGTTTTAGGACTTGCTAGATTTAACATTCAGGGCATGGAATATCCAAATAGTTTGTGTTGATCTTAATGAACTGGGAATCACTGGGGTGAATACAAATAAGGTAAAGAAGATACGAGCATCTAAGCTTAGCGCCAATTTTGAAGTTTTAGGACTGGCTAGATTTAGCATTCCCGGCACAGAATATGCAAGCAGTTTTTATCGTACTCGATAAATTGGGAATCACTGGAGTGAATACACATTACGTTAAGAAGATTTAAGCATCTTTGTTTGGCTATTAATTTTGAAGTTTTAGGACTTGCTAGATTTAGCATTCAGGGCATGAAATATCTAAATAGTTTGTGTCGTACTCGATAAATTGGGAGTCACTGGAGTGAATACACATGAGGTAAAGAAGATACGAGCATCTAAGCTTAGCGCCAATTTTGAAGTTTTAGGACTGGCTAGATTTAGCATTCAGGGCATGGAATGTCCAAACAGTTTGTCTTGATCTCAATGAACTGCCAATCACTAGAGTGGATGCACATAACGTAAAGAAGATTTAAGCATCTTTGTTCAGCTAACAATTTTGAAGTTTTAGGACTTGCTAGATTTAGCATTCAGGGCACGGAATATGCAAGCAGTTTGTATCGTGCTCGATGAATTGGGAATCACTGTAGTGAAAGCACTTAATGTAAAGATCTCATAAAGACGAACATCTAAGCTTACAAGGGAATGACTCGAACTAGAAGTTCGCTTCGAGAGACGGTGGCTCTTGTACAATCGGCCACAGAGATCACGAATCCGTAAAAAAGGCAAAGGCTCTGCAAACGCGAGATTTTGCTTTGAAAGTTTTTAGGGTCCACTTTTAAGCGCTCTTGGGGTGGCAAGAAAGTGTCTCCGGTGGTATTCGTTTTAGAGGCCGGCATCTAAAGCCAGAGCTCTCGGGTTCGTGTCCCGACAATTTTTTTTGGCATTTTTCCACTTTTTAAAAGCAACAATTTTAAATAGCTACAACCTGTGTCTGATGCGATTTCAAAAAATCTTTGAAATCTTTTTGTTCAAAAATTCGTATAGATTTAAGCTTTAAATCATAACAAGAGAATCAAAATTAACAACATTTTTAATAGTAATGAAACTCAAGAATTAAATGCCCAAAGCATATGCGATGATCACAATGAGCGCAACGGAAAAAATCCGAGTTGTGGCAGCGACGTGTGAAACAATTAAATACTAGATCTTTTGGGAAACATGATTGAAGTGGGGTCGAAAATGTTCCAAGATGAATGTCGTAATTTCCGATTCCGAACCATGGATATTTTCACATGTTTAAAAACTCTGGTGCTCGAAATTGTTATTATCGACAGCATTTTGAGCAAGTCCCTTTGTCCCTTTGTTTGAAGTTATGATCAAATCCATATTCTGTCAATTTTTTGTAAAATACTTTGAACTGACGAAAGAAAAAATAGTCGAATGGCTGATAAGTGGGCTGCTTCAGCTATTTCGAGATTTCGATTAGGATCGGCTAATAATTTAATCCCGTCTTCCTCGCGGAAAGATGTCCAAGAATCGGCCAGAAGCAGAAAGAATGGGCAAAAGTGTCGAGTTGTGGGCAAGTTGTTTTTTGATGCCACTACTCGTACAACCTTTTTTTTGCCAAATGGCTAGACTTCTTCTGATGACCATTTCTTTAGTAAAGTCGCTTTGATTGAAATAATGTCCGCTGAAACCTTTTGCACTTCCTCTTTCACTTGTTGACAAATTTTCTGCTTTCCTCGTTAATTCAAACTTGATCTATCTTTCCTTTTCGTGTAACAAATGTCGTGGTGTCGAGATGTAATACCGGAACTTTGCTTGAAACGAGTAACCCACGATTGACTTGCGTTGAAATTCGGTACCTTGAAACGATTGGCGTTTAATTCCAAAGCAAGTACGCGTATGGTTTGCATAATTAAACCGTCGTCCTTTAACTCTAGCGCTAATCCCTTCAACAAGCCCAATCTTTCGCCATGTAATATTCCCGTGCCTTCAATATCTGCCACTTTCTCAGATGATGATAATTTGTGATGAAGCGAAAATTGTGAGACATTGAAGTTAAATTTGCGCTCATTTCGTTCCGGAATTGAATAACATTAAATACTTGGTCCTTTTGCAAGGCTTTCTCCCCAAAGCGGATTGTCTCGAGAAGCATTGGTGATTCTAAATAATTGTGATCATAATCGAATTCCCCAACCTCGTCTTCGATCTCAACTTTCTTTACTATCCATCTCCATTACCTCACAGTATGATAAAATATTTTAAATCTTCTCAAGCAGCTTCCTTTCGGATCGATTCAATGTCCGTAGCTGGTCAGCAATCGGAATCACCTTTGTTAGATGTAGCATCACTTTACTAGGATCTCCACACCTAAAATACGATATTTATGATAATTAATGAAAAGTTAATCATTAAGAAAGCAAATAAAGAGCAAAGTAATAAATGCTTGATAGATTCAAAAGTAATTAACATTATCTCAAAAATATAAGTGTAGTTTGTAGTTGTTATGTTATTATAAAATTGTTGCTTTTTAATCGAAAAAATGCAAAAAAAATTGTCAGGACAGGAACCTGAGAGCTTTGGCTTTGGATGCCAGCCTCTAAACGACTAGACTGCTGGAGACACTTTTTTCGCCGCCTTCAGGTTGAGGTCATTCCCCTGTAAGCTTGGATGCTCGTATCTTCTTTAAATTAAGTGCATTCACTACAGTGATTCCCAGTTCTTTGAGATCAAAAAAAACCATTTGGATATTTCATGCCCTGAATTTTAAATCTAGCAAGTCCTAAAATTTCAAAATTGACAGCTAAACAAAGATGCTTAAATCTTTATTACGTTATGCGTATTCACTCCAGTGACTCCCAATTCATCGAGTACGATAAAAACTGTTTGAATGTTCCTTGCCATGAATGATAAATCTAGCAAGTCCTAAAACTTCAAAATTGATAGTTAAACAAAGATGCTTAAAACTTCTTTTCTTTTTTATTTAAATAGGCTGGAAAGTTTTAAATAGGACATGAAAAAACTAAACTCACAATGAAATTAAGCTTGGCTGAAAAACATTGAAACTTGGGCCATTTTAAAACCCGCACTCACTGATGCATAAAAACGGGTGATCGGCATGTTTTAAATGTCACGTTTTTTTCTTTTTTTGAGATTTATATTGGAGGGGTTATACGTTTTAGTAAAGTTCATGTTTAGTAACTTTTCACTTATTGTTAAATTATGGTAAGTGGTATATACGTTCAATGTTTTCAAGAAGTTTGTGTTGATCTCAATGAACTAGAGTGAATACACATTACGTTTCAGAAGATTCCTCGCCGAATGGCATCTTTGTTTGGCTTTCCGTACATTCCACGTTTTAGGACTTGCTAGATTTAACATTCAGGGCATGGAATATCCAAATAGTTTGTGTTGATCTTAATGAACTGGGAATCACTGGAGTGAATACAAATAAGGTAAAGAAGATACGAGCATCTAAGCTTAGCGTCAATTTTGAAGTTTTAGGACTGGCTAGATTTAACATTCAGGGCATGGAATATCCAAACAGTTTGTCTTGATCTCAATGAACTGGCAATCATGGGAGTGAACGCACTTAGCGTAAAGTAGATTTAAGCATCTTTGTTCAGCTAACAATTTCTGAAGTTTTAGGACTTGCTAGATTTAACATTCAGGGCATGGAATATCCAACCAGTTTGTGTTGATCTTAATGAACTGGGAATCACTGGAGTGAATACAAATAAGGTAAAGAAGATACGAGCATCTAAGCTTAGCGTCAATTGTGAAGTTTTAGGACTGGCTGGATTTAGCATTTCCGGCACAGAATATGCAAGCAGTTTGTATCGTACTCGATAAATTGGGAGTCACTGGAGTGAATACGCATAACGGAAAGAAGATTTAAGCATCTTTGTTTGGCTATCAATTTTGAAGTTTTAGGACTTGCTAGATTTAGCATTCAGGGCATGAAATATTTAAACAATTTTTGTAGATCTCAATGAACTGGTAATCACTGGAGTGAAGTTACATGAAGTTAGGTTATCGAAAGTTACAAAAAGTGGAGGGATTGGATAAAAATAGGGGCAAGTTAACGTTAGAAAGGGATCACGTTTTAGAAACGTGGTGATTTAGTTGGACACTCTAATTCGGATCTAAAGTAACGTATCCTTCCTTATGTTAGGCAAAACAAACCTTGACGACAACGATAATATCGGCATTTTGAATGGACGAGAGTCGATGGGCGATGACGAGACAGGTTCGGCCGGTTGACGCCCTCTCCAAGGCCTCTTGCACGATCTGTAATTGGGATTAAGATTATGTTTTAGTGGCAAAAGCATGAGGCCTTTGCTTTGACATTAGTCTTTGTATGACTTACCCGTTCACTTTCCGTATCTAGGGCGCTCGTTGCCTCATCAAGGAGTAGAATCTAAAAAGTGAACTGTAATCAAAATTTTATCATATTGAAAAGCTCAGTTTCAAATTCCTGGGTTCGAAAGTGGGCAATTATTTTTTAATTCCATAATTCTGTGAGTCCTTTTTTCTCTGATCTTCTATGAGCGGTGATTTTTCGACAAACCTTCGGATCTCTAATGACAGCCCGCGCAATAGCCACTCGCTGCTTTTGCCCACCCGACAGTTGACTGCCCTTCTCGCCAACAACGGTGTTATACCCCTGAAATTGAAATTGAAAATGCAACCTTTGAATACGTTTCAAGTTGTTAAAACTCTTGAAAATAGTTGAAGCGAACCGCCGGGAGTTTCGAAATGAAATCGTGTGCATTTGCTAGTTTCGCTGCCGCGATCACTTCTTCTTCTGTTGCAGCATTGACACCGTAAGCGATGTTTTCTCTAGAAAAAACTTTAAACTTTAAAAAGATCAATTCAATAGCTAATCCAAATCCGAAACCTGATCGAGTAATTAAAAAGGATTGGCTCTTGTCCAACGAGGGAAATTTGGGAGCGCAGGTGTTGCAGGTTGATCTCCCGACAATCGATCCCGTCGAAGAGCTGCAAATTTTCATATTTAAATTTTACTGGAAGAACCTATATACTGATCTTGGTTCTCTTTTTTGGTTGTTAAGTTTGAAATGAAAATTTTTAAACAAAGAGAAATCGCATAATGTGCATTGAGGGTAAAATTTAAAGAAAAACTGACCAATCTGCCTCCAATTGGATCATAATATCTCTCGATCATTTGAATCGACGTTGATTTTCCGCACCCCGATGGGCCGACAAGGGCCACCGTTTTGCCGCGGGGAATCTGGAAAAGTTTTGTTGAGTTTTTTTGTTTTCCACAAACCTTGATCTGAATTCCATTCAAAACCATGTGTTGTTTCCGGACTGGATACGAGAAATATAAACGATCGAAGTCCACGTCACCGTTCAGGGTCTAAAAAGATTCAAATGAAATTAGAAATCTTAGTAAAGTTTTAAATACCCTAGAATATTCTGGAACTATTGACTACCCTCACCGGTTTCTTTCCTCCATCAACCAAACTGTCAATTCTCGGCTCGATTCCCAGCATGTTGAAGAGGAGACCGGCAGAGAGTCTAAAAAGGAAAGGTCAAGTTTCAAGATCACTTTGTGTCAGTGATAAAAACCTATGTTAAGTTTACCAAAAGGTGAATGTCTTGTTTATAAACTCTACAAAAAAGTGAGTTTCAAAATCTTCAGCTAAAATGGGTCTGGGGGCCCTAAAATGCTGAATCTACACTTGTTTTCAAGAACCCGCCTCGCTCGAATGTATTCGGGGAAATATGTTGCGAAAGCCATCAACGAGATCGATGCACAGTTCAACGCTTCGATCACTCTGAAAAATTTCGAGCATGGAGATCATCAAAATTTGAAGTAGTCACGTCGTCATCAAGATAAAATTACGAAGTCTACTCATCCTATCTAATCCTCAAAATTGAAACATTAGTATCGAAACTAAAAATCAGCATTTTTTTTTGAGATTAGCTTTGGATGCCATTCGAAAATTCGTCGTTTCAACTTTGATCAGCTCAATTCTACAAACGCTTATGCGATGAGTAGGGGATATTGTCTAGACTCAACGCAAGTAGAGACCTAATTTTTGGTCATAAACCTTTACAAGCTTATTTGAAACACAAAGTTCCTATTTGTCGCCAGGGTATTCCCTACTTTTTTCCCTTGAACTTTCCCAAAAACTGACTGAAAAACGATGTAAGGCGAGGTTTTGTTCAACTTGACCAGCCAAATCCCGTATCGGAAAGCGATCGCGAAATTCATCAGCACATAGGAGATCGAGAGGGCAAAAGTCAGCGATTGGATCAGACCTGAAAGTGTTTTTTAGCAGGTTTCTAAAATGTGTTCCCTTTCTACCGTAATCTTTCCTTTATTTTTATTCAATCTATTCACTTTATATCTGAAAAAAGATATCGAAAGATACACGCTTTAGGAAAAGGAATAGGGCGCCACAACGCAAGAGATTGTTATCTTTAGAATTGCTTTCATTTAATCAACTTTGAAACAAGAAGATTTTGAACGAAGTCTTTACACTCTGATCAAACAGGACTTGGTTAAAGCTTGGAGAAAAAGTTTGTTTCAAAGAAATCAAATATAAAATGAGCTTAGCAAAAGCAATGTTCTGTTCATTTTCAAACAAATCTTCTACACTGACCCCTCGAAATGGCATTCCGATGCGGTTTCGCCATCATCTCCACGTATTTCTCGACAAAGTGCCGTTCTCTTGTCAACGATTGCACCGTTTTGTGTTGTTCGATTGCTTCGGTGGCTAGCTTGAATATTCATTTTAAATATATACCAATATATACGATTTGCACAAGACCAAAGCACGAAATGAACGACTCACCCGACTCGGCTCCTCAGCCACTTCAGCATCGCGTTGTCCCTTCCGTTTCAGATACTGTGTGATCAACGTGTTCACCGTCATCAGAGTCTAAAATACGGAATATTCTTTCTAAATAATTTCTTTTCATTTCAACTTTTACCTGACTGAATTTATTAGAGTCCCAAACAATTTCAATTTGTTCAATTATTCTGTTTGTTTGGTAATAATAAACGAGATTATAGTCTAATAACTTGTTTAAACTGTACTTTACAGTCTAATAACTTGTTTAAACTGTACTTTGAAAAGTTCACAAACTACTCAAAATTTTAATTACAAAATTTCTAGATAAAAACGTCGAAACCAGATTTTTTCCAAAATTACAGTTCACCCAAAAAAGTGAGTTTCAAATTATTGTGCAGAGACCCGTTTTACTGTTGGTAATGCGCGGCTGTCTCCTGGAAAAATTCAAGTTTTTGAGTTCCAAACGGCCTAAAATCTATTAGTTTAACTTTGAGTTTGTTTCTTGTATATATTTTTTAATGAAAATCCCCCTACCACAGCTGTCAACACCCCGATCGGCGCCATGATCGGGCCGTAGCTGAAGGCAATGATGATTCCCGCCGAAATCGCTGAGATCGATTGCAAAACGTCGGCCAGACGTTGATCGATTGCCTAAATATTTTTATGAGTTTAATTTTAAGCATAAATTCATAGGAACAGTAAGAAAGTCTACTGATCAATGCAGAACAATAAACTTTCATTTATTTTCAGGTTTTCAAGACAAAAAACGGATTTAGATTCAATAATTAATTGATAAAGATTCATGGGTAATAAAAACCTGAGCAACATCCGTTTTTTTGGGTATTTCAAATCTTTGGCGCAAAATTTTTGGGTTTATTTTTCAAAAAAATGAATGTTTCAAAATACTTATTAGTATTTTGATACTTTTGATACATTCTTTCTCTTATGTTCTTTGAGCGGCTATTTTCCGCTTAAAGAAGATAAGAGAAATTTGATACTATCATGTTGTACATCAATAAACCTAATAAAAAGTTTAATTTTTCTAAAATTCGATAAAACATAGATAAAACATGTTTCTTAGATTCTTAATCTGCAATCAAAAAGAAAAGAATTGGTTAGGGGAAAGTTCAAAGCCCTCCAAGTGGTTTCCTTACAAATTCCTCCAAGTGGTAAACCCCAATTTTGAGATCTTGTTTCAAAATTCTCAACCAAAAACGAGTTGCTGGGTTGACAATTAATTGAATTCAAAATTCTTAAGCCAATCGAGTTTCCGGGTTTTCATAATAGCTCTTTTCTTAATAGCTTAATAGCCATATTCATAGTCCAATATTTATCCAAATCTCTGTGATTTTCCCAAGAAAGTCCCTTGGAATTTTGAAAGTTTTCGAAAAATGAGAACTTTTTAAAGTTCGAGATCAATTTATTAAAGTCGATCGAATTCAGCGAACTCACAGCACGAATATTCGGCGCATCACTGGCCAGCCTCGTCGTGAGCTTTCCGCTCGAGTGATTCGGATTGTCAAAGTAGGATCCGTCCTGAAATTTCATTCATATCACTAAACCCATGACAATTGATAGATTTATTCTAGGTTTAAGTAGGCTAACTTTGAAACCAAGCTTTCCCCAACTCATTTCTACCTGCCGTAAAATATTCCGAAAGAGTCTCAGCCGCATTCGCATTGTGATCGACTCACCGGATTTGCCCATGAGGAAACTGAAATGTTTCCAGAATTTGTTTGTGAGTTTTTTTTCTTCTTAACTGACCCTGATGTCATGGCACTTAATAGACAAGAAATGCCGATTCCCCAGAAGTAAAGCCCATTGATCAATGCGTGATGTTTCATCACATCTGGCGGATCGTCCGAGGAGAGCATCTGGAAAAGTTCAACAATTGTTTTTTCAAGAATTTTTAATACAGATTCTATCAATTTAAATCTTCAGTTCAAAAAATAAATAGAATAAAAGTTCAAGTTTCAAAATTTTTTATCAAAAATTGTTCTCATCCAAACTAATCATCGAACTTAAACGTGGGTTTGAAAAAAAAGCGCCTTTATTATTCCTAGCTAAGTCTATTTTTCTCTTAAATGGGTGAAGAAATGGGGAAAGGGACACTCTTTAGGAAACAGACTCAAAAGGATGGGATAGATAGATAGATAGATTCAATGAATGTTCCAGCTCAAGAATCCAAGTTTCAAAATGATGTCCACTTGAGCGAGTGAATGCTAGCTAATATCAAGAGAGGGTATTTTCAAAAAACAATCATTTAAAAACTTCAAAGTATAGCCGACTTTTTATATAATTAAAATAGATTTGCATACGATAACCCACCTTGAACATCCGTCCATAAACGAGGGAAAATATGGGGAAAGTGAGCCCTCTGATGATCGAACAGCACAGTGCAACCAGCAGCCACAACCATTCGGGCCGAGCGAACTTCAAGATATCCAGAATGGATGACGGGGCGGCTTTCTCTTCAGCCACTTCATCCTGCAATTCGTTTTAAGATCATTTTTGCACTTTTATAATCTATCCTGAAATTATTATGTTTATAGTATTATTAAGTTGAATTTCAATCCTTGTATCTCAATTAATTTGAAACTAGAAACTTTTGCCCAGATTCATCGAGTTTATTGGTTTCAATTTGTTTCGAATAAAGCTTGAGAAATGAATTTCAATAACTTAGAAAAAATTTTCCTTTTTTTGACTCTAAATCCTGCTTAACGTTTGTAATGAGATGCTAATCCAAAATAAAATTCACAAATCGTCGTTTTGAAACTTTTAACAGCAAGATATTCTCGAGATTTTCAAGCTTTCCCTTCAACAACTATTTGTAAGATTTTGGTTTCAACTTTACATAGATTCATCGAGAAAACGTTCTGCAATTTGCTAACTTTAATAACTACATCAAAGAACTCTAAAGTTATCGATTTTTATAACTTTTCTCATTCCTGGGTTCTTTCGGATGCAATTCAAAGCCTGCCTCTAGATCCAAAATCGCTCGATCGATCTCGGAGGACATCGAGAGAGCACGGGACATTCGAGTTGACAATCTAAAGAGGATTAATGGGTTAGAATTCATTTTAGTCTTGATTCCCCACCTCGACGTCGTCCTCGCTTTCATTCGAGAGAACCTTCGCCCCGTCACGCCTCCAGTTTCTAAAAGTTTAATCTATTATATTTGTTTAAAATAGATTTCAGAATCAAAACCATTAGTGCGACAAGCAAACGAAAAATCGAGTGTTTCAATTTAAAAGAGATTAGTGAAGAATTTGGGAAGATCATGCTTAAAAACTTGAAACTTTTGCTCTAAGAAAGGTCGAAAAATCAGATTTTTGTTTAAAATATGACGCCAATGCGGGAAATTTGAAAGGCATTTAAAGAAAATTGAACAAACACCCCAAAAACAGTGCAGAAGTTAGTACTTGCTGTACTTTGTGCTTTCCGGATCTCGTAAACATCCCCTTCCCGGCGCACTCAATTCTTTCATTTTCCCCTCGTTGCTGTGCGGGGGTAAATGGAAGAATTGAGTGCGCCAGAAACGGTAAGTTTACGGAATTCGGAGAGCACGAAGTACATCTGTGCTCATGCGCAAAAATACCCTCAAAAAGCGAGCTGTCACCGGACGAGGTGAAGCTCGCGCTGCTCTCGCTGGCACTATCGTCTAAAGGAGCTTATTAAGAATTAAGAATGTTTCAATATTTTCAATCCAAAATGGAAAATGGAAAGTCTAATCCTTCCAGTTCAAAGTGTTTCTCTCAAAACGAGCCAACGAATTATTACGACGGTTTTTGTTGAGAGAAGATGGCTGAAGAAGTTGAAACTCGAACTCTTTGATCACTCACCGAATTGATCCTCTTTTTCGCCTCTATCCAAATCATCCTTTTCCTCGGCTTTCTCGATTTCTTGTGCTTTAACAAGTTCTGAATAGAGACCACCCGATGACATCAGAGTTTCATGGTTTCCCGACTCGACGATTACTCCACTCTGAAAGGAACAAGTATAAAGCTATCGTAAATACTGTCTTCAAGGTCTTCAAGGGCCTTCCGATACAAAATTGGTCTTCAAAAAGACTACTTTTGAAAAAGAGTTTGGCTGAAAAGAGCTTAGAATGATTTGGAGGATTGATTAATAAAAGAAATAGATAAAGTAAAGAGAAATTACCGTAAATACTGTAATAGTACTAGTACGGTCGTAATACTGTAATAGTACCCTACCACCCTCGTACAGTCGCGTAGCCGCAAAATTTTTTAGTATTTCATTTTTTTTCAAAGCGCCCGTACTTTCAAAAATGTGTCTTTGGTATCAAAAAATAGCTGAAATTCAGGGCTATTTTTTGAAACCAAAACGAACATTGTAGCATAAACCAGTGTCGAGAAAAACTCGTTCAAAGCTAGACTACACAACACTTCGCACCGTCATTATGGGGGGGGTGGGGTACTATTACAGTATTTACGGTAATAGTTTCAAACAGAGCGAAAAGAGCTAGAATGAGATATGGACCGATGTATAACCTAGAAGGAGAGCTAATTTAAAAGGATCCAAAGAAAATTTCAAGAATACTTTTTCGAAAAAAATTGTAAGGGGAGACCCTTATCATTTTCGAGAGTTTTTCCATTTCCCCATTTCCAGGGATCAAAATTGAAATCAATTTCTTGTTTTAAACATCTTTTTTTCGCTTGTTTTAGAGCATTTCTCAATCGAGTTAGAGAGATTTTAAAAGATTTTTGTTAAAACTTTATATGGTCCCTGTTATGTGATTTTTGGAGTTCGGGAAAGAATTGGGAAAAATAGAAAGGCATTTCCTTCAATTACAGTATTTACGCTCATTTTTTTCGAGGGACTTTTTGAAGCACTCACATCGAAAACGTAGATCCGATTGGCTCCCTTGATCGTTGAGAGGCGGTGAGCGATCGAGATTGTTGTACGGCCTTGGCCAGCCTGCAAATTGTTACCTTTTAGAAACATTAGCAAGAAAGGATTGTAATTTTTGGGTTATTAAAATTTACTCTTCTACAATTAGTGAGATCCAGTTTGAAACAGAAACTTTACTGCTGAACTGTTCCCTGCAAGCTCCCTCAAATCGTAAACACCCCCTTTCTGGCGCACTCAAATCTTCCATTTCGCCTCGTGACACCAAATCGTTGCTGTGCGGGGGAAATGGAAGAATTGAGTGCATCAGAAAGGGGTTTATGCGATTCGGAGAGCACAAAGTACACCGAATTTTGGAAAGTTTAACTTTTTTGTACCTGATCAAGCGCTCGTTGTACTACTGCTTCCGATTCGGTGTCTAGAGCTGAAGTAGCCTCATCCAACAGCAAAACTCGTGGATTTCTGAAAAAAGGATATTGAAAAGAATCCAATCTTTGAGCTGCTAATAACTAAACGAAAGATTTAACTACCCACAATTAAAATTGCTGCAAAAAGCCGGATATAAACAAAGTTGAAACAAGCTTTTTTTAAAACATGATTTTAACCTTTAAAAATATAATTGTAGAATTTAACCAAAAATAGAACAAAATTTGATATAATTTCTCTCAAAAATGTAACCTGGCAAGCGCCCGGGCGATAGCGATTCGTTGCTTTTGACCGCCGGACAGCTGGACACCGCCTTCACCGATTTTCGTCTCATACTTCTTAAAGGAAAAATGTTTTTTTGTTTTTTATTTTATTTTATGAAAATTCCCTTGTGTTGTCTTTTTCAAATTTCTCTCTTCAAAAGATTTCATTTCAAAATTCCTGAATTTCAATACGTTTCCCTTTTTTCAGTAGACAATTTTCAGTTGTTTTGTTTTTTAAACAAAAGATTTAACTACCCACAATTAAAATTGCCGCAAAAAGCCGGACATAAAAAAAGTTGAAACAAGCTTTTTTTAAAACATGATTTTAACCTTCCTTTTTTCAGTAGACAATAATAGACATTGTATTGCAGTAAATTTTAATTGAATTGCCGTTTTTAAAATCGTGTACTTCAAAGAAACCGATAGACAAATAATTTCTTAATTATTGTCAATTTTGGTATGTGCAATTTTTTCTTGTGTAAATACCCTTGATTTTTAGTATTGGGCACCAAGCAAAGCCAAAACTCGGTTTCAAAACGATCCGCCAACGAAAGTAATGTTTCCAAGTTGGGTATTTCAAAAGTTTTTCCTTTGGTGGCTAGTTTTTTGATTTTTCTATGCACAAACCTCTGGCAAAAGCTCGACGAAATCGTGGGCATTGGCCATTCGACAAACTCTTTCCATATCTTCCAAAGACATTTCCGGATTCCCAAGCCTCAGATTGTTTGCCACACTATCGGCGAAAAGTGATGGTTCCTGGAAATCGGAGTTTTTATCGTACAAAATATTCAAAACAAAAATCAACTCAGTGTCCAGCTCTAAGAAAGCTAGTTTCAACTTTGGTGTGTTTAACGAAAGTGCGTGATTCCCAATGGAGTTGTTGTTGCGTAAAAAAAAACAAATCTATTTGGTGTTATGTTGTTGGGCCACGAATTATACAACAAAGCTATTTTGGCTATTTTTAAATCATATCTCAAAGCTTGAGGTCAAATTTTTAAAAAACAGATTTCAAACTCAACAAGCAAGCTCAAAAAGGACAGTTTCAACTTTGAGCAGCTCAAGGAAGCTTCGATCCATTAATCCCCAATCAATGCTTTAGTGTTTAAAATTTGGGTCTTGAAATTTAAAAAGTCTAAACTTACTGAATTGGGAATCACTGAAGTGAAGACACATAACGTAAAAAAGATACAAGCATCTAAGCCTGGTGTCAATTTTGAAGTTTTAGGACTGGCTAGATTTAAAATTTAGGGCATGGAATATCCAAACAGTTTGTATTGATCTCAATGAACTGGGAATCACTGGCGTGAATACACCTAAAGTGAAGAAGATTTAAGCATCTTTTTTTAGCTATCAATTTTGAAATTTTAGGACTTGCTAGATTTAAGATTCAGGGCATGGAATATGCAAGCAGTTTGTATCGTACTCGATGAATTGGGAATCACTGAAGTGAATACGCATAACGTAATGAAGATTTAAGCATCTTTGTTTAGCTATCAATTTTGAAGTTTTAGGACTGGCTAGATTTAAAAGGTAGGGCATAGAATATCCAAACAGTTTGTGTTGATCTCAATGAAATGGAAATCACTGACGTTGATACACCATACAATAAAGAAGATTTAACCATCTAAGCTTAGGGTCAATTTTGAAGTTTTAGGACTTGCTAGATTTAACACTCAGGGCATGGAATATCCAAACAGTTTGTGTTGATCTTAATGAACTGGGAATCACTGAATTGAATACAAATAAGGCAAAGAAGATATGAGCATCTAAGCTTAGCGTCAATTTTGAAGTTTTAGGACTGGTTGGATGTAGCATTCCTGGCACGGAATTCCTGGCAAGCAGTTTTTATCGTACTCGATAAATTGGGAATCACTGGAGTGAATACACATAACGCAAAGAAGATTTAACCATCTTTGCATTGCTATCAATTTTGAATTTTTAGGACTGACTAGATTTTACACTTAGGGCATGGAATATCCAAACAGTTTGTGTTGATCTCAATGAATTGGAAATCACTGATGTGAAGTTACATTAATTTAGCTTAAGCCATGGGCTATTTTTTGAACTTCACTTACTTGACTCACGACGCCGACAATTTGCCTCAAATGGGCAATGTTGATGTCTCGCACGTCCTCGCCATCGATTGTTACCTGAAAAATGAGGATACGATTAAAATTTAAGAAAAAAGTCCTTTAGGTTATCAAAAACAGCTGAAAATAAAGTGAGCGCTAAGCGCTACGAGTGGTTGGGTTAACTGCTGGCCGAATTGGGTCAATGCATGGTTTATATGAGTAAAGTTTAGTTAATTGTTAGCAAATTTACTAAAGTTCCTTAGGTGAATGGACACATACTTTGCTTTGCCTCTTATAAGTACAGTGAATTTTCGTGTTTTAAAATCGTGTACTTCAAAGAAACCGATAGACAAATAATTTCTTAATAATTGTCAATTTTGGTATGAGCAATTTTTTCAAGCTATTCTTGTTAATTAAAGCAAAATTTCTATGTTTCAAATTTCCTGAAGAGAAAGAAATTAGGAAGAAAATAATCCTTGCATCATTTTTTCGAATCGTCACTTCTCAAGTTTTTCACACAATTAGTTGTTGTTTTATTGTTGCTCTTGTCTATTAATCAATCAGAATAGAATGAATTTGAAACAAATTTCACCAAAAACCACAGCTCTGGGAAATTCAGTGGCTCAAAAATTCGTATGCTTCAAACTAGTGCTGTTCAAAGAGGCTTTGACAATTCTTCTTTTTTTGCTAAAGATATTTCTGCGCCACAAATGATTGACAGCGGAACTTTACAGTTTCTTTAGTTTTATTTTTATCTGTTTCAAAGTTAAGTAAGAGCCATTGAAACAAGTAGAATTAGCGGTGAGTCAGCGAAAAATTGCCCGTCTTCCCCAATGTCATTTTTAAGTTAGCTTAGTGATTTTTAAGATTCCCAGATTTAAGATTTAAGATTCCGAACTCACTTTCCCCTGCTCTTGCTCGTAGAATCTTAGCAATAGACCCAAAAGGGTACTTTTCCCGGAACCCGAGTGTCCGACGAGGGCCACATGCTCGCCGGGTTCGATCTTCAGTGAGATTCCTCTGGAATTGATTGAAATTGATTGCACAATAGCTGATAATTGCATAAGTTGAAGCTTGCTTTTCTTATACAAGTAGTTCTTTAATGTATACTTTGTGTTTACAAATCTAGTAGAGAGCTGCTTTCTGGCGCATTTCAAACAAACTTCAAGATTTTGGTCTCTTCCCTCGTCGGATATCGGAAATGGATGTCGTTTAGTTCGATGGTTCCACGCGGATTCGCGATCATTTTTCCTTTTTTTGACTGAGAGTTGATTGTTGGTTCCTGTAATTTTCTTGCATTTTAATTTTTCAAAAATAGTTTCAGGGATGAATAGTTTTCATTGTTTTAACGAAGACGGGATGAAAAAGGATCGATTCTCTTTATGTAAATGTGAAAACGATTTGGATATTTAAAATTTCTGCTATTACAGCCTAAGATTTTATTTGCTAAATTGAATAATTGACTTAAAAAAATGAGTGCTTTGAACTTTGAAAGGAAATCAGAAAGAGTTCAGCATTCTTATAAGCATTTTTGTTAATTACCCGATCAATAATGGCGAAAATTGGTGCCGCTGCACCCTTTGCCCCGAGAATCGTCCCGATTTGCGGTGCCGCGTGGCCTAACGCGAATGAGCCTGTAAATGCTTTGGTTGTACTTTTGAAAAGAACACATTGTAAGCATTACATTCAGTATTTTCACTAACTTTTTACTTTGTTCTTCTAAATCCTGTAAACACCGCCTTTCTGGTGCACTCAATTCTTTCCATTTCCCCCTCAAAACAACGATTTGGGTGTCATGAAGAGAAATGGAAGAATTGAGTAGACCAAAAGGAGTGTGTTCACGGGAAAGTACAGGCAACAATTATCGTGTCACCGTTATAAAACAGCCCTCAAACTTTACCGATCAATTTTCTAAGTAATGTTTTTTTGCATTTGAAAGTTCGAAATAAATTTTTGAAATTCTTGAGAACAAACCTGAGATGACAGCCCAAAAAACCCCGAAAACAACTCCCGGTGAAATCTCGTCTTTCGTTACGAGAACTGTGCCGAAGTAAAAGCAACGCCTAGAGATTTCAAAATTTTCAAGAATCAAGAAAGAATCCGGAACTGTCGACTGTCGACTGAAATAAACTGTCGACTTTGAATTGAAAAATTCTGAAAAACCTCAAATGAACGAAAGTTTCTTTGTGTTTAAAAGTGTTTTCTCAACAAGAGTCTTGAAAATGTTTTCTCATGTTTCTCAACAAGTCTTTTCTCTTCAAAATTCTGAACAAGAAGAGTAGGAGAGGTTGTTTGTTAAGAAGAATAAGAGAATTTAGAGTGAATTGGGAAAACAAGTGAAGATGCAATTCATTCTAGATCTAAGATCATTCTAGAATAACTTATTGGATCCTTAAAAGCTTATTAACAAATTTGGTAGTATTGAAAACTCAATGAGATCCAATTTTATAGATATTTCAACTCTTGAATAACAAAATGCTCAAATTTTTATGCAAAATGCCTTCAAAAGGGTTTAAATAATAGTTATTGACTAAAAAAATGACTTAATGACATCAAAAAGTGGATGAAAATCCAACAAAAAGATCCATTTTTGAGCTCTTCAACATTTCGGTATACTTGGGCACACAAAAAAGAGAATTTTAGAGGGACAAAATAAAAGAGCTGACTATTTTATTCGAATTTTTGACAGAGTTAGTGAATGAAATCCAAATAGAGTAACTAAAACTGACCCATCGCGATGAAAAGCGCACAGAAAACGGTGGCCGTGCCGGCAGCCGTGAAAAACGCCTTCCGAATGCCGAACTTCTCCCCGACTCGTAAATGATCTTCGTATCTGGAATCGAGATCCGAGTTTAAGCTCAAAACTCAGGCATAGAAATTTAGATATAACTTTTCTATAAGAAAATAAACTTTCTTTAACATTTCAAAGTTTATAAGTTCATTTGAAAAGAATGAATTCGATTTAAGGGATTAACGAGAAGTTCAATAAGTCCATTTATGTCTAAATGCTTGAAAAACATTACCTCTTTTTAGAAAATTTAAAATTTAGAGCTTTACTTTTAACTTTTGACTTTTCAAGTTTCAAATTAGGCGGCTTTCCGAATTAAAAAGGTAATTTAACATAACGCGCTCTCCTTTGCCACCTCTTGATCTCCTTCTCTTGCCCATTGAATGCGGCAACTGTGCGTATCCCGGAGACGACCTCTTCAGCCACGGCACCCGCCTTTCCATAGGCTCGCAACTCTTGCGGGATCGTTCGTTTGATGAACTGAAATTGAGCTATCAATTGAGCTCAGAATCAGAAAAACAAGTGGATAGATTTAAAGCAAAACTAGAGGCAAGATTACAGTAGAAAGGAAAAAGGGGACACATTTTAAGAGTTTGTAAGCGATTTAAAAATCGTTGTTTCAAAATAATCGTCTTTGAAAAGAGTTACTTTTGGGGAAACGACCAGCAGCTGGATTGAGGATTAAAAGAAATGAAAAGAAATGAAATGAAATGAAATTTTCATGCAATGGGAATTGTGGCTTTAATTGGTGGCCCTTGGTATGGATTTCCGTTGGATAGTATAGGTGAAATAGTTAGAATAAAGTTTGACGAACCCTTCCCGCCATGATCATCGGCGTTAAGAACAGCGGTGTGAAGCACATCATGATCAGCGTCATCTTCCAGCTAAATCATGGAAATGTTTAGAAATAGTCAGTGTTGCCAAAGGTTTATTTCATCGTTTTCAGCTCAGACTCATTTATTTTAAAACCTGGATGCAAGAATGCAGGAGATTGTCGTGATGTTCGGGCTTTGCTTTTTAAAAAACTTGAAACACACTTTTTTGGTTAGAGACAAAAAATGAAAAAACTCTCAAATGGCATTAAATTCGATTTGAAACTTGCTAAAATTCTGTAGAAACACATGTTTTTCACTTTAGATTGTGAAAGCACCAGTTACTGTGATTAAATCAATTAAAATACGACTATTACAATTATTTTTGAAACTCAAAAAGTAATTTATGAAAAACTGTAACTGTATTTGACCTGAGCACAAAGGCTGTTGTTATTCCACCAATGAATTGAGCTGAATAGGCGCACATTGCACCGAGCTTGTCCCCGATTCCGTCCTTTATCCGATCGACTCCACTAAAAGGAAATGGAAATCCCAAAAGAAAAGCACATATTGAATTGAAAAATCTGTGTTTCAACTTAAACAACCTTTTTGTCAGCACTAGGAAAACGAATTGTTATTTTATTTTATTTCGAACTCACTCAGTCATTTTCGTTGTCAATGCACCAGTCTCATTCTTATCGAACCAACCCATGTTCTGTCGGAGAACAGCCTGCAAATTTTTACTGGAATCTACTCTTGTCTCACTACAGTAATTCGGCATAAAAGTATTCTGCCTCAAATAATTCAATTCAATTCCAAATATTCATTCAGGCTGTATATTTTCTTCAGAGATATTGTAGTGAGATTGGATAGGGAATAATTGTTGGATTTATCGGTTTCTCGCCATTGGACAGAAAACTAGATACTTTCCTGTTGTATCCCACAAAATTTAAAAGCTTCAAAACAGTGAATTCTTGTATGAAATTGGCCTTTAGAAGAGATGCTCTTTTAATTGAGATTGTAATAAGTAAATGATTATCATAAAAGTTGAAACTCATGATTTTTAAACCTAAAGTTTCAAAGTTTGCTGCATCGGATTTAGTCAATTTCAGTCGATTCCCCAATTTCCCAATTTCAGCTTCGAATTAAAGCCTTCAATTTTCTCTGAACCTTAAAAAAATTGAAACAAAGATTTACCAAAATCAAAAATGACAGAATTTTTGGTGTAGCTTGAAATTGAAATGCAATTTTTCAAATCATAAACTTATTTCCAAGATTTTAAGACTAAATTTTTAGCAACGAACCTCAAAATATCGAATGCGAATGTGGTGCATTTGTCGTTGAGCCACTGTGTGCCAGCAACACATCTGAAAATTCTCGTGTTTCAATGTAAAGCGGCTTTTGAGGGAAAAGTTTCGACTAATCTCTAGGCGACTAATCAACTAGGCTCTAGCCATCGTGCCGCACAAAAAACTTGATGAAAGCTGTGCAACAAAATTAGTTCGACCAATCAATTAGTCGGAAAAGATTAAGAACTTTTATTGTCTTGAAGCTTACATTTAGAAATCCAAGAATGAAAACGACTCCTCCGTAAATGGAATAAAGATTGACCGGGGGAAGGGCATCACCCTCAAAAGCATCGTAATCGAATGGATTTGTGTCGTTGGCGTTCTGAAACTCTATTCACTTTGTCATTCTACTCAAATAATGACATTTTAAGATCGAGCAACTATTGAAAAAGTATGTTTCAATTTTGACAATTACAATTGTTAAGCAGAATTGTTAATGATCTAATGATTGTTAAATCATTGAAACATCTTGTTTCAAAGTTTTTTAAGTTGAGATTGAATCTAGAGAGCTAGTTGAAGATAGCTTTAATCTTGTACCAATAAAAGCTAAAAAGGCTCAACAAATTACCTCCCAACTCTTTTGTCCATCGATGAGCGCGTTGATCATGTTTTTGTTGATGTAAGAGGAGGTGGAAGCCAGACCGCCTGCAAATTTTTTTTTACAAAATTTTGTATTTTCAAAACTGCTCAATAAAAACGAACCTTGACAAACCCCAAAAATCGCGCCAGCACACATCAAAGCAATATCGCCTTTTGTAGCGTAGCGGAACTGAAAGAAAAGTTGAAGATCGAGTTTTTCTTTCCTTTTACAGGAACTCGTAGAACAAGTTGATTGCAAAGGATTCTGTAAAGACAGTTCTATGTCTTTTCCCCCTACAGCAGTCCGGAATAGAGTTTAGCCGAAAGTTGTAGCTTTAGCCGAGGCTAATAACCCGAAATACATCAAATAATTACAGATTGAACTCTAAAGTTGGTACCGTTTAGTTTGAAACTTTCAAATTTATCGTTAACTTACCAACTTTTTTTAAGTTGTAAAGTTTTTAAGTCCAAAAGTCTCGAATTTGCAAATCTCCTTGATTTCTCACATTTCTCATCATTCAAAGAACACTAGAAACTATTGAACAAAAAGAAAAAGTTCGAATGATCTTTTTTGGCAATTCTTACTTAGAAAGGAAAAGAAAGAGATGATCGGCTTAAGGAATTTTTTCAATTTTTTCAAATGAGGCAAAAAGATGAAAAGAGATCACTCTGACGGTGCAATCGGCACAAATCAGAAGCGTTTTCGAGGGGAAATATCGATTTTAGCATTCAAATTAATTCGATTTCAAGGAGAAATTCGGGATTAATGAGTTTTAGTCGCACTGTGGCCAGAAGATTAAGCTTGGATGACTTTGTTTAATTCCAGAAAAGTTGAAACTTGTTTATTTCATTTGATTATAATTTTTTTTGAGAAATTGGTTTAACAAGAAAATTTTGGTGATAAATGCCTTTTTTCTAGACTATTTTAGAAAGAAATATGATTGGTTTAAGAATAACGAAGAATTGAATTAAATTACGGTCAATTGACATGAAGTGGAGCGTCGATTTTTGTAGTGACGATCAAGATTAGTTTCAGTCAAATCAATTTTGATTATTTATTTCATTGCTAAGATTCCCAATAAAATAACGCTAAAGGAAAGTCTCAAGAATTCATTTTTGTCTCTCTCAGCTAATTCCTTTTTTGTTTAAAAGACATTACCTGCATACTGTACATGATCAGATTTTTTAGAGGTTTGAAATTGTATTCAAGTTGAAAGTCGAGTCCCTTAAATGGCATCCATTTCAGACATTTCAGACAAACTACCGTAACCCGCTCGTTTCCTTTAGATCATCCCGATTTAAGTATTATTCAATCCACAGTCAATGATATCAAAATTTGGCTGATCGAAGGGAAAACTGGTGGGATGGATTAGGAGGACTCGTTTCAATTCAAACTTTAGTTGAGCTTTCCTTTTTGAGAGTTTTCTGAGCAAAAGATTTAAGGGATTGTGCTAGATTATGCCAGATTTAACTAAAAACTAAAAAGCCTGAAGAATTGTGCTCATTTTCAGATTTAATTATAGAATTTTTTTAAAATAAATAAGATGGGATACAAATATATTACTTTGAAATCACTTTCCTCAACTTTATCAACTTTGAAACTTTGAAACCCGTGATGGGACCTTAAATCCAAGTCTTGGACTTTATAAGATGTTATTTGGAATGACATCTCAAGAATTCATTTTTGTTTAAAAGACTTTAAACAAAAATGAATTCTTGAGACTTTCCCTTACCGTTATTTCATTGGGAATCTAAGCAAAAATGGATTTGACTGAAACTAATCTTGATCGTGACTACAAAAATGACTCACGTTATTACAATACTTATTGTTTTATTAACATTATCCAAAACTTTGATTAATTTAAAACAAAACTTAAAAGATGAAACCCACGAGTGCTCTCATCGGGACATCGGTGGCTCCCTCGGGTACTCGATTCGAGCGATGGCCTCGCTCCTCTTTTTCTGTTAATCTGAAGATTTTTGTCTTTTGACTTTGAGATTAAAAAGTGAACGATCAAGGGCAAGACAGAAGTCAAGCTTGAGTCAGGGTTCGGTCAGATTGGGTCTGGCCAAGTTCAACAAAAGGCCAGACCAGTCCAGGTCAGGCTAGAATCCAAGCCTAGAAAAAGTGCTTGTTTCAAAATGCTTAACCTTAAGCAAATCGACGAACAATCAATGTAGTTGTCGGCAATTTAGGCATATTTTTGCTTCGTTTTTCCAAACCTGGTGACATCGTCGAATTGGTGCTTTTGTTTCCCGTTGATGCCATTCATTGAGAGGTCGCTCGCCTGGCGGAGGAGTTTCTGGAAAAGAAAAGAATTAGAACTATTTGTGATGAACAAATCTCCTTGCGGTGTACTAGACACGCACATTTCCCACGTTTGTAAAAACATCATAAACTAATCTAGCACGAATTTGTACCAGTTTAGAAATGCTCAAAACAAATTTTTTGTTTTTAAGTTTTTAAATTAGAAAGTGAGGAATTAATAGTTTTGGAAAATCGTTGGAAAGAAGCTTTTTGAGATTCTGATTTGTTTATTTGTGTTTCAAGTGTTTTAAAGAGTTTCCAAAATGTTCGTAAATGCAAGTGCTATTGAAGCCCAAATTTTATGATGAATTAGATGAAAATTGAAACCCAAGTTTATCAAAAGACGTAAATTTCTCAAAGATTTCAATTTTGAATATTAGAAAGTAGAGAGAAGAAAAAAAAGAAATTTAGAAAAAAAAACTGATTTCTTCTGGTTTAATTACCCAATTTTTAACATTAAAGTAAGAGTTTTGATAGAAATTTGAAGAAAAAAACCATTCTTTTTGAACATTTATAGAACTCTTTGCCTAAGGAAAGGGAATTGATTATAAAATAGAGTGCATGAAGGCATTATTGAATGTCCTTCAAAGCTCTCGAATGTTTAAAACTGTCCCAATTTGTTCAAAGTTTTCAAATCTTTAAAACATCATCAAAAATAGACTCAAAAAGGCCGAAAAAAAACAAAAAAAGAAAAGAATATTTAAGAAATTTTGTAATGATGATATTCAAATGCACATTTTTGATCGATTTAATTACCTAATTTACCCCAAAATGGCCTTAACTTATTGTAAGGAAGGCAAAGCCATATTGCAACTTCTGGTAAGCAAAGATTGATTGGAAAATCTAGTAAATGATGGTAATAAATTTGAAACTAAACTTATTCAAAGCTATTAAAGTTTGGAATTTCATTGAAAATGAATCCAAATATGATTCAAGAGGCAAAGAACAACGTTTAGGTTTTTGATTCAGATCAAAATCAGCGTCCAAGAAATGAGCTAAGGCTGATTTGGGTCATTGAACCGGCCGAAATGACGGTGGTGTGAAAAATGGGGGTGTCTGAAAATTTGGCATTGTGTAGATAATGGAGTGACAAAAAGAAATAAGCTGTTCTGGGGGATGGGTGAGGGGAATATTATTTGATAGCACCGTTTGCCGAGGGGATTTAGTGGCTCAAAGAAATTGGTTGAAAGGGCGAAAAGAAATCCTTGAATTCGAGCTGATTCACGGGAATTCTTGGTTACCTTTTGTTGAATTGTTGAAACTTAAATTTTTCTAGCTGAAATTCTAAAATTTCAGTTTTAAAGTTTCAAAATGACGGGAATTTAGATTATTTGCTTTGGATCAATGGTAGTCAAATTGGAATTGATAATTCTTGGAAAGTTACAAGGATTTCAAGAATATTCTTTGATAATTCCAAAGTTTCGAAGCTTCAGTGACTAAAATAGCTTTATATTTCAACTCTTACATCATTAAAGAATAGAAATTTACTAACTTATTAAAGTAAAAGCGTTAATTTGCAAAAATTTGCAATTTACCATTTGTAAATACACCGAAGATCAAGTTAATACTGAGAGAAAAGTTCAAGTTTCAAATTGACACTAATTTCAGTAGCTTTCAGGGCAAGAAATAGCCATTTTGAATACTTCGACCGACTCGCTGTAGGTGTGGGATTTATCAGGGATTCTTTAAAGACACGGTTTTTCGTGGAACAGGGAAAAAAAGGGTGATAAACTCACGGGTGTTCGGCTCTTCATTTCAACTGAACAGGAAACAGCAGAACGGTTGATTCGAGAGGATTCCTGAAAGAAATTGTTCAAAAAAAATGGGTTTCAAAAAGCAGAAAGGATAAAAGTGGTTTCATTTAATAATTGACCATATAAAGTAAGTTTTTTTGAAAGAATGAGAAAATTGAAAGCTTTTGGAATAAAGATATTATTATTTAGTCTTGAAAGAACATGTATTTATGTCAAAATTGGAAAATATTAGTAACTGGAGTTAATTCAAATTTGAAATTCAAATTTCTAGCCATTAGCGTTGAAATTTAAAAATGTTAGCGATCAAAAACAAAAAGAGACGTCAAACCTTCTTCATTAAAAACTATAACTCAATTTTTTAACCATCAGAATTGAAACTTTGGTGCATTAAAATTCTAAATCAAAATTTGTAAGATTCAAAGTTGAAACATTATTTTTACAGGGTGTCTCAAAATTGTCCCTGACAACTTTTTGGAGAAGTGGTCGCACGCTTAACTTACTTCAAAGTGTCAAGTGTTATATAAAGAATTGTAGCCCTTAATCTTGGCTATATTTATCTCCTAAAAGCTTCTCAATCGGATGTATACAGCTCATTGAACAAGTCCTTCAATCAGCACTAGTCGATCCCTATTTTCTATGTGTTTGTCGATTATTTTATGCAAAAAAAACATATCATTTAACATTATTAATAATATAAAAGATAACTTTGAACTGTTTTGGCTAACCTGCTATAACCAAAATCAAGCTAAACACAGAGAAAAAGGTGAAATTTGATCATTTTTCTTTATTTGGTTCATATGTGCTGTTATAGCGCTATAAAATTGTTGAAAATAATTTTTTTAAACAAAATGCACACAAATTTTACTAGATAAAGTTCTTTTTAGATAAAAATCGTCAAAAATGGCCGGTGATCGACTAGTGCTGATTGAAGGAATCGTTCAATCAGCTGTATACATCCGATTCAGAAGCTTTTAGAAGATAAATGTAGCCAAGATTAAGGGCTACAATTCTTTATATAACAATTGACACTTTAAAGTCACTTTGAAGTAAGTAAACGTGCGACAAGTTTTCCAAATAATAAATTTGCCGAATCCTTTTCGGAGCTGACTGTGATGACTGTGACCTTTGAAGATTGAAATTCAAAATGGATATATTTCTATATATTTTTATAAATGGATATATTTCTATACATATATATTTCTATATAGCATTCAAAGTCGAAACATTGGTTCTAGTTGCAGTATTTTTAAGCTAAAATCAACATTCTGAAATTAAAACTTAAAATCGAAATTTGTACTGAACAAAGTTGAAACATTGTTTCAAGAATTTCTCTTTTGACAATCAAATGGAAAACTTGCAATTGTTATTAAGAAAAGTGGGGAAATAAAACGAAAGCAAAGATCCACCACTTCCCAAAGATGCACTAAGTCTTGAAATTGAGCTTTTAATTGATTAAAGTTGAAACATTTGATTCTACTGAAGGTTTGACTAGTCAAAAAAGCTGAAAAATAGTGAAAATCATCAAAAATTGTTGGAAAAAGGTCTAAATTTGTTTAAATTTTCTCAAAATCAATAAATTTCACGAGGAAACAAGCAGAATTTTATGGAAATCGGTGAAAATCCCCGTCAAAGTTGATACTTTGTTCCGGGTGTAACACAAAAAACAAAACTCTAACCGATTGTTCAATAATAATTCGAAAGAGAGTGAAAAAAAGAAAGCGGAAAGAGATTTGTGTATTTTGTGATTGAAGGGGATTTTCTCTGCTTTATGATCGCTTTCCAGCTAAAAGGAGGGAAATCAATTCATCAACAAATAGAACTGAGGAAAAAGTACGAAAATTTGATTATTTCTGTTGACTATAGCATTCGGTACACTTTGTGCTCATTCAAATCTCGTAAACACACCCCTTTCTGGCGCAATTAATGCTTCCATTTCCCCTCATGCCATCAAATCGTTGCTGTGAGTGGGCCAGAAAGGCTATAGAAATCTTGATTTCTATAGAATTTTGTCGAGAGGTAGCACATTTGACTCAAAAAATTGCGAAATTTATTTAAGAGTTTCAACTTTTTTAGAATTTAAGCAGTACAAAGCACACCAATGGATAGGATAACAAAGCTTTTTAAGTTTAAATTAAAAAGTAATCGATAAAGATGATAGACACCATAAAGATGATAGGCTTCAAGTTTCAAAGTTAAGTGAATCAACTCCAGTGCTCAAACTTTAATCATGCCATAGTTCTTCACTACTTGTGTTTTTTGTAACTTGCTAAAACTTTACTTGTATTTGGTAAATTTCACTAGAAACTCTTTTAAGTAGCAAGAAGATCAGGGCGCAAGAATTAGCAAGAAGATCAGCAAGAAGATCAGCAAGAAGATCAGCAAGAAGATCAGCAAGAAGATCAGCAAGAAGATCAGCAAGAAGATCAGCAAGAAGATCAGCAAGAAGATCAGCAAGAAGATCAGCAAGAAGATCAGCAAGAAGATCAGCAAGAAGATCAGCAAGAAGATCAGCAAGAAGATCAGCAAGAAGATCAGCAAGAAGATCAGCAAGAAGATCAGCAAGAAGATCAGCAAGAAGTTCACCAAAAAACATCAATTTAGCATTTAGCTCCAGTGCGCGACTTATAATTTTACCCTACGACTTTTACTGGAAAGTTTTTTTTGGAGTATTTTGAACCTAAATCTGTTTAAGGTTTAATAAGAAGGCAGATAAAGGCCTACGATTTATCAACTAAACTAAACTAAAATACTAAAGGAAACTTGAAAAACGAAGAGTTCTTTCCGAGTCAAAGTATTGTAAGATTGGATTTTGAGAATTCCCCCAAAATCAAGAGTTTCAAATTTTTGAGGATTCGAATCGTAAGAATTACATAAATGAGCGAAAACTGGATATTAAAGTGCTAATAACTCTTACTGTTGTTGGAAGATAGACAACGAATTGGGTGAGATGAGCAGTTCTTGATAGAATTTCGTAATAATTCTAAAGTAATAAAAACTGCTTCGTAAAGTGTTTTTAGAGACAAAAATCAAGCCGGAACTTTTAAAGAAGCCCCAAAGAACATTGTCGAATTTCAAAAATAGGTTACCACTGAATTTTGAGTGTGTTTGATTGGCGTGTCTGTGCCGGAGCTATGCCATTTTTTCTCTTTACTTTTCCGGGTTTACTTTTTTACTTTTCATTTCCTTTTTCTCTTTTCGTCGATCGTGCTGTGCATTGATCATTTTACCCGGAAAAAGTTCGAAAAAAGATCCGCTTTTCCCGAAAAAATTGAAGAAATCGAGAGAGTTAGGGCAAATTTCGACAAAATGTCCACAAATACTTCAGTTTTTTTCCCTTGATCAAACAAAAATAAAGAGATTTTTGATCGGATTTTGATGGGGAATTTAAAAGATCGGAAGTTTTATTAAGGATTTCAAATTCTAGTTTCTAAAAGGCACCCATTTCAGCTAAAGCTACCGTAATCCACCCGCTATTTCTCATTTGATCAGCCCAATTTTGGTATGATTCGATGAGGAAATCACAAGGCTCAGTCAATCATACCAAAATTGGGCTCATCGAATGAAAAATGGCGAGTGGATTCCAGTAGTTTGTCTGAAATGAATGCTATTTGCATCGTTCTCGATTCAGTTGCCCGTCCCATCGTGCTCCGAGCAGTTACACCGATACTTGTTGGCATTCACATCTGATTCGGTGCTGGCCGGATCGGCTTATTTGGCGCCAGGGAGGCGGTGTTTACGGGGATTTGAAAGCACCAAGTACACGAGAAACTAGCTAGACTTTAATTTTTGCATTTTTGCATTTTCAACGAGGCTCCCGTGGCTTCACGGAGGGTCGAATGTGGAGTCGAGACGGTCGAGTGATCATGACGGCCACTCAAGAGGCCCTCGTTCGATCAAAGGGATCCGTTTCGAAGATTTGATTCAACAAGCGAATAAAATATTTATTTAAACCCATTACACTAGAGACTAAAAGACATTTTAACTTTGTTTTTTAACTTTTTAACTACCAAGAGTACGCTACGAAGACTCTTAACTCATTCCGACCTTGCCAACCTTGAAATTTGCTTCATTTTTCTATATTCTCGTTTCCATTTTTTTTATTTTCACTACTTTACATTACTATCTGGTAATTGTAGAGGTAATTGTAGAGTAAGCGTCGGTGTAGCTCAAAAAAAAATCATAAATCATAAATCTTTACTTTGCCTTCTCGTAAATTTATGTAAAAAAAGCCTTATGATCTGAAATGAACGTATTTGCATAGAGTTAATAGGTACTTTATTTGATGAAACTCCAGGAAAGGAACTCAATTTAACCAGTGGAAAATTTGATTCAAGGTCGCTTCGTCAACTTTTATGATCCGATCCAGAAATTTTCGGCTTCTCTTGAAAGGTGAAACAAAATGGACCCCTCCAATCGAATCATCGACCCCGAAAACCCCCGGATACTAATTTTTCTCTCAAAATCTTATTTCGAAGCTGTTTTCAAGACGTTTTCAAGACTTTCGTGGCTGGACTTCGCACTCCGCCACCCTGTAATCCGAAGACTCTTGGGATCCGAGGTCCACGTCTGGTCCTTGGCGATGGCACCGACTCCCGCAGCAAGAATGCTCAGCTTGTTAAGGTGCGCGCAGCGTAAGTAGGAGAATGCTCCGAAGTTACACTTTGTTGATGCTAAAAGACTCTTGGTCTTTTGACATAAAAATGAGCTCTATCAAAGTATGGCTGAGAAACAGCCAAAAAACTAAAGGCTTATTGAGCACGTGTTCTTTATGTGCACCATCGCACACTTTCTGGCACAGGGCATTTACAGATAGGGAGCCTTTTTCCACCATCGTTTGCCTTTGTGTCCACTCGCACATTGGTCCATCTGGTTTCACGTGGATAAACAATGTTTGGAGACAGAGTTTGTAGAAGCTTGCTTCTGGCTTGGTCGGTGCCTAACCTAGTCATGGAAGGCGGCGCCCGGAGCCATGGGCTGACCCGGGTCGATTGTACGAATAGCCCCGAGCAGCATCAAAATCTTGACCGAAAGGATGTTGTGGAACGACCCACAGTCTCCCGTGAGGGATACCGCTGAAGTTCGTGGAATCGCTACTATTTCGCACTGCCACCCGTGGAGGGAGGCAGGATGGTCTGTTGCTCGTAACCGGATTACAATTATGCTCCCTTTGGGCTCCGGCTTCCGTCAGCTGTCCGCCACTCGAGAGTCGTCTAGATGGCGGGAGTTTGGACACCCCATTGGAGGAACCGCGAGGTTCTTAAACCGACTGGGGATACGATCAATCCCTTTTAGCATCAACAAAGTGTAACTTCGGAGCATTCTCCTACTTACGCTGCGCGCACCTTAACAAGCTGAGCATTCTTGCTGCGGGAGTCGGTGCCATCACCAAGGACCAGACGTGGACCTCGGATCCCAAGAGTCTTCGGACTACAGGCGGAGTGCGGAGTCCAGACACCTCCTCGTGGTGCACTCTGGGCACTTCCTGGAAACAGGAAGTGGCGAAGAGCTGGACAAAAAAGGAAAAGGACTTTTGGAAAAGTTCGAAAGCTTTAAAAGACTTTGAACTTTAAAGGTTTTCCAAAAGTTTGTTTCAGAGAAACTTTGAAAACTTTAAAGTTTTCTTCTTTCGTTTTTGTCTTGAAAAACGGCGTCAAATGGGCCCTAGGGTTTGTTTGGTGTAAAGTCAGTTTGAGGGGACAAAAAGGAGATTCAAACTTTTTGAATGTGATCTCAAATTCATTTATAGTGTAAATTTGGCGATTGCCTGCTCAAATCTTCAAGGATGAGTTTAATTCTTTGGAAATGAACATAATTAATGAAATTTCCTCAAATCAAAGCAAAACAAAGCGAACTTTTCGTCGAAATTCGCGGTAAAAGATGAAATCACATGAAAAAAGGTAGCTTTTCATTCAAATTCACACTTTTGCTATGGAAATCTCTGAAAATTCGTCAAATTTTTACGAAAACAAGGTTAACGTGTAAGCTATTTATTTGAAATTGCTGATTTTAAAGAGGGAAAAGTTTAAACTAAGTGAAGAATTGATACAGATTTTAGCAACGGATTTTATTCAATTCCTCATATCGTATGATTTGAAAAAGGTGAAATTCGGCAAGAATTTGGATTTGATTTCAAAAAGAAGCACTTCTGTAATTCTATGTGTAATTGTGTAATAATCTTGTAATAACACAAGATCATCATAAATGTTTCTGTTTGCACTCAAAATATTGGATAATGATGAATAATCGGTGAACGAGGATTCCTACGAAAATCTTCTCAAAATAGGAATTGATTCAGAGATCACATAAAAGATGTTTACTGGGCTAGCCATAGACAGTGGCGCCTTGAGTAGTGCAAGTCTTATAATAACAGAAAACAGGTTATCGAGGGCATAAGAATTAGTATATTGTCTGAAAACGGTTAAATTTGCATTTAAAGCGGAAAGAAAACCGCTCGCCGGGAAAGCATCATTCCAACACTTCTTGCCACTTTCAACCTTTTTCTTGTCTACTTTCAAATATTTTACGAGGTTTGTCAAATTTTAATCGTTTTTTTCTTAAAATTAGCAGTACTTTTAACTTAAATTTGAACTATTTGATAGGCTTTGTTCAAATTTCTAGCACTTTCATAAGATAAGAACTTTTTTGACCTTTTGAATCAAACTTTTATGGGTAAAACTATATTCTTCTTGTTTTTAGTGTTAATTTTTCATTTTTAGATGAACAAGAAGAGTTTTTGCGCCCTCAACGACCACTCTTTTTGGGGAAACGAGGTGATTTTTTCGTTGAAAGTGTAATTATCTTCATTCTTGACCTAGAAAATGTTAGAAACAACTACAATTTGACAATTTGCTGGTTTTGTAGAGAGTTTAGCACTTGTAGTTTCATTGTGCAGCTGGATTAAGCGTAGTTAAGCATAGTCTTGTTCATTATTTTAAGATTATCTTGAAGAAGCTATTCAACCTTTAGCTGTTAGCTTGAAAATAATGTTGATGCCTAGTTGTAAATTGATAGCTAAATTTATTCATCTATTCAATTTGTATTTTTAGGATGATTCAGACGAGCGCGAGTGGAGCGGTGAAGAGGAGAAACCACCAGGAGTGCCCGTAGGAGAAGGTACGGTTTTTGGATTATTGAGCTGCAATGCCTTTGTCATTTTAGCCATTGAAGCGGTGAGCCACGTTGACAAGGAGGGCGAGTGGATCGACATGAAAGGTTCGACTTTGGGCAATTTGTGAATTTGTTTCTTCTGCTAATTTAAAGACTGCCTGTTTGCTGGTATCTTAGTGCTTATTTGTTACGCACTACTTCCCGTTCAGAGTGGTAGTGCAGTACTTTGACCCAGTGCTTCATGGGGTTATGATGTCATCAACAGTTATAGTGTTAGTAGAAGAACCAAATCTTCAGAGAATGTTTGTTAAATTTTCCGAGATGAGAATGTTCGTTAAACAGGGTTTATAGCGCATAAGACCTGCCCCCAAGATGACAACAAGTTTTACCTGTGCCGTCTCAAAGCCTTTTGTCATCTTGGGTCTTACGCGCTATGCATTCTGTTTTTTTCTAGTTTTTCTAGGGTGATTTTTTGGGATTCTGAGCCCATTCACATACAAATAAACAAATATTAAAAAAAAATTGGGCTCTAATATGCATAATATGCAAATGATTTGCATAAGAGATTTATAATATCAAAGTTTTTATGTTCTATATTTGTTTATGAAAGTTATAATTTATAATATGAAAGCTAATAAAGTTATAACAAAAATTTACTCTCTTTTTTTCAGCTCATCACGCGCCATTCTTTTGTCCACACATTGAGTGTTTGCAGTATTATTGCGAGGGATGCCGGGCGTCGATGCACGGATGTATGAATCGGTTGGTGATTTTCGAAATGTTAAGGACTTTAAATGGTTTGCGGGATTGTTGGCATATGGTAAACGGATTAAAACCGCGGTTAAAAATCATAAAAACCCCACGATTAAGCACTTGAAAATTTGGGTGTATTGTAGTTAGAACATAAAAATTTTGGGGAAGGTAGGTTAGTAGAGTGATCACTGTAGTCTTGTTTTGTTTTAAATTACCGAAACCGCTCAAATTTTTACCTTTAACATGCAATTTTTAGTGAGGATCACAAGCCGCTCGTCAAGAAGGCCTAATCTATGAATTGGAGGGAGAAAGCCGATGCATTTTGTGGGATCTCGATTCATTGTGGGATCTCTTGCTTTTGGTGTAATAAATCTATGGTTTAGGAAATAATTTATTGAACGTAATGAACTCTGAGCCTTGCAAAACAACCCGTTTTATGAGTGGAAAGACTAGTTGAATCAGAAAATTCAAAAATTTGATAAAATTCTACAAATTCAATGTGTCAACACCGTTGAAAAAGTTGGGATTCCTTAGAAATTGCAAACTTTCACGGTTTTCTTGCTCGATTTGCGCCCTTTCGATCTCGGGGACACAGTGGTTGTCGTTTGGGAAAGCGGAACGCTGAAATGAAATTGTTGAGTTTCAAAGTTGTTCAGGAATCTCGGGCAGTTTGACGGCTAATTAGTTGTTGGTCACTGTGATAAAATAATCAAAGCTGTTTTTCGATTTAAGCTGATAACCTCTCTAAAATCAGCAATAAACTACTTGTATTTACTAGACTAATACCTAATTTCTAAATGGGCGAAGATTGTTGACTTTGAAACGTACTTTTACGAGTCTCTCTGAACAAACGGCTTCCGCTTTGGCCGCTGTTTTCTCAACGTTTTTCCTCTCGAGTTTGACTTGGATCTCTTTGGCTCTGAAAGAGTGCTTGAATAGCTCGAATTTTGACTGAAAATTTTGTCTTTTGTCTTTAGGAAACTCTAGTTTCAACGTCTAAAGAGTCTAGGTAGATACAGTGGGTTTTGCGTTTTTCTTTCACTTTTCTCTTTTGTATCCTCGAAAGAAACCTCTTATGCGGTACACAAACGTAATCGTAGGCGTCGAGCGCTCTCCACTCGTACCCGTCAATGCACTCGTTTTGTCCGTAACTTCGCCTGGAATTGATTTCATTTCGTCTCAATCAATTAGATTTTATTGGATCATTTGAAAGCTTTGAGCCTAGATTTTAACTTGTATATTTTAAACAATTTTGACATAACAACGCCATTTTTTGATATACTTAACCCTGGCAAAATGTCGCTCAGAAAATGGCTTTGTGGTCGTTAAAGTTGAAAGTTGAAACTAGCTTAGGATAACAATTCTTTAGCCTGACTTTTAAAAAGTCATTAATCATTTCAAGCTTTCAGTTTAACTTTAGATTTCAAATTTTGATTGATGCTAATTCTTTAGAGACAAACTTTTAAAACTTGTTGTCTTTGGAGAAGTTTTATCGTTGAATTACACTCAGGCTCACCTTTGAGCAATAGTAGTTCCCTACTATTGCTCAAAATTCTCAAAATTCTACCTGACAATAGGAGTTTCTGGCTTTTAATAGAAAAAAAAAGCTATTTGGTCTTGTTATATGGACTTTTTTTACTACAGCTTCTCAACTCCATTGTTTTTGAAAAATTGGTCTTGACGTTTACACATTTGAAACGACCTTTTTGCAAAATTGAGATCCTGTTTAGCTGACTTTAGCAAAAGCTTTAACAGTTTTCATTTTTCAATTAAAACTTGTAAGTTTTAGCTAAATTAGGTAAATTGTTGAGACTCACCGTTTCTCGAAAAACCGCGCTCGTCGCTGCTGCATTTCTAGGTGTTTCGGGAAAACTGGACGATTTCCGATTAGACAGACGTGAGCCAATTTTTTTCTAGAAACAAAATGAATTCATTTCATTTTTAGAATTCCTTCAAAACCCCACTTGTTCAGCGGATCGTCGGGCGCGATTTTCTTGTAGAACTCGCCTTGGAGGCAGGTGTGCTGAAAAGTTGAATGTTTTAAAGTGATGCGAGTGTGAGAGGATTCTTGATTGACAAAATATCAAGTACTATTAGATGTACAAAGTTTTGAAAGTGATCAGATGAAGAAGTAGGTAGAGGTTGGTCTTTGACGTTAGCTTAGTGCGAAACATGAGAGGGAAAAGCTAGAGCAAGTTTCAAAGGTAGCAGCTATTCACTGATTTTTCAAATTTTAATCGATGGATTTATCGGTAGGGAATCTACGCAAAAACTTCAACAGCTTTTTCAGTGACTCGAACTGACCGGCGAGAACGTTGAGATGACTTTGACGTCAGCGAATCGGGATTTCCGATTGATTCGCTCGACACGCAGGTGCACATATTGGGACTCACCACTGGCACTCATCTATGCAAATTTGACGGGAAACGGATACAATTTGATGAAATTTTTGATAGATAAAGCTGATCAGGAAAAAGTTTCTTTCAAAATAATTAACGCCAGTTCCAAAGCAAAAATGATGAACTCACATGCAAGAATTTGACCCATTCTGTGTCCATTGTTAACTCGTTGAACTCTTGTTGTGCGTGGGTGATCAGAAATGAGTAGTAATGGGCGCCGATTTTGCGCACTTGATGAATGATGACGCCTGGCTGAATAGGGAATTGAAGAAATGTCATCTTACTTTATATAAAAAGTAAAGTAGGTCTGTTTGTCTGTGTCCCCTTAGGGCCATAACTCGAGTCCCAGTAGAGATTTCTTTCTGACTTTTTGGGACACTTTTTGGGACCGATTATATGATTGACTGTTCCGTAGCTTGTTCTCCATGATGAGATTAGAGCAAATAACTTTCAAGAAACCTAACAAACCGAGCAGCTGAATTGGTCGGAATCCCATTGACTCCCCAATTGATTTCAAACAAATCTCTTTTCTGTTTGACTGAATTTGCCTTTGTCCTAGAATATTTTGTGGGTGTTCTGGAGCTCACAGAAAATGATGGGCCCTTTACGGAAACGCTATTTCTAGAAATGGCTTGCGTAATCCCAATACACAGAAAATTTTGGGCACCTTATGCGAGCTGGTTTTCAATTTGCCTTTGTCTTAGAAGATTTTTGGGTGTTCTGGAGGTCACAGAAAATGATGGGCCATAGAAAACTCACCTTGCACACCCAAAACTTTTTGGGATATAATCTATATAAAAGGTTTCGCCTGTTAAATCAGAATTCAAAAATCTCTAACAGAATTTGGCGGTAAAATCAAAGGAGCTTTATTAATCGAGTCGTGGTACCCTGAATTAGAAGCACTTTGAAACTCAATGAAATTTAGACAGATTTAAATGACTACCGTCTCTGATTTCTCTACTTTAACCTAGATCTGAATACAGTACACTCGTCAACAACCAGCAAAGTACTGTAGCATACTGTAAGCGTTGAAATGTCAACAAGTACTGTAGCGTACTCTTTTTACGCATCCTTTCATTTGGGTATTTGCTTTAATCACTTTTTAAACTCATACTAAAATGCTAGTGAATGAGTGAATCGAGAAGACAGAGAAAGTCTTTTTGTCTCAAATGCACAAACTTGTCCAATTCCCTTATCGTGCGCGTCTGGAGTGCGAAACTCGACAGTAAACACGTTTTGTGAATCATCTCGATCGTAGGGAATCTGATAAGAAAAAAATCTGATAAAAAAAATTCATCTACCAAACTTCTAGCAAACATTTTACAATAAAAATATGATAACGATAATACCCACCAATATTAGCAACCATCCATTCGTGTTTTTATGGGGCACAGAGAGGGAAGAGAGGCGAAGAGTGTAATTCTGACGTCCATCACTCAAAAATTTTTGCATGTTTCAAATGAGGGTCTATAGGTAAAAGAAATTTGATTTTAGTTGGGCTTCGTTTCATTATTTGCAACGTTATTATTTGTATTTATTTTCGTTATTGTTATTATTTTCATTATTTGTAATTAGTAATGTAATCAAATTGTAGATTTTAAAGACACGAACCGTCCAAAATAGACGACTCGATTCATCGGCAACCAGCCGAGATAGTCTAGATGTGCACCGTTTAAGCCAGGTCCTGAAAAGCTGAACGTCGGTGCTGAATTAGATTTGAAACTGGAAGATTTGCAGTACGCTAGAAAGAGAATGTTTACGAGACTTGAGAGCACACCACAAATAAGTCCGAATCCAGTTTTGTTGATTGAAAGTTAATCGTACATCAAACAAGACTGGTATCCAGTTCAAAGCTCAATCCGCTAATTGTCTGTTGTTCTCTAATTGTTCTCTAATTCTCTAATTCTCTAATTGTTTCAAGTTCAACTCGTATCAAATATATTCTAGCTTTTTAGTGTTATTGATGCTTCGTAAAGTGTTCAGAAGAAAGTGGAAGTCTTCAGCTCTTCACTAGTTTTCGAATTCGTTCTTTATCAATTGACTTTCAATGTTTTAATGACGTTTGTTTGGCATTGATTTTGCTTGGCTTCAAGAAAAGACTTTCCATTTCATTCTATGATAAAAATATTGAGTGTTCAGCTTACAGATTTTTTTTAAAAGTTCACCAGCTAGCCCGTAAGTTGACGGTCTCATGTGCGCGTTGGCTGTGGACATCAGATCATATTTGTCATCGTACTCACCACGTTCCGCGTAAGGGAACACCTCAATTCATAGAATAAATCTGTTTCTCGAAATAGGTGATGTATAAAGGATATAGTGGATTGGAAAGAGTTCATTTAACATTCAATTTATTGTTATTTTCGTCTAAATAATTGCTGGATTATAAGAGTCAATGGAATTTCTACAATTTCTTCTTTTAAAATCCTATATTCATGGAAAGACTGAAGATTCTTTATTCTTTATTCTTTATGGCAATTCAGGAATTCAAGAGTTCCTATCGGCTGAGTTTTTTAGAATGAATGTTTGGAGTGTTTCGAGTCGTTTAATTGGTTGCCTGTATATTGCGATCACTGTAGGAATGTCCAATATTCATTGAATGAACCATTTCGTGAGCCAATACCGACGAGAAGATCAAATTTGGAGTCAACAGAACACCGTTTGACTAAAAATGCAGATCACCACACTTTTCTATTTTTAACTACATTAATGAAAGTGTTCAAAAGCGAAACCTTTCCATAAATGGCTGTTTGTTCCTGGTTGATGACGGTGATCTTTTGCCGGTGCATTCCGAAATCGTTTTCTTTAGCGAAATTGATGCACACCTCTTTCGCCTTGTCATAGAGCTGAAAAGATTTTCGAGGAGTTTGATTTCAATTTTTACAAAAAACCCACCGCAAACGGTTTCTCGTTGGTGAGTTGGAGTTTTGGGTCAGCCAGGGATTGCTGCAAGATGTTGTTTCTCGAAAAGGGAATCTGAAAGGAACAGTTCAGTTCAACAGTTCAGCTACAACTTCATTCGTCATTCTACTGGCAATCCGTTCTCTAAAACATGTCCTCCTTTCTTGTGATCTTGTCTCTATTTTTCAATCTCTAAATAGAGACAAGATTACGGTAGAAAAGGTATTTCTTTTACCTTGAGCCAATCAGTCACATTGGATCCCTCAATCGAGTAGATCCCATTCGAGATCGTGTAGAAATAGTTCTCGATCGAGTCTGGAAGTTGAATTCATTTTAATTGCATCATCTCAAACAGCTATGAATATGAATTATTTTGAAACTTGGAAATTTACCCGAATTCTGCCTTCCCCCAATCCATTCCTTGAACCATCCAGTGGTACGGGGCTCAAAATTCGAGTCCCGAAATTTGCATAAAATCACCGACCACGGCTCGTGACCACGCTTCGGGACAGATTCCTGGAATCAGAAAGAAATTTGTACTAATAACAAAAAAACCTCTTTTTTTTGTTAGTTTAACCTCATTTTCTTTGAATTGCCTTATTAACAAAAAACTTAAGTTTCAATTTCGTTAACCATAGCAAAGACTCTTGGTGAGTAATGAGCCGGAGCGTTTAAATCAAGCATTTACGTTGCATTACTAGGAAAATAGAGTTTCAAAATGATCGACTATGTTTGGTAATATGAAAAAGCTGAATATCCTTGGCTTTAATTGAGTTTCACTTGAGTATACTGTAATGGGAAACGTGTATCTGAGAAGTATCTGTTAAGTATCTGTTAGATATTCAAATCAAATACTTTTGTAGTGTGATTGGACCATTACAGTACCTTTTAGAATATCAAGAATGTCATTTAATGTCATATCCAGTCAACAAAACTAAATTGACTTTGTTTTATTGACTGGATACTCTATGTTGATCTACGAGAGGTTGACCGTTTCACATTTAATTTCTCAAGTTTCAAATTGAGCCTCTTCTTTAAATGACATTCTTGACTAATTGATACTTAAAAATTTGTGTTTAGCTATAGCTGTGTTTAGCTAAAATGCAGAGCAACGGGTTACTGTACTTTTGAATCCATATCCACCAGTTTAATGCTGATAAATGCTCATTATTAGATATAAAAACTCTAGATAATGTACTGAAGAGTGACCGTAGAGTGAGTCAAGAGTTACTTAAACTATTTATTGTCTTGTAAATGAAATCCGATTTATTCTGAGATACTGTAGGGTTACTGTATGATTGAGGCTTTCTATATTTCCGAAAATCACCCACCACACAGCCGTAAACGATCGCTAAAACAGTGAATAAAGTGTGAGGTGTGGGAAATCGTTTGGCGGATCGGCTGATCATCCAGAATGAGTGAAAAGAAAAGACAAAGGATAACGCGAAAGATGCCATCGAATGAGAAGTGAATGGGGAAAAGGGGAGGAGTGAAATCCGTCTTTCTTTTTGGGGAAAAAAAACGAGAACTTTTGGTGGGGGGAAAAGCGGCGAAATTTGAAACAAAAGAGAGGAGAAAATCCAAAGTGAAATCGTTTTTTTGCGCCTTTTTTTCGGTTTCTATATCAGATGGCAGCAGATTGTCGATAATGGGATTGGAAGGAAATCTTTTTCTCTCTTGTAGCTTGTAGAATCTTTTGAATTCAACGGTGTATTTAGTTTTTGCCCAAATGCATAGGTTCTTGAGATAAAAAACATGAAGTTACTTGAAGTTTTACTTGAAAACGGCCTTTAAGGGGTTAAAAGGGTTTTCTCTCTTTCTTTTCAATGCAATCGGAATGCAATGGCAATGCAATGGCCTAGTGGTTAGTATCCTGGGGCTGAAAAATCTTCCTCTCCCGGTTCTTCCTCTTTGAGCCAGCGAAACTTATTTGGGTTTATTTAAGGAAAAAAGGACGGTGGATTACAGTAGTTTTGGCTGAAATTGGTGCCTTTTAGGGTATTCTTAAGTTAAAGCACTTTAAATTCTATATATCATTTAACGAAAAGTTGATTTGGGAGCAGTGCTGACTCATGGCAATTGTGGTCACTATCAGTGACTTAGTCCAGTCAAAAGTGAAACACTAATAATTCAACGGCAATTTTGGCGATTCGATTTCTAATGAGCTCTTTAAGTGTAGGTTTTGGCTTTTGGCTGGATGCGAACTGTTCTCGTTAACTTTTTTCACTGATAATTTGGTGTAAATTGAAGGATAAACAAAACGATTGAAGTGATTCGGTACTCCTGGATCTCCTCTTGAAAACTCTTGAAAAGTTACCGAAAATTTTGTTGCTAAATAAATAATAAAAAGGTCTTAAAAACTTGAGTTGACATTAATACGGCCCACCAGTAGTTCAATGTAGTTCAATGTAGTTCAATGTAATGTAGTTCAATGAACTACGGCCAGTAGTTCAATGAACGTTAAAACGTTAAATTCAACTTTGACAGAAGTCGACCAACAGTTTATAACTAGAGATACAGGCATTGAATCGACTTGCGATTGGTTTTAAAAGAATCTTCATCAAATTTGGCATCAATCTTCAATAGTTTCAATGAACGTTAAAAATTCAAGTGTCGATTATCGTTTTTCTTTTCTTTTAAGCTCACATGATTGATTCGAAGAAGTCGACCTTAATATTAAAAATATTGAAACTTGAGAATTTTAATTCTTCAATAAGCTTGCTGAACATTCATTGGAAACTCTTTTCTCAATTTCGGATTTTGGAATCCCATTGTGGTTTAATTAAAGCATCTTTATTAACGCAATTATTGTTTAATTTGAAACATTAACTTGGTAAAACATAAAATTCAACTGGAAGACTTCGGATCAGGAATAACCAAGATAGGAAGCACTGGATGACAATAGCAAGGGATAGAGAAATGTGGAAGCAGGTTGTGATCTGCGCAAAGAGGAACACCTAAGTGCGAAGACAGATCAAAAAAAAAAACATAAAATTTGATCCTAATCAAGACATCAAAAATCCTGGCAGTGAAAATTTCCAGATTTCCAGATTTCCACCTTTCACTCATTTTGCCAAAAAAAGATCGGGGATCAGAGAAATTTTTGAGGAAATCCAAAGAGGCAAAAAAGATAAAAAGAAAATCAAAAAGAATTAATAAATGGATGTACAGTCATTAGAAAAGTCATGTTTCAAAGTTTGTAAGTATAAAGCCAAAAATCCCTTTTTAATGCGTGTTCCTCTCAAACTAGACATTTAAAAACCCTTGGAAAGCAAAAGTTTCAAAGCAAAATTTGTTTATCGAAACAAATCGAATCAAATGAATTTATTTTCCGGGATCTCCATCAGATTCCCGATCACTTTCAATGTCGTCCAGATGAACTGAAAAGAAGTAATGAAAGCTTATTTATATCAGGATTATTGATCTGAAATTGTTGGCAAAAATGTTGACGCTGCAGGAAAAGACAGGCAAAACAAAACCAGGTCAGAAGTCTAGACTTGGTTTCAGATGGGTTCAGTTGACCTAAGCTAGACCAGATAAGTACAAGGTCCAGTTGCAAGCCAGGACTGTAAAGCCAGAACCTAGCTTCCGAGCATTCGATATTGTCCTTCGAATAATTCTGGCTACTGGAGTCTGTCCGTGAAAAGTGGTGCTCCGTGGCTGCAAATGTTTCAGTGTACGGTGTGCTCAAGCCTGGACATGGGACTGGTGTTTCAAGTTAAACGACACTAATCATCCTGACATAATAACTTCTCGTGTGGTTCTCTCGAATCCCGTAAGGTGTTTTGTTTGTTCAAAATTTTGTTATCCTGCTCATTGGTGGAACGAAACCATTGGTGTGCTTCGTACTGCTTAAATTCTGAAAAAGTTGAAACTCTTAAATAAATTTCGCAATTTTTTCAGTCAAATTTGCTATCTCCCGACAAAATTCTATAGATTTCGAGATTTCTCGAGACTTCTCGCTTACTGGCGCACTTGATTTTTGCATTTCCCCCTCATCTCCATCTCCACCTCCATTCCCCCTCATCTCCACCTCCACCTCCATTCCCCTCATCTCCACCTCCACCTCCATCCCCCTCATCTCCACCTCCACCTCCATCCCCCTCATCTCCACCTCCACCTCCATCCCCCCATCTCCACCTCCACCTCCATCCCCCCATCTCCACCCCACCTCCATCCCCCCATCTCCACCCCACCTCCATCCCCCCATCTCCACCTCCACCTCCATTTCCCCTCACCTCCACCCCACCTCCATTTCCCCCACCTCCATCTCCACCTCCATTTCCCCTCACCCCACCTCCACCTCCATTTCCCCTCACCTCCACCTCCACCTCCATTTCCCCTCACCTCCACCTCCACCTCCATTTCCCCTCACCTCCATCTCCACCTCCATTTCCCCTCACCTCCACCTCCACCTCCATTTCCCCTCACCTCCACCTCCACCTCCATTTCCCCTCACCTCCATCTCCACCTCCATTTTCCCCAAAAATCCCAAAAATTTGGACGCCAGAAGGGGCTTTCCCTTTACGGATTCCAAAAGAAAAGCACTTTATATGGGTTTTCGGGATCGGCAAAATCGATTGGAGATATGCATTTTACTAAGTTTAACAAGCTATTTTTCTCCCAAAACCAACCACAAATTGATCCAATTTTTGAGTGATTTTGATGGCTTCATGAAATGGAAGCTCCTGGAAAAAAAAGGGTTCAAAAATGATGTAAGAATAATTAAAAGAGCAGCTTTTAGCCTTCTCAAATTGATATTGGTTCAATTTAAAATTCAATTTAAAAATCGTGTTTTATTTGAACCTACTCGAAAAAGCGCCGTCTTTACATTGTTTTGAAAGTTGAGCCAATCGAGGTCGGCCTGGAAAATGACATGTTTCAAATAAATCAATTCTGAAAAGATTTTTTTCATTTTAATCGCGTTTCTTAAGTTTATTTAGTTAAAAATTTAGTCACTAACAGATTGTGAAAATTAATTGTTGATCTTTTGAATAAAAGTTGAATATGCAAAAAGTTGATCTTAAAAAGATCTTAAAAGTTGATTAAAAAGTTGATCTTAAAAAAAGAGCAGCTTTTTCAAGTTGATAAACTTTCAAAAAAGATTATTCTAAACGATTCTGCCTCAAAATTGCTGAAAAAAGTTCTTCGTGAACGATTTTTTTTGCGAAAAGTAGTAAAGCCAAAAGCGTTTTTCAACCAAAACAACTCTACATCAAGTATTAGAATTTGGTAATCGTTAAAATAAGTATCGAAAAAGTGGCCACAAAACAAAAGTCCAATCAGCCACCTCAAGTTGGGTTTTCTTGTGGCTTTGACATCGAATCAGTGCACAGAAAATCTCTGTTTGATGGCTGGGAAGCTCTTTGAGAACGATCTAAACTCTTTTTGTTTGCATTTGAAAAATCATTCTGAACTTGTGGCTAATACTTTGCAGTAAAGCTGATAGTCGGTCAAAAATAGAATTTTTCACTTTAAATGATCAAAGAAATCGATTTCTGACTGTGAAGAAACTCAAAATTCGATTGTGCAAGTGATGCGTTTTTTAAAACGCACAATTGGGAAAAATTATTGCAAAAAAATTGCCGCTGATTTATACATGATTTCTTTTAAAGATACTCAGCTGTTTAAATGATTTGGTGGCAAATTCTCTTCAAATGTAAAGATATTCAATTTACTCGGGGTGTAAAGAGGATTGCCTCGTAGTTACTCGGTGAAAAACGTTGATCGAGTTAATCGAGGAAAGATTACTCATACAAATTTTACTCGAGTAATTATTTACCCGGAAGGAACACACGCACACAAACACTCTACTCAAAATAGTTGTGCAAAGAGAAAGATGAACTTGCAGCATACCATCAACACGGCACAGTTTGTGAGTTCATTTTCGGCTTTCTTCAGGCAAATTTCATGTAGTTGCTGAAAAAGATGAATAGTTTAGAGTATGCTAGTTTTTTTTTTTGCTAATCTACCAAAAGCAATTCCCGTTTCCAAAGCCAAAGCTACAAAGATTCGTGTTTCAACATAAAAAACTCCTTGTCTACATCAGCACAAAGCAATCGTTTTCTTCAACAACAAAAACAATCTTCAATAAAAGGTATAAAATTTTCAAAATAAATAAACCTGCAAAGCGTCTGGGATTTTGCCGACAACTTGTAGTGCTTTAAAAGTCTGATGACAAAAGCCACAGGAGGTATTTGATGGGAAATCTGAAGGAAGTTTCAAAGTTTCGATGGTTCAAGGGCAACAATTGGTGGCAACAATTGGTGGCAACAATTGGTGGCAACAATTGGTGGCAACAATTGGTGGCAACAATTGGTGGCAACAATTGGTGGCAACAATTGGTGGCAACAATTGGTGGCAACAATTGGTGGCAACAATTGGTGGCAACAATTGGTGGCAACAATTGGTGGCAACAATTGGTTTCAATCAGTAAAAGATTTTTTTTACGAAATGAATCTACTTTTATAAAAACATTTGAAGATTTTGGCAAAAAATTCAATTTGAAAACTAAAGTTTCAATATTTGTATATAGTCAAAAAAGGCTTTAATTTCCAATCGTTCTTGAAAGTTACCTTCCAACATTAAAGTACCAAGTGCATTTGAGATTAATTGGAAGAAATTATTCAAATTCGATCAAATCAAATTCGAAACTCGCATTTCGAAACCATGAAAGAACTTTTTAAAGCTGATAAAACACAAGTAAATGTTAAACTAATGTTTTTCAACTGTTCTTTGTGTTCTTTGTGCCCTCCCAAATCCCGTAGACACCCCCTTTCTGGCGCACTTAATTCTTCTATTTTCCCTCGTGACATCAAATCATTGTTATGTGGGGGGAAATGGAAGCGTTGAGTGCGCCAGAAAGGGGGTATTTACCGGATTTTGGAGAGCACAAAGTACATCAGAAAGAAGTCTAGCGCCAACCTGTCATATTTCCCCTGATCAGCTCCACTAGATTTCTCCATTTTCTTGAGCTTTCATCGGAATACGGTACTGTTGTTTGAAATGTGGGTTTAATAAGTAAAGATTCAACATTAATGAAGATAAAGATCAATAAAAGCAACCTCTCGATCATGGAATTTAAATTTCAAGTCCGGAAAGGGACTTGCCTAAATTGAAACCTCAAAAAATTTGCATTTCAGGTGTTCTGCGCTTCTATTTGTTCAGCTTTTTCGGAAAATTTCCGTAACAATGTCAAATTTTGATTTATTTTCAATCGAAAAATCAACAAAATGAAACAAAAAATGCCAAACAATCGGCTTTGGGCAAACTTTGAAAATAACAACGATTTTGATAAGATTTGATAAGAAGAGTAAAGATTTTGAACGATTTGAGATCAAATGAAACAAAATGGAAGGATTTAGACTAACACAAACAAAAACTATTCAATTAACGAATTTGTACCGATTTTATTAAGCGAAATTGATATCTGGGATGAGCCTGGGGTACTCGTCTTCGCAAATCAAGCCCACCCGCACGTCGCGACGAGTGCCAAGCTGAGGAACCTGAAAGTAGAGAAAAGTAGCAAACTTTTGACTGTTTTTTCAAAATCCAAGCTCTTCTATAATGGATTTGGTGCTGGTTTTTGGAACTTCTAATAGCTTGAGATCATGCTATTCAAGCATAACAGCACTAGCACACTATTGTATTACATAGCAAAGAAAATAACTCACAGCAAATCTCAGTCGACCGTTGTTCTCTCGACGAGGCGCGCTTCCTCCCGGGGTCCCAGTAAATATCTGAAAGTAGAAATTTGTAAAAGAACTACATTTTCCATAGTTTATCCTCTTCTGATCTTTCCACCAATCTGCTGCATTCAACAAATGCAACCCACCTCTTCACCCATAGCCGGGGCTGCACGCGAGAGCCGCTTCGAGACGGGATGCAATTGACGCGTCTTCAGATTGGTGTCGTTGAAGCGCTAAAAAGACAATATTATTCTTGTTCCAAAGGCCAGTTGACCAAGGATCAACCTATGGCCTGACCTTGGTCTATCCCAAGAGTTAAATTTTCTCACATACAAACTGGCCAAGTAGTGGTTAGAGTCTGGCCCATGGCATGACTCTAAGTGCTAAAATTCCACACAAGCAATCCTATTTTCAATATTTAATCAAAAATCCCCACTCACCCTCATCATATCAATCGTATCGTGAGCCATCTCTTTTGCACAAGTGTTCACCTCGTGATCCGTGTAATTGAACATTACCTAAAGAGAACAGTAAGAAAATTCAATACTAAAACTGACCGCATTCGCGAACATTTGCAACAGATGATGTTTCAGGGTCTCCAGCGTCGTGATCTAAATTGTAACATATAAAATTAACGTCTAGTAGCAAACCTTTCCCTTCTCAATGTCAGCCTTGATCGTTGTCAGGTCCGTTGGTCTAAAATTCAATTTTATCCCAAACTAGTTTTCTAAAATGCACGCTTGATTAAAAGCTATCGTAATCCTGGTAGCTAGGTCACATTTTAGTTAAAAATCTCAATACTAACTTTTTCACAATTTTCGAATAATCGGGCGCCTCTCGATCGGTGACCGGGTTGCGGAAAATCGAAGCCGAGCGGGTCGCCAAGACTTGCGTCAAATAGGTGAGCAGGAGAGCCTAAAGCAATTAAACTGTCATGATTTTGAATTTTAAAAACATTATCTAGCTATTAGATAAGTTTTGACACTTAATAACATAGCCAAGACAAACCTTTGCATTCAGCAAATCCTCTTTCGACGGTTTTTCTTCCTTTTTCTTCGACGGTGAGCCCGAGACATCTAAAATTGAAAACTTTAGAAGTTATAATTTGGATAAAACTACCGTACTAAAGAACTTTGGTTTGCAAATCCAAAGTTACACACAAAAACTAACCTTCTGGCTCCTTTTTGGGCTGCTTTTGTTTCCAGGTGACGATTTTTCCCTTGATCTTTCGCTTTTGCTGTTGCTGACCGGACTTCTTATCGCCTTTCTTCTCTTGTTGAGGCTAAACAAAACAAATTATGCTAATTTAAAGCTAAATGCAAATTTCAGTCTCAAATTTTAAAAAAGAAACCTCTTCTTTGATACGTCGCTTCACCGAGATGAGGGACTAAATGAAAAGTGACATTATTTTCAAAAACAATCATCAACTTTTAGCTGAAAGTCATTATGATTCCATTGGTCGGATAACCTAGCATAAAAATAATGCAAAAATTAAAGATATAATTCTTTTTTCACCTCATCATCACTCTCGTTCATCTCCGCGGGGAAAACTTGCACAAACGGCCGCTTCAGCTTCGTGACACCGCGTCGGTCTTGCTTGATCAAGAACTAAAAACGCATAAAGTCTCATAAACTACAAAAGTGGTTCGAAATTTCGATACTGATATTTTACACCAACTTTACCTCATCGTACGGTCCGAATTCGATTATTGACGTTTGGCAGCCAGCGTGCGCTTTGCTCATTCCCTCACGAGCGGCTGATGTTGGCTGGTGGACCCTCGAGGAGCGTCTCTGGAAAATTTTGTTAACTTTCTCTATTTTGAGGCAAGTATCGCGTCAATTTCTTTAAATTTGCTACTATTATAGCAGTCTTAAGGTCTTTAATCATCTCCTTTCCTACATTTCTCCCCAAAACCAACCACATTTTGCTTCTTGTTGACCGGGTTTGGCGGGAGGAGCTTCGTTGAGTAGATCGAGATCTAAATGTGGTTCTATGTATGATTAAACTTGTTTAAATCTTTAGATAAATGCCTTTTGGATTATTTCATTAATTCAAGTTTCTTCTAAACCCACCTCAGTAGCCACAGCCAGTGTCCTCTTCTTTTCGTTGATAACCATGTCGTCAATCGGTCCCTCTACCGGTGTATCGATCAAGCTCTAAAAAGTCATCAGATAAAATCTAGATTGAAGTTTAGGACAAATACATATTCATATACACTATCTACCATGACTTAATAGGATTCGTTTACCCCACCTTTGTTTCCATTTCCTCGTCTTCCGCTTTGGCACTCGCTGGGGTCGAGGTAATAGAACTAGAATGCTTAAATTAATTCTGATCGGAAAGCTAAATATTATAAAATAGGCTTCATTCTACAATTATCAAAATAATTTACTCCTTCTTGTTTCGGCTCGATCGACGATCCCGGCCACGAGCAGACGCCTTTCCATCAGAATTCTCCTCGTCGGCGGGCGTTGATGGTGTCGGTAGAGCCTGGAGCTTTTTAGTGTTTGAATTGAGCTTTTACAACCCACCACCGGTTGCAAAGAGAACTCCTCTAGGCCAGAAAGTTGTGGTGGTCGACGGAGCGATGGGCGACGCCTAAATTTAACAATTAGAAGAAGGCTGGCTATAAAGTTCTAGCATGGGTTTAAAGAAATAATTGCACTGGCTGTAAAAAGCTTACGCTGTTGCTGGTGTCGGATCGGCTTTTGGTGTTTCATCGAACTTCGAGGAGGGTCTAAAAAGCTGTGATTTTACTCAACACAACTCAACAACGCACCTCCTTGACCTTGACTCAGGTTCGGCCGAACTAGCGGTGCTGATGTTGGAAGATGTCTAGAAATTATAGTTGGATCAATTAGAAAAACATTGCTTATACCGTATTCAAGCGAGGCCGCCCTCTTCTTGCCTTCACCTCCAGGTCAATCGCCGGTGTAGGCGTCGAAATCGACGGAGCAGCAAGCGGAGTGGTCGGCTGGGAGACGGGCGCAAACGATGAGGCTACGGATCCGCTTTCTGACCGATCATCGCCCATCTCAATCTTTGGCTCGTGTTCGACAATCTAAAGTTAATATATTAGATAAAAGAAGGTACAGAAAGTTAAGCATTTTGGAATGCTATGACTCATGCTATGACTTGTAGCTACAAGTCATAGCATGAGATGGGCAAGTAATCTGTTACCAATTTAACAATCCATTGATTTTACCTCATGCACATCCATTGGCTGTTCCTCTTCCCGCTTTTCCTCTTGTTCTTCCTCTTTTGGTTCATCTTCCTCTTCTTCGGCCGGTGGTTGAGTCTCCACGATGATCTCCTTCGGTGGATTTCTTTCTTGAAGCACTTCTTGGATCGATTCTTTGATGGGCTAAAGAAAATCTTCATAAAATTCACTTTTCCAAAAATTTACCCGAATCGGCGAGAAGACCTGCATCGGTTTTTGTGGTGATGGCGATCGGAAAGCAGTCTCAAGACCTCGTGGCACTTGTTCAGAGATCGACGATGGTGGCAGAAGTGTTAAGGCAGTCTAAAATGAGAAATTTTGTCCCAAACATTCTTTATTTCAGTAGGTAATTGAACAACTCTAAACTGGTCCAAACTAGGCCCAGAAATCTTCGACAACTCACCCATTCTGGCGGAATCGGTGGCAATTCGATGTGCTCCCGTTGTACCTCTTTAAGCCGATTCATGAAAGTGCCGACGACAAACTCGACTTCGTCTTGATCTTTCTAAAAGGTGGAAATAAATAAAAACAAGAAGCATAGGCTTACTTCAGCGTCTTCAGCACGTAGTGTGTCCAACAATTCCTTCATCTCTTGTTCGTCGACTTCACCTCGTTTGATGCGCAAAAGTGTGTCGATTTTGTGTCGAATCGTCGCCAAATCGGCTTCCTCCTCGCGAGCCTCGTCTTCGAGTACCTGAAGAAAATGATAGACAAAGTAAAACAGATAGTTAAAACCGTATACAGAAGTTAAGCGTCCCTATCAGCTGCATAACTTGTCTATATTTTGCTTGATCTAAGACAACCGACCTCTTTCTCCAAGTACTTGACGTACTGTTGCACATGAAATCTAAAGTTTATTGATTAGTAAGCAACAAAAAACACATCTACAACAACATGGCTAAGTTGTATGCACTACAAAAACTAAAATATCACAATGAAATATTACATTGATAACAAAGAATTCTTAGAAATCTTAGGCTTGTCCACAATAATCTTAACGCAATCAACTTGGCTGAGAAACCTTTTTCCTCCTTTTAATGAACCTTTTCCCAAATCTTTAGCATTTAGCTGATTAGTCCTCGAAGAGTTTGCACCGAGACATAAAAAAGATGACAATAAAAAAAGCCAACTTGTGCGTGTAGGGAATCCCGCATTCAAGGGGCATCATGCCGGGGAAGGGTTTCGCGAAGAGACGATTGAACTCGACTTGGCAAGGCTGAAAACAGAAAAATATAGTCATTGGCGATGTTTACTTAGTAGCGATACTTCAACTTGTAAAGGTTCATGATTATTTCAATAGTTGGCATTGTGTTTTTGCTTTAAAATCATCTCATTAACTGTTCAAAACCATTTAAGCTTAGAAAAACCACAAAGTAAATTTAAAAACTCACATGAGTCAAGAAGAAATGCTTAGGTCGATGAGCTCCGCACTGTTTTTGCACTTCGGCGGCTCGTTTGTCCCTAAAATTAAGTAAATATAGTTTTAAAAAGCTTTCATACCAAAATATCTTCAAGTTATTGTACATTTATCCCTCAAATTTTCTATTAAAATCAAAAAACCAACCAATCTTCATGATTCAAATAAGCTTTGAAGAGCACCAGCTTTTCCCGCGTTGACCACTCCCTTCGGATGCATCTTTTCTGAAATGAAAAAAACATTAAAACGCATATGTAAATGATCTTAAATTGCAAATAAGTCTAAAAACATTAACAATTGTCAAATTCTTCAAGACCTTATCGAAGTTTTCATATTTCTGTAGTTTGTCATTGGTCTATACGGGCTTTGTTCTGTGGTGTAGTTCTTTTAGAATGTAGACAAGCAATGAAGCACAACTTTTAATACTAAAGCTCAAATTTTATACAAAATGCGTTGCAGTTAAATCTCAATTTTTGACAAACTAGAGGCAAGATCACGATTTTCAAAGATTTCAAGGGGGTGGGACAAAGGTGCACCTTTTTTTGCGCACCCGACCAAAAGCGCACCTTTTTTTTCGCTGGAAAAGGCCTTAGAAAAGGCCGTAGAGCTTTAAAAATGTTTCCACATAGGGGAATCATATGCGTAGATTCCGAATTTCGACAAATTAGAACTCGCTGACACGTCAAATTTGGGCTAAGAGGCAAAAACTACGCAACTTAACGCTTTTTCGCAGTTTTTGCCTCTTAGCCCAAATTTGACGTGTCAGCGAGTTCTAATTTGTCGAAATTCGGAATCTACGCATATGATTCCCCTATGTGGAAACATTTTAAAGCTCTACGGCCTTTTCCAGCGAAAAAAAAAGGTGCGCTTTTGGTCGGGTGCGCAAAAAAAGGTGCACCTTTGTCCCACCCCCGATTTCAAAGGCAAAGTTTTCAAAAGCTAACACGCTTTAGAAAAGAATTAGTGCAGACCAAGTAGCGTACCTGTTTTTTTTACGACCCATCTACAATATACCCTACTTTAAGTGCATTTCGAGCTTAAACCACGAAAAAGATTACAAATTGCGCAAAATCATTCCACTTAACACTTTTGAAAGTTTAAACTTTTAAAACCTCCCCTAATCAAGTAATTCAAACACTTCATCAAATCTCCCAAAACATTTTATTCTCGAGATCACAAAACGACTCTTTTAAAGAAATGGCACACAAAACTTAATATCTCCAGAGACAAATTGCCACAGCTTAATGGAGTTATTCGTAGTTAACGCAAAGAGGAAATTCACATGAGCAAAGTACAAAGAGGGTAAAATGTTTAAATCGACGTGAAGATTTCGAAAAAGAAAAAAGAAAAAAGAAATATGAGTATACGTAATTAAGAATGGTTAAAATTTTCTTTCAAATCTCCCTCGTTCATTGATAAGCTTCGATTGGCGGACACGTGCACACGAGATTCCGGTCACCGTATTGATCGTCGACACGTCCCACCGAGGGCCACAACTTGTGATAGCACCTAAAATAGAGAAGATTTCACAATAACACAAGCCTGCCGCTAAGACCGTAGTGAAAAGCTATGAGATATTTAGTTGAGTTGATCTATGCCCTAGCTCAGATAGACACTCAAAAACACTCACCAAGGCTTGGGGAAGGCGGCCAACTCTCGCTTGTACGGTCGATCCCATCCATCCGACAACACCACCGGCAATGTGTGAGGCGCATTCTAAAAACGAATAATGCAAATTTTAGCTCGAGTCAATTAACATAAGGTTCCCAATTGTTACTTTTAGCCTCCTAAACAACTTCAATTAACTAACCAGCTCTCTAAAGTCACCAACCTTTAACGGATTGTTCAGCTTGTCCAATTCTCCGCGCTCGATCATGCCGATCTCTTCACGAATTGCCAAAAGCGAGTCGACAAGACGATCCATTTCACCCTAAAACATTTCATAAAGTTAAAGAATTGTGTTTCATCTTATAGTCTTTTACTTACACACTATTTCAACGGTCTTGCACATAATTTAAAGTTATAAATTTACCTTATCCTCCGATTCGGTCGGCTCAATCATCAGACAATCGTGTACCGGCCACGACATCGTCGGTGAGTGGAATCTAAATGAAAATTTTGTTGCTGTATCAAACTATATTGAAATTTCACAAGCTCTATAAAGAATTTCACAAACTAGACTACAATTTTTCCAAAACTCTTACCCATAGTCCATCAAACGCTTCGCCACGTCGACCACCTCAATACCAGCCGCTTTCTTGAAGGGTTTGCAATCGATGATCAACTCGTGTGCCACCAAACCTTGTTCATCTAGAAATAAAAGTTAAAATCCAAATCAAGCACTATTTCTCTAGTACAAGTCTAAAAACTTTCACCACTCACCCTTGTACACAACTCGATATCCACCCGCTTCCAAGCGTTTTGCCATGTAGTTCGCGTTGAGAATGGCAATCTGAAAGAGCTAAATTTTGAGAACCCAGAAATATCGCAATTTTACAGAAAAACACACCTGTGAAGCCTTTTTCAGCCCGTGTGGTCCTGAAATTTATTTCTTTAGTAATTCAAATTCAAATTCAAATTTGTGCATGTGTCACAATCCATAAACAGAACGTACCCATCATTCGAATGTAGGCCCATGTGATTGGGAGGATACTGTAAAGGAATACAATTGTAGCGATGAATGCATATATTTTACCTAGCCGATCCCCAGGGAGCCGCCGCGACCGCCGAATTGTTCTTTCCAGTTGAATCCACTGGAATGACTGGGTGACCAGGCAAGAACGGAGCGAGATGGCTTTTCCTAAAATAAAAGATAATTGATAAGAGAAAGCAAGGAAAAGCGATAACCTATAAATGCAAATACTTAATGCAAATTCTACAACTAGGGTGACTTATGTCTGCCCTTACTCTAAAAAGTAAACCTAAGCAATCAAAACAAAACTCACACTCCAATCGGTCCAACACCGGGTCCACCACCACCGTGCGGGATGCAGAACGTTTTGTGGAGGTTGAGATGCGATACGTCCGATCCATAGTCACCAGGGCGACACAGACCAACCTAAAAAGTTAACCTTTTGAGTGGATCTTAAAACTTAAAACGACTTGCTTATTGACCAAACGAACCTGTGCATTCAAATTGGCCCCATCGAGGTAAACCTGACCACCGTTTTCGTGCACCTTGTCGCAGACATCTAAAAACCACGGTGCTATCAAGACAAACACCTAAACCCACCCCGAATTGAGCTCTCAAATACTCCATGCGTGGACGGATAGGTGACCATGATCGCCGCGAGTTCCTTCGAGTATTTCTCGGCCTGCAAACATTAAGAAGTTAGAAAGATTATAGCTAAAGACCTTTGCAGCCAAATCCTTGTAGTCGATGTTTCCATGTCGATCCGATTCCACCACAACCACTCGCATGTTGGCCATCTTAACGAAAAGTTTCATAGTCGAAAAAATAACAATTGTACCTGAGCTGACGCCGGATTAGTGCCGTGAGCCGAGGTTGGAATGAGGCAAACCTGGAAAACAAATTATATTACATTTAGACTCTGATGCCGATCATTAAAACTAGATCAATTGGTCCAAATTCTCACAACACCCACATTTCTCTGTGGTTCGCCTTTGTGGATGAGGTAGTTCCGGATGGCGAGCAAACCCGCATATTCTCCGTTTGCGCCCGAGTTCGGTTGCAGGGAGAAGTTGTCGTAACCTGGAAATAAAGAAATAAAACTTGCACCAGGTTAAAAAGCTCACTAGTCAGCGAAACAGACAACTAAGCAAGCTACTGCCAGCTACCCCGTGACGACTTGCTGACAGAACTATTAACTGACCCGTAATCTCGCAAAGCCACTTGTTCAAATCGCTGAAGACTTGTTGATATCCTTTGGTTTGAGTGATCGGCGCAAATGGGTGGATGTTGCCGAACTTCTCCCAGGTGACTGGCTGAAATAGAGACAGATTTAAGAACATCAGTATCATTAAAATTTTAAAAACGTTTTATAAACAAACCTGTAACTCGGACGAGGCGTTCAACTTCATCGTGCAACTTCCCAGCGGGATCATCGAATGGACCAATGAGACATCTTTGTTCTCCAAGCGCTTCATATATCTGCAATAAGAAAGTTGTAAGCTAGCCATCAAATTTCCCAAATCTACCTAACAAGTTGTTGTTCCGAGTGATGACTGTTGAAGATCGGATGTTCCAGGTAGAGAGATGTACGCGCGTGAACTAAAACAGGAAAATGTCAAGGATTTAAAGCACAAGTTCTACCAAAAGTTTTATTGATCTATTGAAAGCTCAAAACCCTGAAAAGAACCGACCCGAGTTTCCGATGAGCGGCGACGCATCTGCCGACATTTGCTCGAATACCTCAGCCTAAAAAGATCATTAAGTTTCATGAATTAAATAATAAAGTTATTTCTTAAAATTTAAGACTTAAGTGATCAAATAATCATTTTGAAACAGACAAGATCTAGTTGAATGTCCGCACCTCAGAAATCAATGGCAATCCAGTAAACACGTATCGCAAATCGTTCAAGTCGGCGAATTTCGTCGTCTCATCCAGTGCCACCCCAACCGAGCTGTCATCGTAGTATCTAGAAGTTTTTAATGATAAATTAGCATCTAGGAGGCACGTTGATCTTTTTAAACTCAGACTTCAAATCACTGCCACGTTAATTGCAGCACAAAGCCCCGTCATAGTAATGCTTTCTACACTGCATACCTCAAATTGATTCCTTTCTCCTCGGCTCGTTTCCGAATCGCCGCCACGTCGCAGTTGATGACCTGAAATAAGAAGAAAGCGATGAGTATACAGCTTAAACACACCTTTAATGTGTCAAAGTAGTCCTTGAAGGCGAGTGTGCCGTTATTTGCCTTGATCTCTGAAAAATGAAAACTGTAGCCTTAGTGAGCTTTAAAAATCCTACTCACGTTGTGCCAACCAAGCGGTGCTTTTGTGCACAGTACGAGCAATTTCCGCCAATCGAGTCGGTCCATGATAGACTGCGTACATTGCTGCCATGTTCGCCAAGAGAGCCTGAATAAAAGGAGCTGCATCTTCTAATCTTCAAAGCTTAAAAGTTAAATGTTTACACGATCGTTGCCTCATTACCTGAGCCGTGCAAATGTTTGAGGTGGCCTTATCGCGCCGGATGTGTTGCTCGCGAGTCTGCAGCGCCAATCGCAACGCCCGTTCGCCGTTGGCTCCCCTAGAAATTTTAAGATATTCAGCTAAATGGTGAAGGGGAGCACTTTAGAAAGTACGGTAGCTACCGTTTTTCATTAGTTTAATAATGATTGTTTAAGGATCTAGCAAGACGTCGAACCAAAGCAAAAAACCTCACTTCGAAACACCAACAATCCTCCCGGGCATCATTCTCGACAGGGTGTTCCTCGCATCCGTCTTCCCCACCGCCATGAAAGCTGCATGCGGTCCACCTAAATAAAATGATAGAATAGAAATAAATTTTGAAGACATCCGTATTTTTAAGCTGTACAACTTTTCTCAAAGCTCCTCACCATATCCAAGCGGTACTCCAAAACGTTGTGCACTTCCAACAGCTATGTCCGCTCCAAGGTCTCCGGGCGAGCGCATGATCGTTAACGCCAGCAAATCGGTCACCAAAATGACAAGGGACTTCAAAAGAAAGATATCATTAAAAAAAACAAATAACAAACCTTATTCTCGTGCACTTTTGCAATCAGCTCGTCAAGCACCTCAATCTTGCCCTCTAAACAAAGTTCGCGTGAAAAATTGCTTTAAAACCAACCAGTATTTGGGTATTGGATGACCAACGCGGCCACATCCTTGTCCAAGCTTAGATTCGTGAAATCGAGTGTATCAGTTGAGATACCGAGTGGGCTAAAGAGAAAAATTATACGAATTGGTCAAAAATTAATCTTATTGTCCACGATAAATATTTAAATCATTCATAAGTCTCACTCGCTTCTCGTTTTGATCAGATCCTTGTTTTGTGGGTGGAGGTGTGGATCGAGAAGCACCTGAAAGAGAGCATTAGAAGTGCACATAAAAACTAAAACCTAAAAATGAAAGGTAAAAGATTTAAGAATGGGTCAGAGCTGTGTCTACTGTGTCAGACAATTCGCAGGTAAACTAACGCCTCAAATTAAAATTTAAGAATTGAAGAATAGAAAGCTGTGTGCAAGAGTAGCGCTAAAGATTTAATATCACACCTTATTTCTCTTAGTCGATCGAGCCGCCAATGCAACTGCTTCAGCCACTGCTGTCGATTCGTCCAACAACGAGGCGTTCGTGTTCGGCAATCCGGTAAGCTCTGCGACCTGAAAAGAGAAAATAATGATGTTTTTTGTTTAGACTTAATAAGTACTCCATAGAAATTTTCAATCTAAACCCTAAAAACTTTCCCACCATTGTCTGGTAGTTGAGCAACGATTCGAGGCGTCCTTGTGAAATCTCAGCTTGATATGGGGTGTACTGGGAGATCCTGAAATGGAAAAGTAGACAAATCTAGAATTAAACTGCCAACCATCCAATGTTTTCCATAATATTCCGCTGAATCACCGCCGGCGTGATCGTCCCGTAGTAACCCATGCCGATGTAGGAGCGCCAGACCTAGAAATGGAAAGTTAACTTGGTTTCCAAATGTTGAGAAATCTTCAGCCATTGAAATCATTAAGCTATTGTTTTTCTTATAAAACTTTATACCTCATTTTTCTCGGCGATCGCCTTCAGCTCGCGAATCATCGTGAACTCGTCCACGGGCGCGGGCAAGTCCAAATCTTTCTCGAATCGGATCTGCTTGGGCACGTTCGTTGAGGTGAGATGATCGAGGTTCTAAAACACAAATAAAATTAGATGCTTTAATAGCTAAATCCACAATCAACGTTGATGCTTGGGATCTAGGCTCTGTTTTAAAAGATTTAAAAAGTAAATCTATCTAAAAAGCCTTTTAAATGATTCATTCATCGATTTCAATCTAATCTGATTGTCAAAGGTACTGTAAAAACTCTAATAGAAGCCCCGGGGCTTCTATTTTTCAATCCCTCAAAATCGATCGGCCAAAAAAATAGGTAAGGGTCTCCCACATGAATCAAAATTTATTTTTCCTTAAAAACTGTTTTAAACAATAGCCCTTGGTTTAAAACGTTTGTAGAACACGTTTTAGAGTGAAGATATTTTTTTACCCGGAGCCTCCAAAAATTTTCCTGAAAATATCCCTGTCGATTTTTTAAAAATTTTTTGAAAACTGTCCAACCAATTTTCCTGCCGAAACGTTCAAAACGGCCACAAAAAATTCAGCAGATAGCAAAATTTTTTTCTACATCCAATGAAAATAAGGAACACAAATAAACTTAACCACAAACACATTATTTTAGCCGGCGTTTTTTTGATCAGCTCCCGTATAAAGAAGTACATGTTACTCGAGCTTGTCAACAATCCAATTCGTTTTTTTTCAGTTTCGATGAAAAATAAGCGTGTCTACCTTGAAACCGATAAAATCGAGCATCGCCTGTTTCTCGAGTCGACTCGGTCCGATGTGCCGATCAGCGAAAGCGTCGTGCTCGTGTATGGCGACACGTCTCGTCAGCAAAACTAAACAAAAAGTGATTGAAACCGAGTTTTTACGTTTCAAATCAAGTCTAAAGTTTGCATTATGTTTAAAGTTTATAAAATTCAAGTTAAAGGCTAAAGGAAGGTCAATCTTTCGGATCGATTTCAATTTCAATTCTTTCTTTAAGATTCTTTTAAAAATTTTTGGTCTATTGGTTGGTTTTTAAGATTTTGAAGACAAATTTTCATTACATTCCTTCAAAATCCATGATAAAAACATTATTTCAAGAAGTTTTCCAAACAAAACCCACCATTTTGTGCGGCTAGGGGCACTCGTGCGCCTCGAGCCACCGCACGAAGCATCTCTCCCGACGACTGAAATGTGAAATTTTGATCAGGTAAATCAATTCACTTAAATACGAAAATTAATAAATGAAAAGCTGCGAGGTCGTATGCAAATTGTGGAAATTTCAAATTGATTGAAATTGTTTTTGGAATGCGGGAAATGACTGGATTTTCCTGAAATTACTTTTAGCAAATCCAAAAATTTCAGGAAAAAAGATTTTTTAGGTACATTTTGACGAAAGAAAGAAAAAAAATGGCGCGTGATTGATCGGAAAACAAATTGAGAAAACTACGAGATAAAGCGAAGAAGCTGGTCTTTTTTGGCTCATTCATTTTCTAAAATGCACCCATTTCAGCCCAAAACCACCGTTTTTCATTCGATGAAGCAACACAGTCAATGATATCAAAATTGGGCTAATCTAAAGGAAAACTGACGGGTCAATTACGGTAATTTTGTGCCCGAAATGGGTGCCTTTTAGAAAGCAGAGTTAAAGCCAGTTCAAGCCAAAATTACAGTCAAGTCTCCAATGTTTTAAGTGTGAAATGGCTGAGTAAATGGCGAGATTTCCCAAGAAAGGCAGCCTCGGCACAAATTTCCTTGTCTCTGTTTCAAAGGGCATTGATAATAGAGCGATAAAAAGAGGCGAAAAGAGATCAATTTTTTGAGGGGATTTTTTTTCGTTTTCATTTTCATCTCTTCCTAAGATTATGTGTCTCTTTTCAGTGATTTCGTCGGGAAATTGACCATTTTTTCAAGCGGTAGGAAAATCGTTGAATTGACACGTGCCTGGGTGAGGGATTTTCGGGGAAATTGAGTGCATTTCGTTTGTAAAAGATTTAGTTAACGGGAAATTAGCATCATTGAAATATAATTTGTCCCCTTGCACCGATGGGGAACAAAAGTATTATAGTTTGCAGTTACAGTGTACTCATTGCACATTGATAGAGGCTACATGGGTACCGTAGAACGTGTCAAGCTGTCATAAGGGTGCTAAACGTTTTTCGAGGTACTGTAGGGGATATGTTGAGTACAGTTACTGGTGTGGGGGGGGGGGCTCTCGAACTAACGAAAGAGTTTCACTCAAGTCTGGTTTTACTTTGAAACGTAGTGATTCTTAGTGAGCGTTTGTAGTCCATTGCACGTTTTGGTCAGTGTGGGAATAAAAAAGAACAGTTTAAATGAGATTGGACGAAAATTGAAATCTTTTTCAACATTGAATTACGCTTGAACTTTGAAACAAGCTTCAAATTCAAAAATAGTCAAGAAGTGAAAAAACAGGAAGCATTACAGAATTTCTACTTAATTCCAGCACACTTTGAAACACATTGATTATCAATGCGGTTTATCTATCATGTCAAGTTTTAGGTCAACTTGCAAGTCTCGGTATCAATTTGAATGATGCCACTGGGTAAATGAGTTTTCAGTTCTTTTGAAAGTTTGGACTTTTGAAACCTGAAACATTTCAGCTCTGAACTCTAAGGCTGTGTACATATTGTATTGTACACATACAATACAATAATCCCTAAAGAGAAGAAATGCTTTTTTCCGTTATGACTCTAAAAACAGCAATAGAAAGATTTTGTAATTAGGATTGTAAACTAGGTAAATCAAAGTGCATCCTAGAGTAGAGGGCTTTAATTTCTTCGCAGTGAACATTGATGTTTCATCTCTCAAACTTTGATGTATCTAGATGCAGTATCTTTCCGTCTTACAGGAATTCTTTTCTGCAAAAAGTTGTTTGGTTTGAAATGAATTTCTTCACAAAATCACTATATTTTGCCTTGAATCCAAGAACTGCCCACTGTAGTCCGAATTCGTAGCTTGAAATTTGTGCCCGGGGGTTTTCAAGGTCGTAGAATCTATTGGCGGAGTTTATTTTAATTCTTTTTTCATTTAACCCTTTACTTTATGCTTTTATTTCAATCCTAAGATTGAAAGACTGCATCTAGATATATCAAAGATCATTTCTGATTCGATCCTTTCTGTTAAAACTAAGAATTCGGGTTACGGTAGCTCTCTCCGAGACAAAATCTAGTGATTTTGTAAAGAAATTCATTTCAAACCAATCATCTTTTCGTAAACGATTACATTCCTAATTACAAAAGAAGTCATCTTTTCGTAAACGGAATTCTTGTGAGATTGAAATACCTAGTTTACCATCCTAATTACAGAAGTACTCCACATTACAATTTCTGGAAGGATTATTGAATTTGGCTGTATTTTTGTCACAAATTCGGCGTCTTGTTAAACCAAAAACCTTGTTTTTTACTTGACTTTTGTTATTTACTTTAACAATTTAGACTGTAGACGTCCGCAACCCTCTCTACAATGGACGAGGCAACATCGAGTTAACCAACCGTGGCAATTCTCCTCCCAAAATCCAGCTCTGATTTTTGTTAATAAATTTTTGCCCTTTTTGTAGTTTGTGGTGAAGCCCGCGTCGTGTTTTGGAACCTGGGCCCGGGTTCACATTCTTGACTAGCGTCTAGCGATCTAGCGAGCTAGCGACTAGCAAAAGCCATCTAGTAACTTGCGACTAGCGATCTAGCAGACTAGCTTTTCCATAGTGCACTTAGGCTGCCGTAGTTGGCCCAGCCAAACAACAAAAGGTATCATTTGCATTTTCGTTTCATTTTTTTCAGTAGCGGAGTGATTTTTTAGCTCATAAAGACATTCCTTGTCATCTAGTCCTGGATAATAACAAGGTAGAGTTTTTTTGTCGCTATATAGAGTTCCGTTATAGAGAGAGTCGAGACTGTAGATGGGCTTGAAATTGAAAAGAAGATGTTGAAGTTACAATTGAATCAACTATTGCTTTATTCATATCTTCGATTCACTTTCACATAGCTTTGATTCATTGGATCAAGATTGTAAGATGAGAAAAATGGTTGGTTTTTGAGAATGCCAATTAGTTCACCCGTACGGTGACAACGGCTCCGTACGAACGGCATTCATATGGATCCCGGTGTTCCTTATCACTATAGAAACAGAGGGAGTAGATAGGGCCAAAAAAAGAGTTATGAATCTTTATCGCGTTGGCCACAATTTCCCCATGATTCTCGTCGATTTTTGTGATGTACAGCCCCAAATTGACATGCTTAAGATTTGACGGGATCGGTCTCTTAAATAGAACGAATGAACGCAGAGCCTGATTTACTTTCAGCAAATGAAATGTCCGCTACGTTCTCAGCTGCGTCCCATAATCGCGCGCTTTCTGGCACACAGTCTGAGAGGCGGTTATGAAAAGGAGTTTCCTCGGATTTGGAGGTTTGGGGATTTGGGGCTCCCTCTGTTTCTATGGTGATAGGGAACACCGGGATCCGTGTTAGTGCCGTTCGTACGGAGCCGTTGTCACCGTACGGGTAAACTGATTGGATTTCTCAAAAACCAACCATTTGTACCTACCAACAAAGCACACAAAGAATTGTCGGAAAGCTGAGGGGCAGACAGCTCAAACAGTGGGTGGATTTGCGGTAGGTTTTCGAAAATGGATGCTTTTTAAAAAATGGATTAGCAATTTTCAACAATCATCATCATTTCAATATTCGTGTTCAGAATTGAAGCCAATTTCTGTAAATCCCTGTTGTTTGTCGCGGAATTCCCCGCCCTGCTTGGCTAAGAGTTGATAGTGACGGGATGGCACGAGCTGGTAGTTCTGCTCACTCATTTTCCCGCTCTTTGTTAGGAAAAAGAGTAAGAGATAGAAATAAATGCAAAATTTGACGTGAACAAAGAATTTAATGACGAAAAGGAAACATAGACTTGCATAAAGTAGTATATTCATCTTTGCTAACCCACTTATCTTCTCAATGCGCAAAACTTTGAAAAAAACCAACTTTCGTCTCTGAAAGAGGATTAAAATTTAACTCTTGCATTGAATTTTCTAATAGCGGCAGTTTTCAAAAGTTTTAAAAAACCACGTTTCAAAAAAAGGGACTTGAAATCGTAGTTTCGCGAATCGGTCTCGCGAACTCTGGTGAGGGCTAATGGCACAGCAACCACTGTAGTCGCCAAAATCGGGGACTTGAGCATAATGACGCCCAAAGAGGCCAGGTCGTCGCCCAAAGCTCAGTCGCTCACCTCTCCTTCCCCTTTACAGATTCCAAAAGGAAAGCCCTCTATATCGGACGGTTATGCCAGGCTTTAATTACCCAGCCGCACAAAGAACACTTTGCCAGTCATTTACACAGGGATCTCTCTTTTCTCTTGTTCTGTAAATGATTCCCAAATGAGATTTGTGCCCCGGGGTTTTCAGGGTTGTAGAACCTATTGGCAGAGTTTATTTGAGCCCTTTTCCCTCAAGAAAAGTGCCAAGAGAATCGAATTGTCGTTGGGTTTTGCGCATGATAGCCTTTCACAATGAAAAAGAGCCGTATTTTGAAAATCCTAGTGATTCGATAACTTTCAAACGTTATTCAGAATCATTCCCGATAGCCGTCCATCAAAGCAATGCAAATAAACGCTGGGTGTTTTGGTCGGGAAATTTTCTTATCACTGCCTTCCCAGCCGTCGATTTCCCCCCACCAAAAAAGAAACACGCAAATTTTTCCCCCGAAATTTTCACTCTTTTTCTCGATTTCTCCAAATTTTCGTCGATCTTTCCAAAAATGTTTCATTTCTTTTTCATTTCCCTCAAAAATATTTCATTTCTGTACAATCAACAGCCCGGCACAACTGTAGAAAATTTTGCGATACAGCTGTCAGAAAATTTTTTCATTGGACTAAAAATTCGAGAAAATTCTTTCATTCGCTCTTTTGTTAAAGAAAAATTGTGTTTTTAAATGAAAATTTGATTTGTTTTTTGCTTTGTGAATGAAATTTTTAGATTTGAAACGCTCCCCGGATCAAACTAGCGAACAAAATTTCAATGATCCTGTCATTTTTTTTATTTTTAAAATTTCAATCGAAAATAAAATCTTCATTTTTTCAATTTATCTAAGCAAATCTTTGGATTTGCTTAGAACATGTGTCAACTGAAAAAACTTATTTGCATTTAATTATGACTGGGTGGGTGGTGTAGCGTTACGGACCGTAAATAGTGTAAAATAATAGTACCCCACCCCCTGCGTACAGTCGCGTAGTCGCAAAAGTTTTTTCAGTATTTCATTTTTTTCAAAGCGCCCATACTTTCAAAAAATGCGTCTTTGGTATCGAAAAATAGCCCTGAATTTCAGCTATTTTTTGATACCTAAACGCGCATTGTAGCATAAACCAGTGTCGAGAAAAACTCGTTCAAAGCTAGACTACACAACACTCCGCACCGTCATTATGGGGGGCACTACTAAAGTATTTACGGTATTTACATTTAATTATGTCTAAGTTGAAACTCGCTGTTTGAAATCATGGAAAAGCTTCTCAAAGCTGATAAAACACAAGTAAATGTTTAAGTATTTAGTTTCAATATTGCTGGCATTCATTTCGTTTGGATAGCTTTCATTTTTTGACGACAATTCCCCGTTTTTAAAATTTTAACACTCTAAAATCAACAGTTAGTGGGAAAAGTTGAGCTTTTGTTTAAGTAAGTTCAACTTTTTTTTTGGGGTTATAAAAAGTGAACCAGTATTAGGCCTACAGGAAAGCTAAAACCTAGCTTCTGGCCATCGTTTGAACATGTTACCAGGTTTGGCCTTGCTTCGCTTTGAACTTCAACTTTGAACGCAAATCTCAAATGCATTTCCTTTTCCCCGATTGTCTACACATTCTCCGATAATCTCCTCATTCATTTCCCCCAAAATTGATAATGGAATGACCTTTAAGGATTCTCCGGCCGTTTTCCCTTTCATCCGCAAATTTTCGCCTAAATACGATAAGCCACACTGACCATGGGTCAATTCCCATCAGTCAATTCCCAAAGTGATAAATAGCTTTTATTCAATCAAATTCTTTACTGTTTATTGGGGAAATGAAATTTGCATTCAATTTTGACGAGTTGAAAGCGTTTTTTTCTGGTTAATTACGTTAAAAATCACAAAAAATTTCATATAACTATTGATTTTAAAGTTAAGAAAAGTTGAAGTTTCAAAAATGAACGCCTTTAAAGCAGGAGAGAGCTTTGTAATAGAACTCAATCAAAAAAAAATGCATTCTTCACGTTTTGACTATAAAAAACCGAAGGTACGCATAAAATTTCCCCTAGAATGAAAGATTTTTCTATTGGAGTCATTGAAAGCTAACAAAATAGAACACTGACTAAAATGGCTTTAACCATACGTGGCGATCTCGATCACGAGATCGTCATGACACTTCTCGTGAGGAATTAAAACTATTGTCATTGGCGTAAAGCTTCTAAAGTTGAAACTTGTATTTCTTAATGTGGACGCATATTAGAATTTACAACGCAATTACCTTTTCAACACTTGAATTAACTTTGTTTACCTTGAAACCAATGCTTTTTCATGTGTATTTTGTGCCCACCGAATCCCGTAAACACCCCCTTTCTGGCGCACTCAATTCTTCGTTTCAACGTAGTCTAATAAGAATTTTTTCTTATTAGACTACGTTGGAACTCGTTTCATCCAACTGTTTCTAAGCTCAAAAGCCAGAATTTAAACTTCTAAAGCCATTTTTGAGACCATTAAATTAAAAGAATTGTATTAGACTTTGTGTTGAATGTTTGGTATTGTTGAACTTGAAACGTTTGCCTAATTACCGATTTCCTTTTTCGCATTGCTATTGAAACTTAAAGGTCCGTCTCTTTCCAAATCCAAATCCAAAATGTTCAACTCCCAAATACTTTGTCATAAACCATTCCCTGATTTGTGTGCTTATCTTTTCAGAAATTCTTACTCATTCACTCCCATTTGAAACCACGTGTTATCGATGGGTTCCCCCCAGCACCTCCCAGTTCAGTTATTGCGTCAATTCCCCTAAGAACTGTCTAGATCTTTCCGGTGATTTCGAAATTTCAATCAACTTGGTTTTCTATAGCTTTTAAATCGTATTTTAACCTTCAAACTAAAACGCCTTTGCCTCATTAACTAAATAGCAAAATTTCTAGACATCCACAAGAATTTGAAACGCACTTTTTAAAATTCTATACTTTTTCTTATTTTTGATCTCTTTTCTTTCAAATTCAATCAAAAACATAATTTTGTAATGTTTAACTCTTTTTTACATGACCGCATCCCAGCAAGAAGCACTGGTTAAGACAAACGCGATTTCGAGCTGAATACCTTCAAATATAGTACAATTACATTATGACCCACCCACCCATTAGATCCCTCTTCTCTAATTGGTATTCAATTCCTTTGAAACACAATATTTTCCACCAGCTCCATTTCTTCGAAAACTTTGGCTTCTTCTCAACTTTTGGCTCAAACGCTTTTTAAAATGAATCATTATATTTAAAGTCTAGTTTTCGAGCGACAAATTAATAATTTGAATAACTTATTGCATATATCCAATCACTAATTCCAGAAATGGACTGTCAGAGTCGATCTGGATTAAAATGTTTAAAAGATTAAGCTTTAAAAGATTAAGCTCATGTTTCTTCTAACCTTAAACACCCGCCATAGAATGTCTGATCGTCTGATGTCTGATGTCTGATACTTTAACAGGAATCGTATACTGTGTTCAGATTATTGCATTTGTCACTGAGGAGATATTACCAAAATATTTCTGAGACAATTGATTCCTTGTTGTTGATTGTTGAAGTTGTTGTTGTTGAAGACAGTTGATTCCTTGGAAATCACATTTTTTCCGCAAGTTTTACACCGATATCCATTTTGAATGTTCTCAAATTCCTGCAGAAACTGCAATTTCCTTTTGATCAAAACATGTTTACTCGCAAAATTCGAAAACGTTGGACTTCTTATCATATCGAATCGAAAATATTGGCTCTTTCTAGGCGTTCATCGAGCAGAACCCATAAAATGCTAATAAATTAAGCATTAGAAAATTGGTGTTATGAAGAATTAAACAGCTATTTATGTGCACTTTGTGCTCTTTTCAAAAACCTGTAAACACACCCTTCCTGACGGACTGAATCCTTTCATTCTCTCCTCGCAGCAACGATAAGATTCATCTGGATGATTGCCACAAACTCTGGTTAGTTTGTGGTTAGTTTTTTTCTGAAACAGAACCCAAGATTTTGATAAAATTGGTCAGATTTAGTTGTTAAAATTACAAATGACGATTCGTCTGGATCATTGCCACAAACTCTCCGCTCTTTAGATGAAAAAACTTGAAACTTACTTTCTTTGTTCAAACTTTCTATTTGATTATCTTTGTATTTTTGATTTTAATTGTCTTAATTGCTTAAATTTTCATTTCATATCTACCATCGAATCAATTTTGAAACCTAAAATTTCACATTTTCCAGAGCGCCGTTCTTTTTCGGAGCGCACTCAAATCTCCAGGTCGACCCGAATCGTTTGATGATCGCTGCTGCATCTGTGAGTTGAAGAAACATTAAAAAAAGCAACAATATTCGGAATTGAGCTGTACTTGATCAAAAATTCGCCTAAGCCACCTGATTTCCAGGTTTCTTCGCATCAACACGCGCGCACACAACGCGCTCGACCCATCATCGATAAGAAGCTTCGTGCCATCGATATCTCTCAACAACAATTACAGTAGGATTTTCGAAATTGCTATCAGCCTATTATTCTTGGAATTACGGTAGAAGGGGAAAAGGGATTACTGTATTCTCTCTATTAGAATTGTACTCTTTAATAGTGATGCGGTCCGGGAGGGGATTGAAAAATAGTAGTGCGCACTACTATTAGAGAGAATACGATTCTGCCATTAAAATTACACTAGCTACTTGGTGACTACCAAAAGTGAAACATTCATTTTCTTTACAAGCGCTTCTTCCCTTAATGGCTTTTTATTGAGCAATATTACGGTAATTTGGGTAAAATGGTTTTTTTTAGAAATTTGGAGCATACAATTTTGTTACAGTACCCTTCCTGGGGCGGTGATCGAGAAGCGTCTCTCATTGGAGCACCTGATCGCCGATGGGAACAATTTGAACGAGAACGCGTTGCACATTCCACGTTTTCCAAGGCTGAAAACGTTGTCGTTGAACGCGAATAAGGTAAGAGGATTTGTTTGTTTTTGTCATTGTTTTTGAATTGAAAATTGAATTTGAACCCAATTTTAGTGTTTTTATGCAGTCTAAGAAACCAAGTGGCCATAGCTGTTCATTGTTTTTTTTTCGTTTAGATCAATTAAACCCCGAGTTTCCCACTGGTAGACTTAACCAAATGAATAGCTCCAATCAATAGACCGACCCCAAAAATCCCCAGGGCATTCCCAAGTTCAAAGCAAAAGGAAGATATCCATCTTCTTTTTATGCCATCTACAAAGCAAACGAGCAATCCCTATGTAAATGACTGACAGGCCTTTAACTTCAGGTTGTTATCTTTGAAACTTTGATAATAAGGGTACAGACAAGTTAAGCAAATGTATCGTGAGTGTACTTTTTGAGAGAAATCCATTGCTTTTCAGATCCGAGACGTCTCCCTCCTCCTTGAACATTTACAAGAGGCCTGCCCGAATCTCGAGTTCTTGTCACTGATCGGGAATCCCGGTTGGCCGCACCCAATACACTCTCAAGGAAACGACTTGGGACCGTATAAAAAGCACAGGTTTGTTGAAGAAGCGACTACATATTTAGAACTTAAAACCACTAAACTCATTGAGTCGAGGAGACAAGGCGACAAGGTTTTGTATTCTTTGCGATTCATATAAAAAATGAGTTTCAAATTTGTGAGAGTAAAATGGTTAATGGTCGCTGTAATCGTTCGGAGCTTTTTGGGTTATGGGTGTTTCATAATTTCATAATTTCATAAGTTATGGTTATTTCAACAAACAAATTAGCTTTTTTTTTGAAAAAGAGATAAACGTAAGGAGAATTAAGAAGGATACTAGGCTAAATGGGTCGTCAAAATTGAAACTCAGACTCTTTCATTTCAAATTTCAGACATCTCACCGCTCGCGCACTTCCGCGTCTTAAATTCTTGGACTCCGCTGAGGTAGATATTAGAATCGAAATGATTCTTGAACAATTCCCTTTTAAAAACTTAAACCAACCTTCAGGTTCGTCGAAAAGCCTCATCTCGCTCCTCGCAATCGTCGTTGTCCAGTTGTGCCACCCCATCGCCACCGTCAACACCAGAAGTGAGTACAAAGAACGAAAGACAAACCGGCGAACTCAAGTCCCAGAAATCTGCTTGTCATTGTTGATTTTGAAATTGAAATCGATTTACAGGTGACCCCACCACCTTCCCCTCTGCCCGACCCAATCCACAAACCGTCTCTCCATTTCAACTCTCGTCGCTGCTCAGAGCAATCGATCGTGCAAAGTTTCGAGACGGAATCATTAGAAAATTCGGACCTCCCGTATCTCATTAATCAACTTGAGAATTTTTAACAAGAAACAAGCTTTTGATTGACAAAATTTCCATTTCCTTTTTCTTTTTCCGTTTCTTATTTTGAAACACGATTTTAGTGCTTTCTGTACACAAAATTTGCCGAATTTTGTTAAAATCATTATTTCTTTTCGTTCAAATGGCAAACTAAAGTCTATTTTTGTCGTTTAATTTTCGCGTCACACGCTTTTTGCTGCTTTTCTTTTCGATTTTCAATTTCAATTTCATTTCCTTCAATCATCAATTAGAATTGATTGGGATTTCTAGTTCAAGTTTTGACTTTCATTTATTTCAAAATTTACCTCTTTCAATCTTTTCAATCAAATTTCAATTTTTGCTGTTAATTTTTTTCAAGTTTCAAGTTTTAAGTTAAACAAACCCAATCGTAATTCTTAGTAACGAATCCCATATTTTTTGGCTTAAATTCAATATTTAATCCAAAAATTTTGATAACAATTTAACTGTAAATTTGCGAATTTTTTGTTTTTTTTTGTTTTTTTGGTTTCACACGAAAATGCTCTCCATTCACATGTATCCCCATTTCTCAATACGCGGCTTTTCCCGTCTTTTCGATCACATTCCTTTAGGTGGCCCTTCTTTTTGGTAGAAAACGATAAAACTGTATAAATCTTTATGTATATTTCTGGGAATAAATATTGGGAACATGTTCAATTGTGCAAATGAAATTGAAATTGAAATTGAATCAAAAGTTTTCAATTGCACACTTCATTCAATTTTCATTCATTCAGCACTCGCTCCTCCTTGCCGCCAAAGTTGAAACTTGCAATTCTTTCGAGCAAACTCTTTTACAGATTTGACAGAAACACTTTCATTTCAGTAGACTTTCAGTGGAAAATGGAATCGTGTGATTAAAGGAGTTCACTTTGACACCAGCCGAGAGAGAGAGAGGAGTGAACTCCTTTAATCACACGATTCCACTTTGACACCAGTCGAGAGGAGTTCACTTTGAAACGCAAGCATTTACCATTACAGGCGTATTCCTAAGTCTTTAAGCCTTTTTACAAAGTGTCACAGTATTACCCCTACGGTATACCGTACTCCTGTAAGAATGTACTCAAAAAATGTAAACAAGTTGAAGTTGAAGCACCTTTTCTGGAACAAAAATAATTTTTAGAATTTTAGAGAGCTGATTGTATGTGCTGATTGTTTATCAAAGCCGCCTCAGTTGAAACTCACACTTCTTTCTTTCAAAGTGCCAGCTAACTTTGAATAAAGGACAGACTAAAAAGCTTGGCTCGATTTAGTTGCAGGATGAGCGAATTTCCAATCTTTTATCTATATCGATCTGTGAAAAGTGAAAAAATGAGATTTTAAATGAAATTTAAATTTGATCCTTTATGAACCCTTAGACAGAAGCAGACAAAAAGCGATAAAAAGGATATCCAGACTTGGATAAAAATTGGAGTCAAAATACGGTAGAAAGGGGGAAAGGAGACATGGTTTAGAATTTAGAAAATTTTCAATCCCTCCCTAATCCCTAATCTTGTCCGTGCAACGTAATCTACCGTAATTTTGACTCCAATTTTCATCCTACCTATTGTGCCACTATTGTCAAACTCGAGAGGAAAAACGTTGATAAAACAGTGGCCAAAGCGGAAGTCGTTTGTTCAGAGGGGTTCGTGAAAGTACGTGAAAGTACAAAGTCAACAATCTTCTTCCATTTAGAAATTAGGTATTAGTCTAGTAAATACAAGTAGTCTATTGCTGATAATTGTTGATTTTAGAGAGATTACCAGCTTAAATCGAAAAACAGCTTTCATTATTTTATCACAGTGACCAACAACCAACAATTAGCCTTCAAACTGCCTGAGATTCCCGAACAACTTTGAAACTCAACAATTTCATTTCAGCGTTCCGCTTTCCCAAACGACAACCACTGTGTCCCGGAGATCGAAAGAGCGCAAATCGAGCAAGAAAACCGTGAAAGTTTGCAATTTCTAAGGAATCCCAACTTTTTCAACGGTGTTGACACATTGAATTTGTAGAATTCTAGCAAATTTTTAAATTTTCTGATTCAACTAGTCTTTCCACTCATAAAACGGGTTGTTTTGCAAGGCTCAGAGTTCATTTCGTTCAATAAATTATTTCCCAAACCATAGATTTATTACACCAAAAGCAAGAGATCCCACAATGAAATAAATACAGACAAAAGTTTGCAAAACACGGAAAAATTAATCGGCTTTCCCTTTCCAATTCATAGATTAGGCCTTCTTGACGAGCGGCTTGTGATCCTCACTAAAAATTTGAGCGGCTTCGGTAATTTAAAACAAAACAAGACTACAGTGATCATTCAGTGACTAGTCCTATCATCTTCCCTAAAATTTTTATGCTCCAACTACAATACACCCAAATTTTCAAGTGTTCAGTCGTGGGGTTTTTATGAATTTTTAACCCCAGTTTTAATCCATTTACCATATACCAACAATCCCGCAAACCATTTAAAGTCCTTAACATTTCGAAAATCACCAACCGATTCATACATCCGTGCATCGACGTCCAGCATCCCTCGCAATAATACTGCAAACACTCAATGTGTGGACAAAAGAATGGCGCGTGATGAGCTGAAAAAACAGAGTAAATTTCAAACAAGATTAAGTGTATTCGTCTAGTGCTCAGTATTGACGCTTGTACCAGTTCAAAAGAAAGCTGGACTTGCTAAAGAACAAAACACTTCAAAACCGCCCACCCCGACACTCATCGCACGTCTGATCGTCCAACATGTAGGGCTTCATCTCCACCTAAAGCACCAATAAATTTATTGTACCAAGTTTTAATAGACAAAGCTTTACATCAGTTCTATTACAGTAAGTAGTACAGCTATAAAAAACCGCACACTTTTCTCCACATCCCCGTGACTCAGGCGCACATATCGGTCGGTGATGGCTCGCATGTACGAAGAGTTGTTCGTGAACGCCACCCGGCCGGCACCTGAACAAGAAATAAATTCATCAAACTTCAAAACCAACCTTTCGGATACTTGTACTCGACGTCAGTGTCAATTCCGGCGCACGAAACAGGTCCGTAAAGACGATCCATGATGTGTGCAAGCTCAACTAAAGCGACAAGTTCTTCTTTAAAGTTGATAAACAAGTACGAACCGGCTCGAATCGGCCGAGGCACTCCTCCAACAAAAACGACTCGCCGCGGGTTAATCGGCATGTTCACATCCACCATATATTCCGCGTCGGCAAGGCGCCACGGGCGAATTTGAACCTGGAAAAAGAAAAATTTTACGAACTTTCAACTGTCCCAATTGTCACAGCAACAGTAAAAACCCCACCAATTTGTCGCCAGTATTCGGCCGCGAGACGTTGTAGAGGAGCTTCTCGTCCTCGGTGACACAATTGCGCACCAGCGCGTGCACCGATATCTCGTACTTGAAGATCAAAAACACATAGCCTAAAAAGAAATAGATTGCTGACAAAGCCCAGCACCAACTAACCCAAACCTTTTGACGGTAAATAGTTCTTCGTCTCGCTTTTGCTCGGCCAATCGACGCGCAGCGGGCCGAATGAGGAAAACGTCTTGACGATTTTTTCTAAGCAAATTTATAATTGGATTTTTAATAAAATCAGCTACCTTCATCAATGTCAATGGGCAATCCGCCGACGAAAACCTTCTTTGAGTAGAGCTCGGGACCGGGGTTGTATTGATAGTAGTACTTAGGATTGAGCGCGGCACTAAACGTTCAAAAATTGGCACTTGCTACAAAATTACCAAGTACCACAAGCCTTACAACCTTAAAAGTACTACGGTAGATAACCCCACAAAAAAGCCCACCAAACACTCGACGATCCCTGATTGAAACGGCCCTCGCAGTCAACAGCCAACGGGGTTCGGGACTCGAGAAACTTCTAGAAAAAGCAGAGTGACTTGAAGTTTAACCTCAAAACACGTACCTGGATTCCCTTGCACAAAAATTCGTAGTACTCAACGTTTCGCTCGTCCATCAGATTCACCGAGACTGGCTGAAAAAAGGCGAAGGTTTACATACTGATCATAAAGTCATCGCCTTTTTCGTCTGTTGTTGCTGCTGTCCATTTGATTTCTGGCCATCCGTCAGCACCAAAAGCTGCGAGATGCCCGAGTGTGCCGTCGATCGCGAGCGCAAGTCGAAGCGCAAGCCGTCGATCGAATCCCCGCCCGACGTCGAAGCCATTGCAGCTAAAAATAAAAGAATTACTTTTTCTAGAGTAATAGAAGTGTATCAAAATCTTAAATCCATTCAAAATAGTGGTCTAGTCGTACAACTCAATCAAACACTCACAAGTCCGATTCTCGTCCGGATCCAAATTGATCACATCCATCGGAGAAGGGTTAAATGGTTGCCGGTCGTTCGAGAGGCTGTTGGCTTGCTTCGCCAACTTTTTGAATCTAAAGTGGGACAAATTTAACGTTTAAAAACTGAAATCAAGCTTGAGCTAAAAAATGACAACAAAAAACGTTATCCAACCTTGACAACCCGGCTCCAAAACCGGACGCATCCCTCGTTTGCGGCATCGGAGAGAATGAGTTGGAGGTTGACAATCGTGGAGGAGCCGCTTTCGGGCGTTCTTCTTCGATCATTTTCGGTAGGATGCGGGTAGGCTAAAATGGAGAAGATTATAAGTTAAAACACTGACAATTTATTGTTGTTACATTGAGCCACTGGAGCCACTGGAGTTTTGGATACTCTCAACAGGAATTACAAATCAGGTTACCCTGCCGCGAGGAAGCTGAGAAACTGAGCTTCATACTTATGCGACAGATTATTGAAGGGTTAACTCTCCCTCTAATTACTTAGCTAAATTGCCTGACTCTCAACTATTACACTACTTAATAAAACCAAACAACACTCACCGTTGACACAAACGACGGCTTCGAGAAACCACCGAATGAAGCCGACGGGAATCCTCTGATGGACACATTGTTGTTATTGTTGAAGTGAGTCGGCGTGGCGAGGTGTCTTGGCGTGAACGGCGGTGGGATGAGTGGCGATTGCGCGACAAGCCGACCGTCCATTAAGTCCCTCGGCGAGTTGGGCCGGTGTTGTTGTTGTTGGTGTCGACTGACCATCGCTCCACCGTCATCGCAAAACGTGTTGAATACCTAAAGAACAAAGGATATAATAGTTTTCGAATCATATCAACACATAAGCGGTTTAAATTTACCTCGAGAGCCGTGAAATCCTTGCGCGACAGAAGAGAGGCTTGGGCTTCGGCGGCTCGACTCGTGTCGACGTGATGAGCGGCACGACGGAAAGCAGCGGCTCGTGCATGGTGATGGGAATGATCTAGAAGAGTAAAGACTATATTTGAAACAGCTTTCATTTGTCCTTCACTTCATCGGCTCTTCTATAGCTACACTATAACTGTTGATGACATCATAACCCCATGAAGCACTGGGTACTGCACTACCACTCTGAACGGGAAGTAGTGCGTAACAAATAAGCACTAAGATACCAGCAAACAGGCAGTCTTTAAATTAGCAGAAGAAACAAATTCACAAATTGCCCAAAGTCGAACCTTTCATGTCGATCCACTCGCCCTCCTTGTCAACGTGGCTCACCGCTTCAATGGCTAAAATGACAAAGGCATTGCAGCTCAATAATTCAAAAACCGTACCTTCTCCTACGGGCACTCCTGGTGGTTTCTCCTCTTCACCGCTCCACTCGCGCTCGTCTGAATCATCCTAAAAATACAAATTGAATAGATGAATAAATTTAGCTATCAATTTACAACTAGGCATCAACATTATTTTCAAGCTAACAGCTAAAGGTTGAATAGCTTCTTCAAGATAATCTTAAAATAATGAACAAGACTATGCTTAACTACGCTTAATCCAGCTGCACAATGAAACTACAAGTGCTAAACTCTCTAGAAAACCAGCAAATTGTCAAATTGTAGTTGTTTCTAACATTTTCTAGGTCAAGAATGAAGATAATTACACTTTCAACGAAAAAATCACCTCGTTTCCCCAAAAAGAGTGGTCGTTGAGGGCGCAAAAACTCTTCTTGTTCATCTAAAAATGAAAAATTAACACTAAAAACAAGAAGAATATAGTTTTACCCATAAAAGTTTGATTCAAAAGGTCAAAAAAGTTCTTATCTTATGAAAGTTCTAGAAATTTGAACAAAGCCTATCAAATAGTTCAAATTTAAGTTAAAAGTACTGCTAATTTTAAGAAAAAAGCGACTAAAAACTGACAAACCTCGTAAAATATTTGAAAGTAGACAAGAAAAAGGTTGAAAGTGGCAAGAAGTGTTGGAATGATGCTTTCCCGGCGAGCGGTTTTCTTGTTTAAGCTTTATGCAAATTTGGCTGTTTTGATTTGACAATATGCTAACTACTGCGCCAAAAGACAGACAGACAATTTTAAAGACAAGAACAATTAGTAGAAGATATTACAGTCATCTGGTAGAAACTGATGCTCGAAATCATGATGCATTGCACAAAAAGGCTCTAAGATCCCTATATACGGTAGTTTGTCTATGACAGGTGACCTGTCTGAGACACTTCACCTTCTCTCATCAGTCACTTCAGAATTTCAGAACATGACAAGGATATTCAGTAGAAGATATTACACAAAATGTACTTTGTGCCCACCGAATCCCGTAAACAACCCCTTTCTGGCGCACTCAATTCTTCCATTTTTCCCCGTGACACCGTTACTGGCGGGGGAAATGGAAGAATTCCAGTGTGCCAGAAAGGGGGTGTTTGTGGGATTCGGAGAGCACAAAGTACACTCTATCAAGATAAATGGGGCCAAAAAGGATATCCATTTTTTCTCCATTTTTCTAGAGAGTCGGGTCAGCTGTTGTTTGGCCCTCTTCAGGGATCTTAGGGAAAAAAAGGAAGAGTTTCAAAAGACGTAAAAAGAAAAACGAAGAAAAAAAGCATTCAGCCTCTAAACTGCCAATACTTTTCGGACTCCTTTCAGCGCATTTTTCTTCTCACATTTTTTGAAAGGGAAATTTTTGGCACTCAAAAGTGACGAAAATTTTCGGCTTGGGCTGACAGCTGGAGAACAGAACACCTCTGGTTGGTTTGAGGCGAGATTTCAGCTGACAACGAGCTGACAACGAGCTTACTACTCTTAACTTTGTCAAAGTTGATCTGATCTTTATTTTTGCAACTTTCGATCCTTGATCTCTGGGCAAAGTTTATCAACTTTTTGTTTGGCGTAAAATTCTACATAAAATTTGATTCTTGAAACTTTTTTTGAGTCAGTTTAATAAATAAAATTTAGAAAAGAAGTGAAACTTCAACATTTTACGTTTATCAAAATCACCTGACATTATCTACTGGGTTTCAAATTTTATTACAAAAAATTTGAAACCTCAAAATTTCCACCCAACTTAATTCGTAAAAATCGACAAAAAGCGATAAAAATGACGATAAAACTATAAATTTCAGTATATTTCAGTATATTTCAGTATATTCAAGTCCATAGTCCAGTTTTGTGAATGTTTTTGAAACCCATTCTTCTAAAAGATCGATTTTGATGTCCATTGCATTGCACACTTGTTTGCCAACAAGGGAAGAAAAAAAAGCCGATTCCGATTTGTTCAGTGGACATTTTCAGAGCTATTTGCACCGGTTTTCCCATTTTTTTTTGATGACAGCGCATAGTTGGTTTTGAAAAATGTTCAAATTTCAGTCATTTTTCGAGTATTCAGTCAAAGATTTGCAAGTTTGCATACCATGAATATAAAAATACTTATTTTATGCAGAAGCCGTTTCCTTATTGTTTCTCATAACACACAGACAACTTGCATAAGTTGAAACTTCTATTTTTTTATTTGCTTAAGAGAGCAAAGATATTCTTGGTTCCTCATTTTTTTCTTCTTTTCTCAAAATTCTCTTACTTTTTTGAGAATTTTATAAACAAATCCAGCAATTGGCGTTGGTTTTTTGAAAAATGGCTTTTTTCAACAGTTTCAGGTTGGATTTAATCTTCATCCTTTGACGTTTTATGCTTGCCTCATTCCCGAAACTTTACTCATTTCAATTCACATTATTTTGAAACTTGTATTTTCATGCTCAAAAGTCTCAAGATTCCAATATCTTACTTTGCGGTAGTATATAAAAAGTAACGTCCTCTCAACTAACCCGTTTTCTAAAAGACACCCATTTCAGTCAAAGCTACTGTAATTCTTCATTCAAATCAAAAATTCCCAAAATGATCAAAAATCTCAAAAAAAAGCGATTCAGAAAATTTTCCTTTACGAGCAAGAGCCCAATTTTCCCATTGAGTGCTTCTTTTTGCTCTCTTTTCCCTTAAGTGTTCGGCGATTGTTGAAAACTTTCTTTGCTTTAGTCGAAAAAAAAGAGGAAAATGATTGAAAAGATTCAATAAGATGATGTTTTATTCGAAATTTTTAAATTAATGCCTTACTTACTAAAATTTTAGTGAGCACTTTTACATTAATCACTTTGAAACTAGAATTTTGAAATTTGACATTTCCACTCAAGAATCGGGATAAGGGCTGTTTCCAGGCCAAATCAAGGCCAAGATTTTAGGCTAAAATTAGTCAATTCTAAAAGAAACGTTGAAATTGCAGAGCAAGGTCTTTGACTTGATTTGGTTTTGGGAACAACGCCATCAGAGTTATTCCAAAAGCAGTGTTTTTTGACTAGACAAGTCAGGGCCGAGATCAGAGACCTGGCCAGGCAAGGACTCTCTGAAGAAATGTGCCCAATTTTTTATAAGCTTTCTGAAATTTCAATTACTATCGGAACTGGGGAAACAATTTGCTTTCATTTCAAGTAACTTTTCAAAAGCCTGGTGTCAAATTGTACTGCAAAAGAGCACTCAAAGCCTCTCTACATTGAAACTTCAATTTTTCATTCAATCATTTATTCTTATGCTCGATTTCGATAGATTAATTTTTGATTTTTACTGATATTTTCAGTTGATTCTTTCACTATTTTCGAGTTCAAACACATCTTTCAGCTTTCAATTCAACTTTTTAAGTTGACGCTGCAATTCCTCTTGTGTTGCGCGGGCGCGCAGCCCGGTGAGTGGGAAAAGGAGATTTCCAAGTTTCAAAAAAGAGAATAAGCGTTTTTGTTTTTGATTAATTGATTAAACAAAAAGTTTTTAAAAAGCTGATTTTAACTAATGTTTCAAAGTTTTCGGCTAAGCTGGTCCCTAGTTTGGTTTAATTTTCCACTAAAACTTTTAAAGATTTTTATGTTTTTAAGCTAAACTAGAAACCATTTTTTCAACAGTTTCACTTAAAAATTTAGGCCCGGAGAAAGCCGAATCGATTGATTCCTCACTGGACTCGCTCGATGGGAAAAAGAAGAAAAGAAAAGGGAGAAATCTCGGGAAATGGTTGAGGAGAAAAGGAGAAGGGAGACGAGCGGAGAATGGTTCGTTTTGGAAAAGAATACTACAAATTACCGTATTTTTCGCCTTATCTCCAAAGTTCTAGTGCGTAGTTCAGCTACAGTACACCTAGATTTTCAACAGTTGGGTGCTTTTCATGGATTTTATCCGATTTTTGATTTCATTAAGCTTTTTTTTAGTATAGAACTATTATTTCAAACCTGATTGAAGTTTCAGAAAATTCAAGTTTACAAAAGAAATACGACATTCTATTAAAAAGGAATATGTTAAGTATTAAATGGTCCCTGAAACTTTCTCCAACCCCTTTGGGATCATCAAGGTAATCAAAATAAACTAACGATTTCCGTTTGTGTTCGGAGTCGATAAATTTGAAACATGTACTTATAAGGTGAATAACAAAATTTACGTCACTTCGAAGCCAGTACTTTTCTCTCCCGATTTGCGTCTTCTAGAGCTTCTTTTCGACCGAATTATTTCTAAAACGTGTCCCCTTTCCCCTTCTTTACCGTAATCTTGTCTCAATTTTTGTCAAATCTATTAGGTTGAAAAGAAAGTTCTCGGAAAAAGTTTGCACAGTGATTTCTCAAAAACCAAATCATCAATTCTTCTCAGACTTTTTCTTAAACTTGACTATATTTCGAAGAGTTTTTGATTAAAAATAAGAGACTTCTTCAGCTGAAGTGACTTGGTCATTTTTTGAGTGGCCAGCCTTTAGACAAGTTTTTAATGGGTTAATGGATAGGCAATGGGTCCCATTCAAAACCTAACATCAAGTACTTAAAATAGGGAAAATTTGCGATTAAGGCAACATTGATCTAATGCTTTCACTTCTCAGAATCACCCATTTTAGCCAAACACTCAGAAGATGACATCAAAAAATGATTTTTTTGAAATACAGCTTCTTTGTAAAAGTTGTTGACCAAAAATAGAGATTATAGAGCGTATTGCTCATTTATGCTAGCTTTACCTCATAAGGATTTCTTCTGCTGAAGTGAAAGTGACTGAAGTGACTGAAGTGAGTGAAGTCTGACCTCATATGAACCTCATAAGGAATCCTTTTTCTCGTGCAAAAAGTGAGCTGAATTTAAGCTCGAAATCATTTTGCAAAAATCTCTATAATTTTACGGGAAAGCTGCACTCATTTTTTTACGAGTAATTTCTCGAAGTCGACTTCGAAATAATAGAACAAAATGTTCTTGAATTGGTGGATTCGTTTTTAAAGAAATACCAGTGAAACTTTTCCCGAGAACTTTCTTTCCAATCCAATATATACTTTTGTCTGTTTCTGTGAGAGTTCACAAAGAGTTGATAGACTGAATAAAAAAATAGAGACAAGATTACGGTAGAGGGGAAAAGGAAAGCTCTCTAGAAAGAGGATGATTTGAGTCCAGAAGCACCACTGCTTTGAACAAAATCAGCTTGGCGTTGTTAACTTTGAAACATGGTATTCAAAATCTTTTTGAAGTGGCCTCAACGATTAAACTTAGCTGTTTGAAATGGGTTGAAGATTCGATTTTTATAGTACCTTCAAAATCAGTAAGCACAAAATTAGTGAATTAGTATTTAAATACTACAAATGAGACATTCGTGTAGGCAACAAAAAAAGTGAAACTTTTGGTTTTGAAATTGACTCTAGATAATAATAAGATATATTTTATTTCAGTAATAAAGCGTAAGAAAAAGAGTCACAAAAAAGATAAAGATCAAAATTCTAATTCTAATTACTGAAGATTTACACGATTAAATTGAGTGTAAATTTTTCTAAAGCTCATGTTATAGTCAAAAGTCGTTTTTCAGAAATCATGTTTCAAATTTTTTAAAGTCATGACAAGAATCGACGTTCTAATTCTTTCTTGATAATTTTCTCCAATCTTAAAACTTTTTTTCTTTACCAAATCTGATTTTTCAGCCAATTTTTGGAAGATTTGAATAATTATTATTTTTATAAAACTCACAAGTTTACAAGTTAAATTATTTTAAGTTAAAAAGCATGTTTCAACTCGAAAGAACTCTTCTCGACTTTGGCTATGTTTTCAGAATCACTCTATCAAAAATTTCAATTAAAAAATAGTCCTTTTTCAACATTTCCATGAAAGAAAAGTGAACATTTCAAGCAAAAAGAGGAAAAAATAAAAAAAATTGTCCTTTATTTTGTCTTCCATGAAACGACTTGTCACCCCTGGGTGTTCGGCAAAGGAAAAAAACCAAAAAATAGACAAGTTTCCATTTTTTTTTCACAAAACTCAACTGTATTCAGAAGTTTTTAGCAGCTAGAATTCATTTTTTTCGTTGTTTTAATGTTTTTAATTGATTGGATTTGAGGTATGTAACAGTTTTGTCTCTAAATTTGACCATTGGTCACAAGTACTTTATCAAGTTTCAAGTCGGACTTGCATAATTTGCAAATTTCACAGTTGAATGAATGAGAGAATGCTCCTTTCCTGTAGCAAATCGTAACTATTTTCTCTTATTTAATCCATTTTCTAAAAGACACTGCTAAAACTACCGTAATCCACGGCGATTTTTCATTTGATCATCTCAATTTTGGTATGATTGACTGAGCTTTGTGATTCCTCATCAAATGATACCAAAATTGAGCTGAGAATAGCGACTGGATTACGGTAGTTTTGGGCTGAAAATGGGTGTTTTACAAAGATTTTCAGTAAAAATGTTGGAAGAAGAGGAGGAAAATGGGAAAAACGAGGTGAAAATGGATCTCTCGTCGGTGGAGAATGATGAGGAAATGATCGAGAATCGACGGGAATCGCGGGAGATTCGACCTAGGTAGATAAATAGAAAACAAATCAGATTAGAAATAGAATGAGACAAGATTTGCATATGGTAGAAACATTTACACTTGTGAAAAGCTTGCAAACTGTATCTGGGTGAGCGTTTTGTGTTTTCTAGTGCTTGGAGTTGCCGTTGCCTTTTCATGGAGAAAAAATGAAACTTTGTTTTTTTGTTTGATGAAATTTATCATAATTTACAGGCCAATTTTCTACAACCCACAAGTCAGCGAGGAGTCTTCGCAACGCGATGAACAGGTCAGTCAAGGGGAAACGCTTTAGAAAACGGTAATTTGGAATTTCGAAATTACAGTTCAAGTACAACGCGATTACAAGTTCACAAGGTGAAACATTCCTTTTTTACTTTATTTTCTTAAGTCCAAAAGTGAGACAAGGTGAAACATTCCTTTTTACAATGACGTTTTGGCTTTTGTTGCCTGAATGGCTGTTATTGGGCTTATTATAGCTAAAAATATTTCAACAATTGACCAAGTACAACTGAGAATCGGCTTTTTGAATTGAACTTAATTTATCTATACAAAGAAAATCAATAAAGCCCAGGCAACACATCTGAATGATTTCAAATTTCATATTGAATACTTTGAAACGAACACTTTTCAGTCAGCCTCCCCACAGCCGAAACGCGTTCATTTCCAAAAGGCCGACAAGCCGAGACAATCGAGAACATCGGTGAGATTTACTAAAATTCTAAAACTACTGCCAACGTTATTTTATTTTAAACGGGCATGCTTTTAAAGAATAATACAGGGATTTGCATGCTATTTTTGGCTTTTCTTTCCTCAATTTGGTTGTTTTATAAGTGGCACAATGGTTCAACAGGACTTTGTACTGTTTTGTGGATTTTGTACCCAGAATACAGCTAAATTTAAGGCAAAAATTGATAAAATTTGAGCATATTGATGCGAAAAGCGGTAAAAACGGGTCGGCGAATCGATTAGAGCTATTCATTTTCTTAAGTTTACCGATTGGCACTCGAATTTAAGCCCAGAAGCTGACAAAAGGTGCATTGTGTTTAAAATTAAGTCTAATTTCTCAATTTATCTTTAAAGAACGATTGGTAGACTGATATTAACGCATAGAGAAATCAAAAATGAAAAAGGGGAAAAAAGATGGGATGGCTTTGAAGGAGCGCATAAATTTTTAATGTACGGTTATGAGGGGCGGGGGAAGAGGAGACTCCATTTGGCCATATATCATTTATTTTGAAACTTTCTTTTTTTTTCCATGAAAGTCCGTGAAGAACTTTGAGTCTCAAATTTTTTAGGAAAAAGAAAAGTAAACTAAAATTTTTGGAAACGATTTTTGCCTTGACTTTGCCTGTATTTTTGGTACAAAATCTACATCATGTTCAACCGTTTACTGAAAGCAGCGATCATCTCCAAATTCAAACTGAAATCTTGGGCTTCTCTCTAGATTTAAAGGTTCCAAAATGGAAACTTTTATAAATCTTTATCCTTATAAATCTTTATCAAATTCCCCAAGTGCAAATTCAAGTTCATTTCCACAAAACTTGAGAAGAAAGCTACGGGAAATTTTATTTTCTCTCTTTTCGGGGTCAGTTTTTACCTTTTGAGGAAAGCCCTCATTAGTATACGAAACGGATCTGTTTTGGGCTCTTTTTTTTGCCCTTTTCTTTTCAAAAAAACTTTTCCTGCTTGGGTTTCAACTTGAATATACTTTTGAAAGGTACATTCATTGTTTTACTTGATCCCTGAGCTTACAGTTAGGTTTTGTGAGTGCGAGCGTTTACTTCTACTGTACAAGGGCTAATTGGGTCTCTAGGGTCATCAATGATGGTCCATAGACTTGGACTAATGGGGTCATTGTATAAACATGATCCAGCCTCATTACTATATCAATCAGGACTCAGGCATATATTAGTTTTCACTGTTTCCCTTTGGTGACCAAAAAGTGAAACAAAGATTTTTCCAGCTAAACGGCAATTTTCCTACGATTGTCATATGTTTAAGCCATGAATCTTGAGCTCAAATCCGCTAATCACTCAAATTTCTTTCCCCTGATCACGAACATTTTTCTCTATTTACCCGAAATCTTTAACTTTTTTACGTACCTAGCAGTACAAAGCCATTAATTTTCCCGAGAAAAAGCGTCAAGTTGGGCTGAGAAATGTCGAGTTCTGACAGCCGCTTCGTCTTCGTTCTTTTTTTGGGGGAAATGGGTAGTCTTCATCTTCAAAGTTTTATAAATTGAGAAAATTTTCTGCAATTTTAAACTTTAGAAAATTTTTGTTAGAAACCCAAGCATTTCTCCAAATCACAAAGTTTGAAATTTAGGCTTTCTTTTTGCTTTTAAAAATTTTCAATTTCCCAAAATTTCCCAAGATTCCCTGAATATACAAAAAGTAAGTTTCCAACTTGAACGTCAGATATAGAATCACCATCAGATATAGAAAAACTAGCTTCACTATACTCTTTTTTCTATTTTTTGTTTGTAAAAGCCTTTAAGAGCCTCAAGTTTCAAAGTATCTGACTTGCGTTTAAGGGTTTGGGAATTAATTAATGTACTTGGTATGGCGAGCTAAATTAGTTCTCAACGGAAGTTTCTCAACGCAAAAAGCTTCACAACAACTTTCTCAACTCTTTTCCCTCTAATTCGACTTTAACAAACTCCTTTCCTTTCAGTATAACTCTTTTGATTCTCTTTTAAAGTTGCAAGTTTCAAAGTATTTCGAATGCGATAACGATTTTAGATGCCAGTTTAGGCACAGCTAAATATGCCTTGAATTTTTGGGAAATGACATTTCTTATATTATTTAGTGCCATAATCTCGAGTTTCTTTACAAACTGAACTTCAAGAGACTAAATCTGGTCAAATATCTGTTACCACCAAAAGAACTCTATCTTTTCATTCCACTTCGCAACAATTGAGCAGTTTAGCTGTGTTTTGTAGTCTCAAGCACTCCAGAAAATGCTCTGTTTCAAAAAATTTGTATACAAAATCAAATTCGAGCTCTACAATTCCAATCCTTGTGTGAAGCCAATATTGGCAAATTTTGTCAATTTTAAACGTAAAAGCTTACTTTGAGAAGCCAATTTTCAAAAGTATTTGACTTCTAACAATTATAGGGAAGTTGAGAGAAAGATTTGTTGAAATTTCAAGGGATCATTGTTGAAACATTCTTTGTCAATCGCGTTTTTCTATAGATGACAACGTTGTAACTAATCTTCATCTATTAGCAATTTAGCTGCTCAATTTGAAACAAAAATCCACCAATTACGGTTTTGTTCTCCGTGGTGTTCTTTGTGCTCTCAGAATCCCGTAAACATCCCTTTCTGGCGCACTCAACGATTTGGTGCCACGAGGGGAAATGAAAGAATCGAGTGCGCCAGAAAGGAGGGTGTTTACGGGATTTGTGGGCACAAAGTACATCACAAAGAATAAGCTCTCACTTTTTGTACTTTTTGGAAGCTGCTGTCAAATAGGTGGTGGTGGTTGGTGGTCGATGATGCCCACTTCCTGGCTGGAAAGGGCCAAAAGATCCAGAAAAGCTTGAAAAAGGCTCCTGAAGGATCTTTAATGGAAAAATGGGGAAAACAAAAGAAAATTGGAAGAAAAAGGAAATCAAAGATGCAAAAAAAAACGATCAGCTTTTTCGCTTATCTCTTTTTTCCCTTTTATTACCTCCTAGTCATTAAAATGCGAAAAAGAGACATTGCAAGAGTTAAAAAGTGAAGCCATTTCAGTTCACAATTTTTTTGAATGACTTACACTTTCGTAAATCTTTTTCTTGTATTCTACAGTGATGATAATACCATGATTGAGGCCAAATACTTTAAGCAATTTGAAACTTAGAGTTTTTAAAGGCACTTAGATTTCTAGGCAAAATTTTAAAAATTCTGATTTTTGCTTTTAATCTATTCTATTGGTTTAAAGCTTTCAACCTAGGTTAAATTTGTCTGAGTTAAGAAAGTTAAGAAAAAGATTTTAGCCGGAACAGTCTTAAGTACTTCTTAAAAAGGCCTCGACGGAAAGTAAAGCTATTCTCTCATTGTCAGTTTAACTGCTATTTAAGTGACACAATCGTTTAACGAGATGCTAAATTTGTAGCAAAAAAACAGCCAAATTTAAGGGGAACTATTCATTTTGTTGAGTCTATCAATTGGAAATCGGTTTTAATAAATCTTTGAAACCTATAAGCTCATAGTTTTTCTCTCTCTTTTCACTTTCTCCCACACGTGGTTCCTTTTATGACTTGTGGAGGTCCATCGGAAGCACTAAAAGGAAAAAAGAGCCGCTAGAGCCGGAAAAAAACGCAGAAATTGAAAGAAGACCAAAGAAAATATGGCCCAGAAAGGGTCAAATAGGAGCCTGGGGGAAAGTGGGCAAAGGAGGGAAAGAAGAGAACGCAAAAATGTGTGCTCATTCGCAGGGAGAGCTAGAGCTGAAAATGGGATGTCTCCTCTTTTTTTTCAAACCAGACGCGTATTATAATAAAGTAAAAAGGCTAAAGTTTTTTAGTTTTGAAAAGAATTTAATAACTATGATAGTAAAAATTTAATTTCGATTTTCCAACTAATCCTCTCCATCTTCAATCAATTTCATTCACTTTGAAACATGATTTTTTTTTCGTTAAATTTCGAAAGTTTTCTTAAAACTTTGTTTTAAGACTGTTAAACTTGTTAAACTTTTCTCAATTAGCATTCCTATTTTATCTAACCCAATTATAATTAATCAGTTTCAAATTTATCGCCACAAAATTTAATTTCAGTTTAGTAATGGAATAGGGATAAATAGTGTTTCAACAAGAGCAAAACTTTGTGTTTCAAATTTTTAGACATAAACTTCAATGGGTAAAGTTTAATAAATTCAAATACTTCAAACTTACTTTAAAAAGCTTTCTTGAGAACATTTGGCAACTTTAAAATCCTTTGATTACACAAAAAGAATCCATCATTACATAAGAAATGGGGATTTTCTCGAGAATTCCCATCTCCTGAAAGAATACTTGGCCGTGTTTTTTTTTACTCTTTTCACCGATTCCCCATTTTTTCGCGACTTTTCCTTTTTGAGAGACATGCGGAACTCTTTACCCATTCCACTCCCAAAGAAGATCTTTCCTTTTCTTTCTTATCTTCCTTCCTTTCTTCCTTCCTTTCTTATCTTCCTTCCTTCCTTCCTTTCTTTCTTATCTTCCTTTATCATCGATAATTTTTGTTTATAGTTACGTTGTTTTCAAAAGTATTTTCGATTATCTAAAAAAACGGAAGAACTAAGTAAACCGATAATTTGTCTCAAAAAATTATGCAAAATTTCCTTTGAAACCATCAATTTTGGCATAAGATTACCATGAGATTGGCTAGATCTTCGAGAAATAAGAAAAAAAAAGCTTGTTTTAGACTTTTTAGAATCAAAAGTTTGATTCAAATGCAGTATTTTCTCACAATAACGCTTTTGAGAGATTTAAGCTGTTTTTTCATTTTGATTCCCATTTTATTGAAACAAGCCTTTTCTTATGAAAGAAATACTGTTAATCAGAATCCGTTTCGTAAAAGTCAGCTATTTCAGCCCAAAAATACCGTAATCCAGTCGCCATTTTTCATTCGATCAGCCCAATTCGATTGAATCGACTATTACTGTTGGCCTAAAACCAAGAGTTATTACTGTAGTTATTACTGGCCAAGAGCTATTACTGTTGGCTTTGGCTTGGACTAGCCTAAAAAATCGGCTTTAGAAGCAGTTCTGACGCTAACTTTCTAAAAGGCATCTATTTTAGACCAATTTTAGACCGTAGAGCACCGTTATCTCTAGCACCGTTAGCACCGTTATCAAACCGCCATTTTTCATTCGATCAGCCCAATTTTGGTCAAATTCGATGAGGGATCACAAGGCTCAGTCAATGATACCAAAATTGAGATGATCAAATGAAAAATGGCTGATGGATTAGGGCTTGTCTGAAATCGATGACTTTTAGAGAACGGATTAAAAAGAAAGTACAATCTTTTCATTAAATTTCTTTTTTCGTCCTTTACCACCAAAATTTTGAAACTAGAAATTTTTCTAGAAATGAGTTTCCAATCAAATTCCAGACAGAGATGCGCCGCGGACCACAGGGATCGCCGATGAATCGACGCTATTCGGGTGGGCTTTTTTTTTTGCCTAAAAGTCTTTAGAAACTTAAATTGCGAGCAAAATTTGTAAATGATTTTCTTTTCTTAATCTAATCTCCGTTTTCCGGTTAACTTTTTATGAATACTTTGAACATTTTTGCTCTCAATTATGCATCATTTTTTGTTTTTGAATAGATTTATCCCTTTTTCCGATGACGTCATCCGTTTGTTTTGTTTGTTTTTATTTTTCTGTTTATATGAAAATTATAGAATTAACAAAATTCAGGAGTAGAGAAGTAAATTGAGTTTTTTCATTTTTTCAATGCCCAGACTTCATTGATTTGCTAAAAAACCGCCAAAATTTGAAAAAGTTGAAACAAAGGTTTCAAAATCCTTGAAAATTGGCCTTATTTTACGATTTGCCTTTTTTAAACTCATCAATTCATTATATAAGATCCTGATTTCTTTGCTTAGCTTTTAGATGCTCTGTGATGCGCTAGAAGGGGTGTATTTACGGGATTCAGAGAGCACAAAGTACATCATGTAAAAGAATTCAAAAGCAAAAGCTTTCTGAATAGTTTCCCCCTGCTTTCCCGATGACGTCAGATCCTGCAGCCCTTCTCCTCATTCTTTCCCCCAATCTCTCTTTTTGAAGATCGAATAAATCGAATGTGAATATCGAGGTCTTCTTCTCCTTTTAACACTTTTTGTGTCACCATTTTTCCCTTTCAACCACAAAAATTCAAAATTCCTAGGGTTTTGAGTGATTTGAAAATTCTTTTTGGATCAATTTATTCTTTTAGCATCAATGTAAACTAATTTCTTGGGTTTTAAACACATTTTTCTATTGATTTCTATTAAGATTTTCCCAATGATTTCCCCAATCAACTATTGCGGCTTTACCTTTGAAGCTTTAACTTTTCACATCAACTCAGCTCAGCCAAAATTCAACTCAAAACCAATTTTCTCAAAGTAAACCAAAAAACTTTTGAACACCTTTTGGATCAATTTTGTACTTTTGATTTGATGTACAAGATTTCCCAACACTTTTGAACTCCTTTCACATTCTTTCGAACCAATTAATCGACTCTTATTCGAAACATTCACTTTTTAGCTCCAAATTCAAATCAAAATACAACTCAAATTTCTTTCAAACTTGAAGATTTTACGAATCAAACTTTTTTTGAGAATAAGAACATAACGCGAAAATTAGTTGGAGGAGTTTCATTTCATTTGAACAATTTTGAAACTTTCTTTAGAAAATTCAACCATTTCGAAGATTCAATCGAAAATTTGTTCAAAAAACATGAGACAATCATTTTAATTCATTATAAATCTCACTTTCCTTTGCTAGTTAGCCATCTTGAAACTCAAAATTTCTCATTTCCCCCACAAAACAAGAAATCTCTCAATCACTTCGACAAAGCAATAAAAGTTTTTGTCAATTTGCATTTTCGCCTCCAAATTCCAAAAAGTGACCTTGAATTGAATTGTTTCGTTTGTGGAATCACAAAGTTTTAGGTTTTCTTTGAAACCTTCTCTTTTCATTTGATGATTTTTGGGTATTTGGGTAACGGGGGGAAATTGTCTTTCAATCAAACGGAGAAAAGTTTCAAAACTTTCATCAAGTTGCAATTTTTTCTCACAAAAACCTAAAAATCTTCTTGAAGTTTTCAATTTTCAAAATTCAAATTATTGATTAAGTCAGTTAGAAAAATTAAGTTTCAACTTTCTTGGTTTTAAGAAACAATTCCTTGGTTCAATCCGTCAATAAATGAATAAGTCAATAACTTGCCCTTCAAACCATTTCTTGTAAAGCTTGTCCGTTTAAATTTTGATTCTTTACAAGTTAAGTTCTTTGTTGAATCTCTCTGAAATTCGATTTTTTAAAGGTCAAACTTCAATTTGAACAGCTTTAAGAAACAATTCTGTTAACTAATTTCCAACAGTTTTTCTTTGGAACATTTCAAGTTCAATTTTGAAGTCTATGCAAAATTTCAAGTTTCAATGTGAGTAGCTTCAAGAACGAATACTCGTCATTAATTTACTGGCGTTTCTCAGGGGTCAAATTTCGGAGAGTTTCCAAAAACGAAAAGCTTTCAAACTTAGAGTAAATCCAGACCAAATTCAGGCTGACAAAGAGCTTTTAAATGTATGAGATCCGTTTCAAAACCGAGCAAATCAAGTTTCGACGAGTTTTTTTGACCATTCAACTTTCTACATAAATTCAGATGAAAAATGAAATTAATTGAGATTGAGATTCGAAATTTTGATTAAAGTGTTATCTGTGTTTGGAAAGTTGATTGAATTGGAATTGATTGAATTGAAAGAAGCTAGGAGATTTTAAAAAGATAGATAAAATGATTGAAATGATAAAAAGTGTTAGATGGTTTAATTTAGCTTAATTAATTTGTTCACAGAATACTTAACGTTTTTTTCTTTGAAACATGGTTATTTTTGTTGAATGACTAGAGAAGATTTGAGTATGAAAATGCTTCTAGATTTGTTTATAGCTTGGTTTTTGTACTTACAGAAAGCAAATTGGCTAAATTTCATAAAATCTGTCCCTAGAAAAGAAAGGCAAACGTAAAAGTACGAAAAAGTATGAAAAAACGGTAAAAGACAGGTAACAATAGTATGAGGATAGTTTGTTGTTTGTTTATAGCTTGGTTTTGACTACTACTACTAGGGTGTCCACTATAAGCCGATTTGAAATACAGTCGATGAAATTTCGCAAAAATGAGACTGTAAAAGAAGAAAAAAAATCGAATTTGATTGGGTGCAAAAGAGCCAAAAAAAGTGAGCAGTGGTGATTTTTTTTTTCGCAAACCCATGTTAATCCTTCGGGGAAACACCCAAAACCGTGTATTTTTGGCGGTCACTCCTCAGGTTTCCCCCATTCAAATGCATTTACCCTCGATTTTTAGCTTAATTTAGCTCCATTTCTTTCGTTAATCAATCATTTCTTTGAAATATCTTAATTTGAATAACTTTCTTTTGTTTCTTTCAAAGATTTCAAAGATCTTTCTTCACAAAATGAAGATTCGCCGAGAATCATCGAAAATTCTGAACGAAAAGTCTTTTTTTTGCTCTTTCATTCATTTCTTTCATCTTATGCTTTCATCTGCGTCTGAATGAGTGAAACGAAAAAAAATGAACAAAATGAACAAAATGAAATCGTTTCCATAACTTCCTGAACTTTTTACGCATAAAAAAGGTCAATCTTTTGTCTTTCTTGATCAATCTTTTGTCTAAAATGCGTCTATCCATTCTAGAAAATAATTGTAATAAATAAAGTAATAAAGGATGATTTCCAGCGTGTCCACCGGCACTCTCGTCGGGTCGGGCAACCCTCTCCGAGACGGCCATGCAACGCACCTTCCATGAGGTAAGAAAATTTGATTTCATTCTACTTTTCTACTTTTCTACTTTTCAAAAACTTTTCAAGAAGTTCTCACACTTTAAAGCCTCATATTTCGTTTTGTGATACTATTTTTTGAATTCTTTTGTTAACGAGAATACTACAGACTTTCTGACAGACTACAGAATGACGCCAATAGAAGTCCCTTTGAGAAACCGATCTTCAGATTCAGAAAGAAATTCAAAAAAGAATATATCATTCGATTAAAACTTTTAAAGTTTCCCCTAACTTCAAATGAACATTATTCCTTTATTTTTTAGGCGATGCGCAACCGAAGAACTTCGTTGCCGGCCACGAGTCTCACGTTGCCCAAGAATACACAGGTTTGTGTCAAATGTTAACTATAGTCAACTTTAATCAAGCTATAGGTTTAAAGCGTTTCAAATTGCAAATAGAATTGAAGCGATCCTAATTTCTAGTTGATCAGAACATTTTAAATAATGCAGAGAAATACAAACTAAACTAAAATCAAACAGCTTACTTGACCTAGCTTCACTTTGAAACTAACACTTTCAAAATGGATCTAAAATGGATCTAAAACCCACAGAGCCCATAGCTAACTCTGACAAGCGCTGACAGAGCTGACAAAACGATCGAATTCTCAACCATTGATCTCTGAATCAATTTTGAAACTCAAAACTAATTCCAGGTAGCCACGTCGAACATCTCGGAAGCGCGGGGGATTCTCGTGGATTTGTTGGCGGGCAAGGATTTGTCTCCATCAGTTGTTGGATGTTTGCGAGCCGTGGCCACCTTGCTCACCCCACAAAATGTTCGTTTTTCAACTGGAAACTAAAAGAAAAATACTAAACTTGTCAATTCAAAAGTGTGGACATTTTTCGAAACTCTCGTAGTTTTACATCTACTTTTCATTCGTTTCACCAAAAAGCAATTGAACCAAATCAGAAAATTCTATTAAATTTAAATCCTTTAAACAAAGAAACTTGAAACTTGGCATTATATTTAAATAGTTACCTAGATTTATCACTCAGTTTCAGCTTAGTTAATAAAATTCAATATGGAAAAACTGATTTCTTTAAAAAATTTAGTGGTTGATTAAGTTGAAGCTCACTTTTATTTAATGGGCTTTATCTGAGATGAATTAAGCAAAGGGGAAAGGGCTTAGAAAAAGGATTGAAGAGGATTAGTGTATTCTAAAATCAAACTCGTAATTGTGCATTTTTTCAGCAAGTCACCCTCTCCACACATCACACGGATTTCGGGTTGCCTTGCGTAGTCGAGAATCCGTACAGCGGTGAGCCGCTGCTCGTCTCGTCGGTTTGTTATTTGCGAAAATCTTGAAACGGTTTAAAATACAAATTGAAAAAAAAACGAATTATGAATATTTTCCTTGAAACTTTCTCGAAACTCGATTTCAGTCAGTCATTTTTTTTTGTGGAATTCATTTCTGAGAATGAAAACTTCTGTTTTAACTTTGAAGTTGCAAATTTAAGATTAAATACTAGATTAAATACTGCAAAGTGTGAACATGATAATGTTAAGATTTTCGTAAAGCTATTGTTTTAATATTTTGTGCATTGTCTTCTTTCATGGACTTCAATCCCGAAGCCAGTTGATTCACTTGTTCTTCGTGTCCTTTGTGCTATCCGAATCCCGTAAACACCTCCTTTCTGGCGCATTCAATTCTTCAATTCCCTCGTGACATCAAATCGTTGCTGTAAGGGGAAAATGGAAGAATTGAGTGGACCAGAAAGGGAAATTTGAAGAAAACGCAATTCTTCGCAATTCGAGCACTCTTCTTTTCACCATCTTTTCCCAATTTGAAACATTCATTTTTGAACCGTTCTTTTTAAATTTCTCTTTTTAAAACGCTTAAAGAAACTAATGATCCACAAAAAGGAAGTACTTTAAAGGGTAAAAAGTTTCAAATATTTTGAAGAGAAGCTTTTAAAATCCTTAACTCCTGCTCATTTATTCAATTGTCTTTATTAGTGCTTACTCTTGAAAGTGCGTTTTCTAATAAATGGATGATTTGGGAAAGCTACCGTAACCTCTTTTCAGATTTTGTTCGTTTCACTTCATTTTAATCTCATTTGAGTGGGAAGATCGAAAAAGATCGAATCGAAGATCGAAACAGATCGAAAAAGCTGGAGGAAAGATCACGGTATCTTTCCCCAAATTATCGGTCTTTTAGAGAACGGATTACTCAACCTTTTTTCATTGATCAACACTAAAATTTCCCTTAGAAGTCATCTTTCAAAAAAGCGAACCAAAGGGATTTTTTAGGATTTCTTGAGTCCAACAAATTTCCCACTAAACACTGAAAAGAAAAAGGCTTCCTCGACAGAAAAAAGATGTGGCTCAGCCATGCAAATTGGGAATGGGAAGGCGTTAAGAGGAGAGAAAAATGTCAAACGGAGTCGTCGAGAAGGTTTTTCACTTCGATTTTTCTGTAGATTACTGAGGCTGAAATCATTTGTCAAGTCGTTAACTTTGAAACTAACTTCATTCTTTTATTCATTACAAAGTGCGATGCATTTTTATACAAGGTCAAGCCATTGCCAATCTTAGACTCGTTTGCACGTCATAAACTTTGAAACTTCGAGTTTTGTTTGTTGACTTAAAACTTCTGTAAGCAAACCCTTTTTCAAGGCGGTAAACTTGAAACTTGGTTTTTCTTGAGCCATTTTGAAACTCGATTCCTTTAGACGGTTTTTGGAACGCTTTTTTTTGAAACCGGTTATCTTGAAAGTTTTGTTTGACTCTTTTTACAAGTACTTAATTACCTTTGACAGCTTTCGCCAGCCTTGGCCAGCCTTGGTCAGCCTCGTTCAGCCTTAGCCAACCTTAGCCAGCCTCAAATCGGTTTGAAATGGTTGACTTTGAAACTTGATTCTTTATAATCATTCGTTTTTGTTTTTTGAAACAAGAGTGATCGCTGAAATAAACCGTTTTGAAGTCACCAATCTTAAAATTTGATTTTAAATTTCAAATTCGGCCAATAATTTTGAAAATTTTCAGTTCTCTTATCAAAATTCAAGTACCCGAGCCTCAATTTCCCCACTTGAGCGGGGAATTGGCCATTCCCCAATTGGCCGACTCATTGTTGCCTTCTTGGGAACGACAAAAGAAAAGATCAAGTTTCTTTTTTATGCCCAAATCATTTCAATTTTATTTTCAAAATGAAATTTCTGCAAATCCATGGGCTAATCGTCGGATTTGTTATCTTATATTAGAAGAATTTTTGCAAAAATGAGCATTTCTATTGCAGCATTTCAATTGTGACATCAATTATTCACAAGTCTTTCCATTTGTAGTCATTTTTTTTTTCAAAATTCTCAATCATTCAAACAATTCCTTTGAAAGGCACTTCTTTTATTAATTCTTATTAATTAAGACCTTCCCAACAAATTCACTCTGTTAACATTGAAACAGTCAAATTTTGAAGGATTTCAAAGGTAAAGGCCTTTCAAAAAACGTTTATTTGGGATAATTTAATTGGCATTTACCTGAAAGTAATTAAATCTCTTTGCTTTTTTTCATTTTTGCCTTTTCTCGAAAAATCCCGGGATAATCCGATAAACGGAATCAGTGTGGAGGAGAGAAATAAAGAAAAATAATGAAAAATGATGTGCAAGTTCAAGAAAATAACCCACAAACCTCGTTGAATTCGATTTAAAACTCTAAAGTTTTAAATTTTCCCAAAAAATTTGATTCCTATTTTGAAAAGCTGCATTGTTCGGTTAATTTTAGAAGAATTGTTTCAAGAAGGAAAATTTTGAGTTTCAATTTTTTAAGGGATCAAGATGAATTTGGAAAATTAATGGTGGGATAATAAATGCAAAAAAAAAATTTCTAAGCCTAATCTTTCCTTTTTTTTCGAAAAACTCTTAACCTGAGATTAGATTCAAAAAAAAAATAGCATTAATATATAAAGAACTTTTAAAAGAACATGAGAAAAGGACAAATGGTCTAGAAAACGAGTTTGAAATCATTAACACAAGAATTCTGACTTTTCCATAAAGCAATTCATTTCAAATAAAAACTAAAAGATATTCAGTTTAATTCGTTGAATAATAAATATCTTTTCCTACTTTTTCTTTTTTCTTTTTTCTTTTTCTTCTTTTGAATAATTCCAAAAGAGAGCCGAAGAAATTACGGGAGAAAATTGAAAACACGCAAAAATCAAGCGAATTTTCAAGAAGTTTTATGTGTTTTTTGAAGCTTCACTACGAAAAAGCTTGTTCTTTTTTGTTTTTTTATAGGTTTTTGGGTAACAAAAATTCTTTGTTATTCTTGACATCAAGAACTTTTTTTTGAACAGTTTAAATCATTTTCTTGATAATCAAACGCTTTTGCAGCTTCCAAAAAAAAAACGATGTTTCAAAGTAAAGAAGATTTGTCTTTTTTCTGACAAAGTAATTAGTGGTTCGTTTCATGCAAGAATAGAAAAGTTTAAATGGAAAAAAACTTTCAGAAAGACGGTAACTAACGGTTTGAGGGTTTAACGGTAATTACAATAGAGTCATTTTTCCTATTTTCGCTATTCTTTTTGAATTGTCAGCCTATCTACCTGTCCTCATCGTATTGTTACCGTTTTTTCATACTTTTTCGTACTTTCTCGTTTACATTTCTTTTCTAGGCAAAGATTTTATCTTTTTTTGGCAAAATTTCGGCAATTTGGTTTCTCTAATTACAAAAACCAAGCTATAAACAAATCTAGAAGCATTTTCATACTCAAATCTTCTCTAGCCATTCAACAAAAATAATCATGTTTCAAAGAAAACAGCGTTAAGTATTTTGTGAACAAATTAATTAAACCAAATTAAACCATCTAACACTTTTTATCATTTCAATCATTTTATCTTTTTATCTTTTTGAATCTTCTAGCTTCTTTCAATTAATTCAATTCCAATTCAATTCTAATTCAAACAACTTCCCAAACACAGATAACACTTTAATCAAAATTTCGAATCTCAACGAAAATGATTAATGAAATCAATTAATTAAAACTTATTAATGGAATTGGAGAGATCCGACTTAATATTTTGTGCATTTTGTGCCTTTCTGTATTCCTTTTCATTTCCATACCATTTCGTAACTTTGTCCTTGCAGAAATGCGGCGATCGGATCCAATTTATTCACTAGCAAGACCGATTTTGATGCCCAGATCCGCCTCAGATTTGGACCGGTTCGGGGATCGAACCACTGAGCTCTCTCCTTTAAACGAACATGAATCCATTACGCCAAGATACGAAAAGAAGAGGGAAGTCTTTTTCGCGCATCGAACAACTTCAAGCAGCTCTCGGGCCTCGTATTCAAGTGTTGGTGGTGAGTTTCAAAAGTTGGGTCTCAAAGGGGACAATCTTTTGGTCAGTAATGCCAGGCTAATGGCTCTTTCATATAGTCATCAAAAGTCCAGCCATTCCACGTGTACTTTGTGTTCACAAGTCTCGTAAACACCCCCTTCCTAACGCACTCAATTCTTCCATTTTCCCTCACAAGAACGAGGAAAAATGGAAGAATTAAGTGTGCCAGAAAGTGGGTGTTTACGAGATTTGTGAGCACAAAGAACATTTTGTGTAGGCAACTCGTTGATGCTTCTGCAATTGGTTTCGCCGTGCGGTCAGTGTTCGGCGGCGTTTCAGTGTGCTTGCTGTGCGAAATGTCAGCACAACATTCTCGCCTATGCACCAGTGAGTTATGGGCTGAATTTGGGGGAAAATCCAGTTTTAAAAGCGACAAAACTCGTGTTTGTTTGAAAGATATTCGCATTTTTTGTAATTACCGTTCATTATTGTCTTGTAGAATTGGAAAAAAATCAGCAAAACAGTCCGATTTGTTCCAAGAAGCTTTTCCATTTGAAACCAATCTTTTGCCATTCAATCGGTTCAATCAGATTTTTGTGAGCACTCTAGCCATATCTAGCACTAAATTACCCATCATTAACCCCATTTTACTCATGCTAAACTTGAAACAAATAATTTCAAACCACAAAATTGCCTCAAAGAGTCAAAAAGCGCCAATTTGACTTCAATTTGACAAAACTTTTTGCAGAGAAATCACAAAAAAAAAATCACCTGCCCGACTCGGTGAATGCTTTCAAAGTTTCTTTTGATTAAAGCTAGTTTGCAAGTTTTTTTAGATTCCTTTACTCATTCAGAGATATCGATTTAACCATACAAAAAGCAAAACGATTAAAAATTTCGTTTCTTTATTACTTGGCTCAAATTTGAAACATGCCAAATTCTACAAATTCAAAAGTCCCTTTAACTCCGGAAATCTTCTTTTATATCATTTGAAAGGCTGAAGTGCTC